TCCGACTTAAAAATCCCAGTATAATCAATGATCACAGCGTTTGTTATAACAGTATCCAGAGAATCAGCTGGTTGATATCCACATGTCTGGCCCATCCCATCTCTTATGACTTTTCCACCACCAAACACACATTCATCGCCATAACTAGCACAATCTCTTTCAATTTCAGCATATAAATTAGTGTCACCCAACCGTATCTTATCACCAGCTGTGGGGCCATACATGTTGGCATATGCCTCACGATATATAACTTTTGTGAAAGTCAAGGATTCTCCTGTAATACCTGCACTGCAAATCACTCCTTGTGTTAGTTATTATTATGATGAAGTTGAACTGGTCAGTGCAGATTCTTTGGATATAGGAAGTATTCTAAAGATGTTATTCTGGAATTCCCAAACCTGGCGGCTACTTCTTCTGGATTTCTGATTCCTCTGGTGGACAGAGTTTCCACTGCTACTGAGCATGTGGCATCATCAATAGGGCCGTCAGCAAAGCCATTTCCTCCTCTGATTACCTTTCTACCTCCAATGCTAACCAGTACGACGCTTTTAGTTTCTCCTGGCTGCACAAGTACTCAACAAGGTAGGCAGAATATGTTGGATAATCCGAACTGAGAACGAATGCTAAACAAAAGAATCAAGTAATGTTGAATATAAACAGTAATTTCAATTATTGACTATTTTAAGGCTCATAAAAATGTAGTCATTCTTGTCATACATAGAGAACATTTAATAGATGACACACCTCTTCCAAAATACTACTGATCCTAAATACCATCCTTTTCTTGTTTCTTAAATTGCTGGTTCAGTTTATTGACTCTACCGAAAAAATTATTAGTCAATAATCACAAGTATTATACTTTTGAGACTGACATAGTGATATGGCGTGTGGTACTTCCAGGAAAGTAACATGCCTTTGACAATAAGATCTAGAGAAGCAAAGATTTTAAGAGCATGTTGGTACATCGTTCAAAGAATCTTCGAGCAAAACTCTACCTCAAACCTTGTAGCAGTGCCTGCTGGTATATTAAGCCGCATGCCATATGCTTTCCTCCTATCAAAGACCAGAAACGGATTCGCTTCAATGAAGTGATAGTGACTGCCCACCTGAAATAAAGAATAGGAAGGATATACCAAAATATGGTATAGATAAGGACATATAAACTGAACAAAGAAAGATACATATTATAATAAGGACATATATAAATGGATCTTACATCTGCTGGGAAAAGAAGCAAATGAGTTGTGTGTTCAACACCCCAAAAAATCAGTTTCTACTTTGATTATTAACATCTTAAAAACACAGAAAATTCTTGAAATGCTGTAATATGCTACTACCGTAATAAATGCCCAAGATCCCTCAAAACTGGACAAGGGACATGCTTGGTGATCATGAGTCATTGTCACTACTCTCCTGCGAGACCTAATGAACCCAAAAGCTTCAAATTATTTGCTGTCTAACCACCATAGCGTTACAATTGACCATGGCAATGTCAAAAATGATTACAATCTCGTATAGGATCCACTTCATATAGATTAGATAAAATAAGAGTGTTGACTGTCTATTACTTAACGTTCCCACTCATCAGTTGTGAAGAATCTCATACAGGCAGAGGATTAATTGCATAAGACTTAAAAAGAAGTTCAGAGGAACCCTTAAAAGGTCAAAACTGCTGGTTAATCAGGCCACACATCAATCTAAACCAGATATGGCAGAGCCCAGCATATGACGAAAAATCATTTAGCAGATTGGAAAATTACTCTTCCAATGGAACACATCCATTAATTCCATGTTCAATAAATTTGTGGCCATGCATTGCATATCAGGTGAAAAGACAATAATATTGGTGGGATAGCTGCATTCTTGACCAACACAGAGGATGAAGCTGATGCAAATGGATAACAGGAAACAGTCAGCATGAAAAATCACCTGAATTGGCCTGTCTCCTGTGTTGGCCACACTGAGAATGACTGCCTTTCTTCCATGATTCATTACTATATTCCCATTGCCATAGATGACTTCCCCAGGAATTTTGTCTTCTTCAAAATGAGAAAATTTCTCCAACGGAGGAACTGTAGAACAGGTTTTCATTGTTGACATACATTACCAAAAGTTTACTTTAGTAAGCGACTCTTAGGACGCTATTTATGCATGGAAACATTAAGCATCTGTTGTGTTGTAATGGTTAATGAATAGAGCAAGGCTGGAGGATTTATCACAAGCCTTTTGTAACAACGTGCTAAATTGCTAGTCCCGATATAGGTGAGATTTCAGGTGCGGAGAACAATAAAACATGAATTTTTGTTTTTCTACACGTAACCAGAGGTTCCAACATATTCAAATGTCGCGGGCTATGAAGCATAAAATACAATTGACCTGCATTGCCTTTCAGAGGTCAAGTAATCGAAGAAGTGGATTTGAGATTAAATGGCCAATGATTGCTTCTGGCGAGCTGCATGTGGAAGAAATGGAGAATAACAGAAGACGATACTGTTCTAGGCATTCAGCTATCAAGAAAGTAATTGCCGGAAAGGCGATATTGAGAATAATATCAGTACTTAAAGTGCTGCTCCTACTCTATTCAAGACTAAAATCAGGGTGATTGTGAATTGAACTTATCCTACAGAAGCAGCATCAGTCAAGAAAGGCTAATCAGCATCTGAAGACAGGAGTTCACTTTCCGAATGCATGCTTACCAGGTAGAAAAGAGCCATGCAAGGCAAGCTCAAGATTCCCATCTTCTCTAGCAATCACATTGTGAACAGTGATCAGCTTAGTCCCATCGGGAAAGGTCCCTTCAATCTGTCAGTATTAGTCAGTAGTCGGTAGGAAAATGAAAGAGGAAACACTCTCAAACTAACTTGGTTTCTTATAAGGTATATTTAAGATAACTAATCCACCGTTGATTAATGAGCTGAGAAGAAAGTAAGAAAGTCACAACATAGTCATCAAATAGTAAAGTTCCACACCTGCACGGTATCCAAAAGATGTGGAACAGCCGGAAGAACTTGTCTCCTAGAAAAAAAGGAACAACATCACTTAAGCAAAACATGAAGCATTTTGTGATTCTTTTAATTGTGAAACCTATGACTATTTATCTATATATACCCCAAGATAATGCTGAACTCAGCTGATGAGAGTAATATAGTCAAAAGTAGAGCAAAAAAAAACCCTAAAGAAAAGGGGTCGATCAGAATTTTCACTGGCCGGTAATACATGATGGCAGAATCTGGATCCTATTGAAGTCAATGTCTAGTTGATAGAAAAGAAAGGGGTAAAGAGAACAAGTATGGAAGTGTCTCGCATAATTTACAAGGAAAAGAATACCTCCCAAGAAGCTGTTTCCCCAAGTCCATCAAATCAGCAACAGTTCTGTCACCATCTCGAACAAACTCCAGAATCTAGGTAGAAACCACATTCAAAGAAAGATGAATCTTCTTCCACAATGATTTTTACTAATCTATGCAACTTGTAGCATTTCGAACATAGTACAGGACCGGGTTCCTTTACGGTTTCTGATAGGTTCGCCCTGTTTCTTGTGAACCGAATTGAAAGGCTTCCATCTCCATTAGAGTTTTGAAAACACCAAACTCACGTGTGCAAAGATTCGATAAGACTATCTTGGTCTGGCCAGGAAAAGTCATTACTGATTATTTTTATCTGTATTCAGCCATTCGAGTCATTTTAGCTCAGTCTCAATCTTGTAATCAAACTTCCAATTCGAATAATAGCAGTTCATCACATCTTTATTGTTTTTCAAGCAAATGCCAAACATGTTGTAAAGAGAATGGACTGAAGAAACTAGGAACCTGCGTAGCCACAAGGGCTATCGATTCAGTATAATTGAGCCGGAGACCGCGAGCGAGGCGCTTCTGCGCGAGGAAACCAGCTTGGTGAAGGCTCAGCTTCTCCACCTCTCTCGGAGTCAGCTTCATTGTCCAGAGTCGACGCTAGCGAGGCCGAGCCTAATCGAAGCAACCCACAGGGAAAAAAACAGCGTCAATGAGATGACCAACCCGAATTCGATCTGGCTCGCAATCACCATGCGGTGTAGCCAAGTGGGTCGATACAAAATGACGATTCGGACACTGACGAGAAACCAGAGAGAAGACCCGCGCAGGTTTTGGCAACAAACACTGACAGACACTGCTTGTTCGCACTGCGTCGATTCACGCAAGCAAAAGGGAAAAGGCAAGCCAATGTTTCGCAACTCACCGGAGACTAATAGAACGAGATGGTAGCGAGCGTCGGAGTGCGATGAATCGATCGACGGCGACAATGACACAGAGAGTCAACGTTTGGGAGGATCTATCGCTCAGCACGTGTAACGGCAGTGATCAGTCTGTCCTGCGCTGTTTCTCGTGCCTTGTCGTCGTTTCTGGAGCTCTGCCGAGTCTGCTTCGTGCCTTCCACATAGGAATCCGACGGGAAGCCAATTTTTTTTACTCAGTGGCTTGGATTATTGCTGTTCGCAGTGCGTCACAACTCACATTCCAAAAACAGCAGTGTCCTTATCGCTTGGTCTCCGCAAAGACAAGGCTCGACTCGGGGAGAACCAGCAATAGCAATTCATTGACCGCGTCTGCACACTTCTTCTTCACCTCCTTCTCGAATGGAGGAACTCGCGATCTGCGACTGGTGATGCAGCCATGTGCAACCTCTCAAAGATTCACTGTTCAGCCCAATGGAGGATGAGTGACGATGACCCTCTTTTTCGCTTGGTGATGTGAGGCCAAATCCCTCGTGCGCTCTTCCTTTTGACAGCTTCCTTCGAAGATATGACTCCAGATGAGGACGATGAATCGGTGAAGTTAGCTCAGCAGTTCACTGGGAGGTGCAAAATCGCCTCCGGATGTGAAGCTGAGAGGAGCACGGGGGTGGATTTTGCGGGAGCGTAATAGAACACGAGAGGCAGTACCAAGCGATGTTGGAGTCCCACATCGGCAATGTATCACTTAAGAGCTCGTCCCTTAGCTATAAAATGCGAAGCAGAGATTGGTCATCTTTACGCAGCCACGCAGTGAGCACAGAGCGAACTATTCTTTCGCCTTTTACTAAAGAATACCGTGTGCTCGCTGCATATAGTGGCATACGCCAATTTTTGGAGGGATCTCTACCTATAAGGTGGAGGCCCAACAACGCCAGTTTTGAAGTTTTTCTGTCTTTACGCAACAAGTGAAAATGATCGACTCTTTTTGAAGTAGCGTATGAAACTAAATATGATACGATTATTAGTACGGCGATTGAAAATTTTCTGTATAGCCAAAACGATTTAACTCTTTGCTCTATGTTTGGGTACGAGAAAAAATATGATCTATTTATTTAATACAGCGGGAGAAATTTTAATTGTAACGCCACCGTCGTAAACGAAGGATTAAATGGATCCATTGTGGCAGAGTCCCACATCGGGAACTTGAGCGAGTGGAAGAGTGATGGAGTGGGTATTTGATTTTCCGCTTGACCAATGTAGAAAGATTAAAAAGGGTCGGTTGGCTAAATGTGCCACGCTCACCCTCGCCGGTGAGTGCTGTATGGCTATCAAGACATATGGCTGACATAATTTGTGGAAATTCATAGGGTTGGCTCGCTTAGCCGACCCTCCTATAAAGTCGGGACCATTGTTCTTTCTAAATTATCTTCGTGGCTGTAACCTCTCCGTACAATCAAAATGAAAGAGGTCGCGATGGAACTTTTCATTTGGGCAAAAACTGAAGTAGAGGACGAGCACGTTGCCTCACTCAAAGTTAGAATAGCATGTCAGGTCCAACCCTTAGAATGTAAAGACTCAGACCAGATTAGGTGCGCAAAAAAAAACAAGCAAAGCAGATCTCTCTTTGCTTTCGTAACTCGGCCTTCTAACAGATGACCACTAGGCAAGAGATCGTCACAAGACCACCTCAAGAAGACCTTTTCTCGAGGAACAACTCATTAAAATTATCGAGACAAGGCAATGTACATGGTCTCAATTTGACCCCCAAGCCATATCAACTAGATAACATCAAAGCTCAGATGGACCACAGCTCCCGATCCCCTGCGAGGAAAGACAACACGAACAAAGATATGCCCATGGATAGAATTCAGCTGCGCTCCCTCCCGCAAATCAAAACCAGCCAGGAACCTTCATGTTGCTTCACTAACCCATGCAGCTATCAGTCGGAGGCCGGCACAGAAACTTCGTAACGTGATTTTATATTTGGTCGGATATCAAACTTCATCGTTTTGTTTCATTGGTAAACGTCAACATTCTATGCATCATATTTTCATGTACTGTCTTTTTTGCAACATTTTCATAATTTATGTATGAATAAAGATTTAATTTTCGAGGAATTTTAAAGATTTTTTTGGAATTTTTTAATTTACAATTGATTTTTTAACTGGAGAAAAAAAAAGGACTTGGGCTTTAACGTGCCCGAACCTGGCACGCGGGCTGGCACGGCCCAATACGGCCATCCCCTCCCTCGGTCGGAGCCTCAGGTGCTCTTTCTTGCAACCGGTAGTCACTGTCCTAGCAACATGGTAGGAAAAAGAACTGTGCTCCTACGACTCTAAAGGGGATTCACAATGGCTCGTATCCATGGATTTTTTCTACTTCAAGCAACCAAGACTTCCACATGATTTGATCTGATACGACGAAAACTTCTCGGTCCTAGCTTTGTTTTCCAATCAGCCACTCACGGATCAACGAGGCCGCAGGCACTCGGGCATCAGTGCGAAAGCGCCTTCTATTTTGATCACAACTCGGGGAAATGAAGTTAGAGGTCCTTCTGTCTGATGAAACTTGAATTGAGATTGGAATATAGGATGAATCAGTTTCTTAGTTACATGACAAGGATGATGCGAAATAGCCTTCAGTTGCTGATGCAAAGCATGGAGACATCATTCAAGGTTTCCCTAATGGCTTTCTCTAGCAAATCCCTCCAATCATCTTTTGTTCGACCTATCAGCCAGAGCAAAAAAAGGCTTGTGAGGAACTTTGGCAATGGAATCAGTGGAAGAACTCGTTCGGGTTTGAATTTTTTTTTTCTGACAAGCAAAATCTTTCCATATGACGTAAATTCCAAATAAAATAACTGCAAAGTTGAGATTTATTGGATAACTATCCGGATCACCGCAATGTGATTATCGAACATAAAGAAAATCACGAGCATTAACAAGCAAATATGGAATTGGATAGGCTAAAGTCCACTAGACCAACGCATTTCAAGATTTTGTGGGACCCATTGATTGTATTTCAAGAATTTGTGCGACGCAAACTAGGTCTCACTGAAAAAATGTGAATCCCATTAAGTTCCAAAATTATGATTGGCTTGGTCCAACACACACTCGTAGACTAAGTCTATTCATTTTATTCTCGTATGAAACAAATGTGGAATGACCGCTTGGAAACATGAATATCTCAAAAGCAGATTACTTACATCTTGGATTGCACATTGCCAATTGGAGCCAGCAGCGCATCATAATGTCCATAACTATGGTAGAGGACATTAATGGAGTTGTCAGTGCCATACTCTCGGCCATATTCAGCTATGATCTTCAGGCTACCCGAAAATCTTTCCTTCATAAAGACCGTAATGGGCATCCTAACAAGCGAAATATCGTATGACAGGCAGGAAAGTTATGAGCTCACTCGAATTGGGCAAAACCTTCATCCAAGACCAGTCGATTGCACTCCTGAAATCTAATTACTTCCTCAACTTTCAAAACTAAGTGCAAACCTTAAGAAGTCAGTAAACATGCGATGCATGCAATCTAAAAGGAAGGGAACTCACTGTAGGATGTGCGAGCACATAAGCAATTCAGGCTCTCCTCCCCATTTATGAGGCTGTCTCATCTCTGCTACATACGTGTCAAAATCGCTTTCGAGAAACCTGTGCTGGTACTTGATTAGTACAAAGACAGACAATCATGTTTGAAAGATAAAACGTGATCTGTCCAGTTTGACAAGTTCCGAGTATAGAGCCAAGCCAATAAAGGAAAAATCTCCGACCACATACCGTTCAATGTCTGCTCTCCTCTTAACAAATTCATCAGCAACCTGTCAAAATGATCAGTATTCTCTTTAAGAAAGTTATGGTAGAACTTATTGAGACGTCTTCCAAATATTGAAATCCATTTTACACAGCAACAACAAAGATACTCTGTAGACAACGACACGATTGCAAACTAACAAGAACAGCAAATGAGTGATCCGCGTGAATTTAGATAGTCGGCCATTGTATTAACTCTGGCTCATGGAGCTAGGAGATATAGCTGCACCACTGCAAGGGCGAGCTCAGTTGCACCATGTTTAAGTGATGCCTTATTTATAAGGCACATAACATGCCAAAATTATTAGGAAGCAGATGAGAATCAAGCTATTTCTAGAGACATGCTGAAAAGATCAGAGGATGTGATGGAATCAGAAAAGAAGCTGTCCTACTTTAGCTCTGAGCTCGTCAGCAAGTTGTTTTTGAAGGCTTTCACTTGGTGATTGCTTCCCAGTTCTTAGGTACGCACCATGAATCACAGAACGAAACAAACATCTACCATCTCCAGCTATGCCTGTCCCAATGAAACACATGCATGGCATGTCAAATCTTTTCCAAAATCAGATGTTATTTTTGTAGATGTTCAAACTCAATATAACAAACATATGCTGCTGATATTCATATCGCAAATTTTATGCAAGTACAGGTATAGTCCTGCAGATGCACAACACGGCGGACCGAGAATTATGGGTTGGTGATGACAGGTAAAATATACGTAAATTTTCGAGAGCGTCTTAATTCATCTTCCGAATGTCCATCTCATATGGCCCGCCCAAACCACTGAAAAAGAGGTCCGCAGTGGAGAAGAAGCAGGAGATGAATGATCAGTGCAAGGCATACTTTCATACATGAACAACTTTTCCCAATTTTTCCAGGGAGCCATCTCTTGAATTACCACGAAAACCAAAAGAAATTTACATGTAAACACGCGCACAAAAACAGAGACCTTGCCCAGGATCCATGCTAATGAACCAAAAATACTGGTGTAAAAGGAAAGCAAGAGCTCGAAACCGTGCCAAGGCCAATGGATATTTATACAAAACAACCATCCAATAAACTAAATCAAAAGGAAGAATCAAAGCGCAAGCAAGCATAAGCCCAACCCATGCATCAAGGAAAGCATCAAATTACTTTTCAAAACCATTAAAAAAAAGAACTTTTCAAGTCTTGAGCAGAGAAGTATTCCTAATCTTCTGATAGTTCAAGAAACAACCAATGCCAAAACGAGGCATCTCTCTCTCTCTTTCCAGCTTCAAACATTCAATGCATGCCGAAACAAAAACAAAAAAATGGCAGGAGAATGGACGAACAAAACAGGCACATACGAATCGTTCGAAATTGAGCCGGGTCGTTACCAAGCGAGTTTTCGGGTTTCTGCATCGTTTGGAACCAGACAATCCGCATTCAATCAAAGGGTCTTCCTAAAAGGAGACCCGGCACCTCGACTTCTCGAGAGGGAAGGAAAAAAAATGGAGAGCTCTTTCTACCTGTGAATGATTGAACGCGTGCGGCCTGGTTCCGGTAGCTGACTCTGCGAAGTTGACATGAGAGAACAAAATGATCGGAACCTTTCTCTCCTGGTGGGGAGCTTTGGCTGCGAAAAGTTGGCGATGGAAGAATCAAATTCGATGCTCATTCTTTCTTCGCGTAAGCAACAAGACGAGAGAGCGGGACGATCGCTGGAGGGTCTTTGTGACAGCGACGCGATGCTTGAACAACGGAGGAAATCCAGTTTCCGTCCGAAATTGAAAATCTGTTGGGCCCATTTCGAATCTCTTCGTCCGGATCCATCTGATCGAATGTCCATCTGCCGTTGGTCATACGAATTTCTTATGGAATCTCGCTTTAGCGCGAAGCCCACGTGATCTATGGCTCGAATAAACTCGATCTAGCAAATACTCGAGACATGTACGAAGCTTAAATGAAGTAACGATTATTATACGGTGGACTCACATACTTTTAGAAAATGTGAGAATCGCCCCCTCTATTAAAGAAATTTGAATGAAATTTTGTTTTCCCATCATAATTAAAAATCCATCAACCTCATTCATAAAAGTCTTTGCAGAGCTAATGTGATCTGGTTGGATCAATCGCAACTTCTGCGTGAAGCATGTCCGAGTCAATTGTCACACAGTGCATTTGATGTTAAAAACTAAAATAGACATGATTATAGGTTTGCCGGTCGGTCCATGGGCCTGCTTAGGCTCGTTCGAGCTCGTCCGGGTCGAACGGGCTCGAAAAGCAATTTTAAGCCGGCTCAGCGAGTCTATTTAGTTACAAAAGCAGTCCAACCCTACCCGACAACGATAAAATGGTACTTAACATTGTGGGGAAAATTATCAATTCGGTCCTCAACCTATTGCATTTGTGTCAATTCAGTCCTAAACCTTTCAATTTGGCCAATTCAGTCCTAAACCTTTTGCAAACCAGCCAATTCAGTCCTTTTGGTCGGCCGGCGCTGACGTGGCCGCCGGCCGGCTGACGTGGCGCCGGCCGAGGTCCACATGGCAATATTTTAAATATTTTTTATTATTATTTTCGAATTTTTTTTTTCTTTTCCTTCTCCCCCCTGGCCTGTCCGGCCAAGGAGGAGGCTCGCCGGCGAGGGCGGAGCTCACCCAACCAAGGCGAGCTCCGCCTCATCGGAGCTGGGCGAGCTCGCCCAGCGGCGGCGAGGGCTCGCCCAGCCATGGTGAGCTGGGGCCCTCGCCCCGCCGCTGGGCGAGCCTCGCCCAACTCCGGCGAGGCAAATCTCGCCCAGCCATGGCGAGCTGGGCGAGCGGCGAGGGCCCAGCTCGCCATGGATGGGCGAGCTCTGTCCTCGCCTAGATCTGGCGAGGCGGAGCTCACCATGGCCGGGTGAGCTCCGCCCTCGCTCGAGCCGGGCGAGGCGGAGCTCGCCATGGCGTGGCGAGGCTCGCCGGCGGCGGCGGCGACGAGGCGGAGCTCGCCTTGGTTGGGCGAGCTCCGCCCCTCGCCCGGCGGCGAGGCCCGGCTCACCTCGCCGGAGCCGGGCCCTCGCGGCGAGCCTCCCCCCTGGTCGGATAGGCCAGGGGGGAGAAGGAAAAGAAAAGAAAAAAATTCGAAAATAATAATAAAAAATATTAAAATATTGCCACGTGGACTCCGGCCGGCGCCACGTTAGCCGGCCGGCGGCCACGTTAGCGCCGGTCGGCCAAAAGGACTGAATTGGCTGGTTTGCAAAAGGTTTAGGACTGAATTGGCCAAATTGAAAAGTTCAGGATTGAATTGGCACAAATGCAATAGGTTGAGGACTGAATTGGTAATTTTCCCTAACATTGTGTATGGGCAGAATTAGGGCACAAGTTTGTGAAAAAGACATTTTCTTGGGACTTAACTTCAAGTGGTGCAGCGTATGAAATGAGCAAAGAACCTCAAAACTTTTCAGGCACAAGATTCGTTGTCTCCTTTTGAGGTTTTGATGACTCGTATATCTCGCGTTGCTTAAATTAGCTCCCATGCTAATGGAGCTCCACATGAAGAGCAGTAAGATGCGAACAACCATCACAAGCGCTTGTCATTTGCTCTTATCGATTCTAAAGAGACATAATACGACACATGCATACAGTTCCTCTGGCGGGCGAAACCTTACGAGAGAATTAAAGTGGACGAAATCGTGGACGGGGTGAGGCGTGATGACGAGCTCGTCGGACGGAGGCAATCGGACGGAGGCCCAGAAGTTGCCGAGATTGAGAGAGATGGTGCGGGCATAGTAGATGTTGCTAGGGTTCCCTAATAGATCGATGCAAGTGCAGACCTTGTGCTCGATTGCTACATCGGAAACAACCTGGAATTTGGCGCATTGGCATGATCGTGCGTGCGTGAGAGAGAGAGAGAGATAGGAGTCAGCTAATGAATTGTAGCTACCGATGGAGCTCCAAAGGTAGAGGGGGCTCGAGACCTAGTAGCTGTGACCGATGGGGCTCCTGGGGGAGTCAACATGCTCGAGGCAGATCTGAGTAGTAGTTACGACCGGGGTCTTTGGGTGACGCGGAGGTGGTGGGACGTGCCAGATAAAGAAAGAGAGGATGTGTCTCTGTTGTTCTTCTCCAAGAGAGAATGTTAAAAACCTTAGAAAATTGAAAAGAGGAGAGAGTTTTAAGCGAGAGTTTAAATATGAGCATTTATTGTTGCTTGTGCTTAGTCCTTTTTCGCCGAGGAGATAGGGAAAGGAAGGTTTTTGTTTTTATTATTTTCTAGCTAATTCATGTCAGAAGACACGTCTCGCCTTTTGATTAGAGTTAACCAGGCTCACGGACGCCACGTGGACGGGTGACGTGGTGATTACTAACCTCCCAATATTTTCTCCAAACAGACGAAGTACATTTTACTTAATGGGCTCTCAAAATCTGGTGCATTGAAACTAGCCCATCGTCTTTCGACAAAAAAAAAAAAACTAGCCCATTGTGTTTTTCTCCACAATAGTTGTTGTCTTGCTACAGCCCAAGTTCAAAAGCCCAGCCCAGCCCAGCCACAGCCACAGCCACAGGACGTTTCTTCTTGCTGGCGCTCGCGTCGAGGTTTCGAGGCGATCGACTTCCTTCTCCTCGGCCGTCTCTCTCTCTACTCCGCAGCTCTCGATCGATGGCAACAGAAGATTCCCAGGCGCAAATCGACGAGTGCCGCGAGCATAATCAAGATTGACGACGCTAATTGGGCGTACGGTTTTTCTCCCCCTCCCGTCTTCGTCCGCGCCGATTCGTTTGGAACGCCCGATCCAGATCGCAGGTCGCCGGCGATTCGAGCGTCTCCCGGGCAACCCTGAATTCAGATTGCGGTACATTCTCGGTGACATCTTACGTCGCTTTTAGACAGTCTGGGCTTGTGAACAACGGTGCTGAGCATGTGTAGATCTTGTGATTTGCAGATTGAGGAAAGCGGAGAGCTGCGAGATACACCGTCGGTGATATTGACATGGTAACGTGAACTCGAGCCTCTGAATTTCGGAATGATTAGCATTCATACATATGATTTTGCGATTAACAAGCTTGTGTTGGTCTTTTGTCCAGTCGGCACTGTTCAATTTCCATTCTTTTCTCACGGTAGTGCTGCTGGTAATATGTACGTGTACTTATGTGAAGATGCACTTTCCGGCCATTCTGGAGCAGAGGACTGGGTATGTTCTTTGAATCATTCACCACCAACTACGGTTGAGCTGATCGTGATTGTCTATCGGATATGTTTTGGTAGTTTTGTGTTGGAGTAGAAGTATACTAGGCGCGGCAAATGTTTACCTCCGCATTTGCAATATGAAGTAGTTCGCTAGAAAGCAGTAAGTATCATTGTGATTTGGGTTTCACGAAAAGCATCTTCCCGCCGTACCTGCTAGCTCTGTAAGAGAAGTAGAAAAACAACCCTTTACTTTGCTGTTTGCTTTACTAATGTCACTCTTGATACGAGTGATCATTGGACTTGAGGTGCCTGAACTGAATTTTTCCCTTAACTATTGAACCTTGATTTATTCCGATTGGACTGCTCTAAGTTTGCCCCCCAAAAATCAGTTTTTTGACCTGGTTGTGTCGGCAAATGCCACATCTATTGCAAACATATGAAACCAACGGTGTTTTGATGTCTGACTTTAAGTTTGGGGCATTGATGTAGATAGAAGACAGAAAATCGAGAAACAATAGTTAGAATGAAGAAGGGCTGCATCCGTACTCAGTAAATGCTCACTGCATCATCCTTGAAATTTGCACGAGAAGAGTTCTAAACAGAGTCTTTGTTTGGCCGTAGAGAAATTTTATAGTCCTTTTTACTTACATTTTATTGAAATTCTTTGACTTGTTCAAATATTCACGTCATTGTTTGACAACGATCTCCTTCAATGACTGATACTGAACCTCTCGATAAATAAACATTTTGGCATGTATTAAGATGAAGGTTTGTGGAAATTCGGTAATACAACACAAAGGAGGTAAGCTTATGGCCTATTAGCCTTGCCTTTGGGATCCCTGTTTAATGGCCACTCTTTACCATAGTTTACATCCAGTATATAGCACATTTATTAGTCTAGTTCCTTATGATCTTGCTGCAAACATTGCAGGTTTCGTGGTTTCTTTTGGAAGGCAGCTAGAATAGGTATGCAACCCTGTCCCTGCTGCAGCGTGTGTAATGTCGATGTCATGGGCCTTTGAGTGTCCTCTAAAGTTTTTCCTGGTACATCATTTGTCTGGATAGCTTAGCTTAAAATTGTTATTTTACCATAGTCAATCTTGATTTCTGCTTCATGCTACAATATAGTCCAAGCAACGAAATTAAGGCTCCGTTTGTTTTGCGGAAAATGTGACATTTCTAGAAAATGTTTTCCGGGGCAAGGAAAATAACTCTATTTTCCGGTGTTTGGCTGAGACTTAATAATGAACTGGAAAATATTTTCCGTCGTTTGGTAAGGAAAATCTCATTTGGTCGGAAATTGTTGACGTAGACACCGGCCGTCCTAGTCATATTTTGGAAAATGATTTCCGATTTTTTAAAGAAGAAATCATTTTCCTGAATTTAAGCTTTGGTAGGAAAACTTTTTCCATTGACTAGGAAAACATTTTTGTTGACTTATTTTCCTAAGTGAACCAAACACCGGAAAATGAGGAAAATGTTTTCCGCGAAACAAACGAAACCTAGGCTATCAATCAATATCTTGTATTTCCAATTAGCAAACTGCCTTATTTATACGGTGCTTAAATAGAAGGTGGATTTCATTTGATGTGATCGGGTATTCCACGTCAAGATCCTTTTCCTTGTATAATTGAAGAAATGAGTTGAATTTGGTTCTATTTCTTTGTTTGACTCCTGCATGAAGTTCTTTAGCATTCTGGTTTCCCATTGAAGCTTGCATATTTATTTCTGGAAATCATTTGGGGGAATGAATGATTTGTTCTTTCCTCCACCTGCTATGCATCTCTTTGGCTGATGATCTTTTCCGTGTCTTTGGAATAGGTGAGCGTCTTAGTCCTTGGGTGGCCATCGGATGTTTTTCAATGGGCGTGTCCATTATATTCTTCTAAGCAAGACATGCTTGTAAGCTTCATGTTTTCTTAACAGTTATGTATGCAATGTGAAAAAAATAGTGTGTTGTTTTAAGATACACGCAATCATTCACTGTCGCAGGGGCAAGTTTTATGCATTTTTTGAACTGGATGGTCTTCTAGATTAGGCTCACTTGCTTCTTTTATACACCGAGAGAGAGAGAGAGAGAGAGAGAGAGAGAGAGAGAGAGAGAGAGAGGGGGGGGGGGGGGGGGGGGGGGGGGGGGGGGGGGGGGGGGGGGGGGGGGGGGGGGGGGGGGGGGGGGGGGGGGGGGGGGGGGGGAGACGGAGGGAGAAAAAAAAAGAGAGAGAGAGAGAGCTTCTTTTAGAGAGAGAGAGAGAGAGAGAGAGAGAGAGAGAGAGAGAGAGAGAGAGAGAGAGAGAGAGATTTGTGGGTTTAAATACCAACAACACAACAACACTGTTCACTCCTCGATTCTGTGAGAGAAATACGGAGTGCGATCTCATGTATTATTTTTACATCTTGATGCATGTAGTATGTACCTGGTTTGCTAGCGTCAAAGTTTGGATGATGAGGGAAAAAAAGGGTTGGATTAGGATGAAATCAGGATCTTGGGGTCCTTGAAGCCAACAGGGACACAAGCAAGAACGTGAACTGCTAGTTTGCTCTTGAATCTTCTCAAGACTAAACCTTTCCCTCCTCCCCAGCTAAATACTGAGAGGATGATTTTCTTCATTGGTTTCTTCTTGTTGCTCTGAGCTGGTACGTTGACTGTCTCATCGCCATTTCCTTGGTCTTCTCCTCCCAAGTGGAGAGGATAACTCCTCAAAAACGCTCTCCTAATATTGTAGTCTTCGTGGCGAAAACTCCTCGATCTTGCCTCATTTTCATCTAAGCCATTGCAATCCATGCCTGAGCATTCTGTGTGAAGTTGCTGAGCAGAACTCAAAGTTTTATAGTCCATAGATAGTGTGATGAGGTTGTCAGTTATTAATGAAAGTACTGGATAATCCCACAAGATACGAGAGCGATCAAGACTGAATAATTTATTTGCTGAAAGCTATTGTGAACTCTTGTATTTGGTTTATTCACAATTTTCCACAAGGATATACTGGCATGTACTGCGTAATTCGTCCATATGAGGGAGACAGATAGGTAAATGCGTTTTTAAATGCTTGTTTAGAGTTGATCTTTTCCATATGTCAGTGCAACTGTTGAGTCTGAACACGATGCTCTACATTTATTCTTTTGTTTTCTAGTGTCGAATACATGGGCAATCTGTCTGGAAGAGGAGTTGGTATTGTCGCCAGGGTTGACAATCCTCCAGATCGAATGGGAAATTCCTACTTGGTTAGGGAGCAACATTCTCTACAATTCCGATTTCTGTTGGTTCAGGTCTCAATCTTTGCTTGGAAAACTAGGAATATTACTCTTGAAATTGACATTTTCTGTCATATTTCGAATTGAAAATGACCGCGATCCTTCCTATGCTTGGCCTAAATTATATAGGCAATCCCCCTTATTTAAAATCACCTCCATTTTTTGTGCCTTCAGGATCAGTATTTTGTCCTCCATCCCCTATTTTGTATCTCTGCTTTTGAAGGTTTCCTATCTACAGAAACTTCGGCCATCTTTGTTTGGCATATGGGTTGGGACGAGAGCATTCTTGTCTTCTCTAGCTCTGTTCTTATTCTCGCTTTTCTTCATTCGGCCAATTCTTCGTATTCTCGATTGTTTGGTGTGTAAAGATAGAGGAAACGTTATTTTATGATCCCTATGATATCAATATAGAGAACTACGAGTACAAGACAAAATCAGCAGCTTGCCGTCGAGGGCCATTGCTCACCCTGGAGGCATCACGTCAAATTTTTAGAAGTCAGATGCCTGAGAAGCTAATCCACAGGTAAGGCACGTTGAAAATGATCTCGAATGGTGTCTATGTTATCGCTCGTCTATAACGAAATGGTGATTTTTTTGTCTTCTTATGTTTTTTGTTTTGTCTAGTTATAAGAATAAAGAATATCCAATGAAGGTTGCCCAAATTTACGAGGGATAACCGCAGGAAAGACCTTAAGATCACTAGCCAAACAAATGATAAAAGCTTGTAGTGGGGTTTTTGCAGATTATTGTGTGAGGATTGCTACGGGGAACAGTACGATAAAGATGGGAGGAAATTGGGTGAGGGGAGAAATTTTTAAAAAAATAATGAAGACCCGATGAAACTAATTCGCAAGACAGAGTTGATATTAGGTTAGAACTTTTTTGGCGAATAATTTACGTCTTAGCAGTAACGTGAACCGTAGGGCAAAAAGCAAGGCAAACCATTTGCCATAGCCTGTGGCAAAAGCATTAGAATCCCCTCCAATTGGAAAAACATGATCCATATCATGGCTCATTGAAGTTAGTTCAATGTGAATGTACATCTTACCAGAAGTGGTCATTTCTTTGTGGATAGGATCCATGGAGAAACATTATTAATGGAGGCCGTATCGAATTAAGGGCGTATATGAAGCAGCTGATGCAGCACCTTTGGTCGAAATCACCTTTTTTCATCGACGGTATATCTAGTTAAACGTCCATGATTTTCTATTATAGGTAACAACCGGAGGACGTTGGTCGCTTTGCAAGTTTGCTATGAGAATCGAAGATTGCTTGGACCGAATTGAATTTAGTTGAGTGAGATGATGAAAGGTTGCATAGTTAGGCGCGGTAGATATAGACGAAGTCTTTGTTGAATTCGAAAGCAATGTGAATGGCGCATGCAAGATGCATGATTTAACTTCAAGCGGACATGTTTTTCCGAGGCATGTTGGGGGCTGCGACAAAGTGAGTGGCGCTAAGAATGTAGCAGAACACAACCGATAGGCACAACCGTCGTCTTCAGTTTTTCGTGAATTCACGTGCAACATTTTAATGTGGGTCTCTTTTCTTCTGGCGAGTTACCAGATTGTTATAAAACTAGAAGCATGTTGCCATATATGTAGAGCCTCGACCAAAGGAATGGGCCGAACAACTGAGGCTTTGTTTTAGATGGGATAGATCCTTTGTTCAGAGTCGCACAAGTATCCCAGATTGAGCAACCTTGTAGCAATTGAGTGAATTTATATGAGCGAGGTGGATATCCATGGACATGGCAATTTACATGGAATTGTGTGACTCTGAATTGGCAAAAAAAAATTGTGTGACTAGTGCAAAAGTGCAATAGGTTTAGGACTCAACTAGTAATCAGTCCTAACCTTTCGTTTCAAATGGAATTGTGTGACTCTGAATTGGTAAAAGTGCAATAGGTTCAGAGTCACAAAAATATTTGTGGACATGGCAATTTACATGAATTTTTTTTTTTTCAGATTAGTTGAGCCGGAGATTTGGATATTTCATGTTATTCAGTAAAACAACATTTATATGAATGAAATTCATCCTTGGTGTTTACTTTTGACACGAAAAATAGCATTCTTGAAGGGTCTGACTTGTCGTTCCAATCTCCACGAGCCACCCATGACTAGTTCTACAGCCATTGTTCCCTTCGATAAGCATAAAGAAATTGTCTACCGAGGAGAAAAATGTATTTCAATGATTTGATGAAAATTGAGAATTACAACCTTGAAAACACGTGGAGTATATAATTTTAAGCGTGGCATACAGTGAATCGTGTTTTCTATTGAAATATAATATATATAATTCATTAGAATGAGTGGTCACATTTATCAAAATATGCTCCTTTTTTTTTTAAATTTGGTTAACAAGTGCTCTCTAGGTCACTCATCAAAAACTTATACGAAGAAAGATTGTCATTTCTGATGCATCGTTTGTCTCGTACGATCAGCAAATCAGTGCATTAGACCCTTCTCTTTTTGGTTTTTGATTAAACCTAGAATGAAAACAATTACCAAAGGATAGCTTCATAGCATGAGGATTCCTTGGCCCGAGTAGATTAGCTTCTGCCTATGATCTTTTTGCAAGCCTCCAGACTTAGCTTTCCATCTTTTTTATTTTTCTTGTTAGACCAAGATGGTGATGTTACCATCTCGTTGTCCCGACTCAAGCCATAAGAATAACGACAGTGATATAAAGTCGATCTACTAAATTGATTTATAAGACGAGAGGTAATATACTTCTAATATATTATCTATCCGACATTTGACACATCGCATTACAAAATCAGAATTTGGAAAGCACGCCTTGTGCTCCTGAGATTACTTAAACCAGAAAGTAGTCAATTCCAAGGGATCGTCCATAAGTTGCATCGCTCCCTGGTTCATGTCCAAGAAACTTCATGGAAGTTGCCTGATGGTGGTCTGGTTTTATGGGGTTACTTGGCGATGCTGATGATGGTGACTGGTGAAGGGGACGCCGCGGCATGGGTGGCAATGTTGCGACGGATGGTGGTCTGAGCGTTGCAAATGACTAACGCGAGTAACGAAAGTATTGATTATCGAACGTTGTTCGGATCACTGACCCTTTTTTGCGGAATTTACAGGACATGCACAATTCGTGTAGAAAGAAATTAGTCTAAATTATATCATATAAATGAATGTGTGATTATCTAATGTATGTAATCATTTATAGTATATCAAAGTTGTTGGCTCGGATTTATGAAGGACATGCCCTTTTCAATACGGAGGCCATAATAACTGTGCACTATGCTTCTATCAAAAAAAAAAATTTGCGTACTATGCTAGTTTTCATTGCTTCACGAAAGTGAGCGAACGGAGCAGATATTATATAAACTCTATATATACTCATCAATATGAAGAAATAATTACATGATTGTTTATTCAATATATATTCTAATTTTTTGATAATTTAACTATATAAAAAGGCAATTATTAAGCACCCGGTCACAATCTGACATCAAATTCAAAGCCTCCGTCTTTAGTTCCTTCTATCTATTTTTTTAAATATATATTTTTTGTTTTATTTTTTGAGATATATCGGTAGATAATGGGAGGAATAGTTCAGGGAATGAATGCGAGATAGAGACGGGGAGCAGATGGCTGGAGAAGTCAAGAAAAAGACTGACAATTCAAGTCCCAGGGTCGATCCCGATTGGTCTGGCTTTCGCTATTCCTGTTCGTTTTGCGACTCCAAGAGAGAAAGGCGAAAAATCCGCATTAAATGAGACGCTCGATTTGGTGCGCGCCACTCGTATTAATTTTGACTTCACGACCTTCCCACATTTCTTTGAGATAATCATGAAAGGAAGATTTAATTCTAAGTTAATATATTTTATTGAGAAATGAAACGATTCTTATGAGATATAAGTTGATAAATATGATGTGTTTACAGAATATTGCAGACACCGGTTCGCTTGAAATATCGAAAGATTATTTACACACAATAGGTGCGTTCACGGCTTTCGCGACCGATGCAAAAAATAAATAAAATAAAAATCCCTAATGGCAAAATTCAGAGTTGTAATCATGCCATACGTCACGAAAGTTATTTTGAGCTACTCTTACTTTTTATTTTTTATTCAAAATCCAAATCTCACGACTCGCGTACTTTGTTTTTTTTTTTGTTGAATTCGAAACCCTCGGAACTTTCACGGTACCGAGATGACGACTTGCGAGTTTGCTAGTTATAAGCAATTTCTTCAATAACTTTTTTGAAATCCAAATGACAATGAATGTTTTAACGAAAAGGCGAAAAGGGTCGACCTTTCGCTTTTACTAGGATACAAGCAAACCAACCCTAAATCTACATGAACCAGGAATCAGCATTGCATTCAATGTGTTTCTGATCATAGGCCAGCACAACCAACAGATGTGGATGCTTCATCTTCTTTCTACTCGGAGATGGACATGATCTAATTTTTTATTTTCCTAAATTTCGATGTTTCTCTTTTCTTGTTCTTTTTTTGGCCTTTTCTCGAGGAGGGCATAGGAAGGCGGGAAGAAAACGCCAATCAAAAAGATTACGCCCCCGCTGCGCAGCCCACTTCCGTATGATATTTGTCTATGCCGACGCCAAGTATGGTCTCCGCGTAGAGACAATGGCGGAAATGACCAACGAGAACAGAAGACCTCTTTTATCTTTTCTTGTCATTTTTCGGACAATGACAAAAGAAGAATGAAAGGAGGACTTTGTTCTCACTCGCTCCGCACCGTTTGCATCGATACGTCGTAACCTAAGATCGATTTTATACGAAAAATTAAAGTTAATGCCCGGATAATAATTGCAAAATCGACAATACGAACACGGGCTCTCACGTGCAAATCGGAATAGGAGAGTTGGCACGCGAAATTTGACTAACAGGGTGGACGCACATACGAAAGGAACCGAAGCTGACTTTGACACCGTGTTAGAAAGTCCAACTCATATGCATATAAAGAGCATATTAACCTCATATTGTCTCTCTATTTTGGTATAAGCTAAGCTTACTCATTTCATACCGTAGTACAGCTGCTCATCCCGTTTTCTCGAGGCTCGAAGTTTAACTCTAGATTGGCACGTTCATGTTTCTTCGTGGTGCCATTTCGAGAGCACATACGCACTTGCTAGCCAGATAGACACTAGAAGAGCTCTGAATTCCCATATGTAGTTGCCATGACATGTCGCGATACGAGCATTCTCCCGTCGTCATGTATTAAGCGCGAGATCGCCTATTCCGAGGACCTTGAGTAATTTCGAGATTTTGGAAATATCCCATCTAATAATGATTTATGGTCAGATGTAGCCGCTAAAGTATACGGACTTTTCAGGAAAATAATTGACGTGGCGTGATTAGTTTCACACACTACTTTTTTTTTTGTCGGGGTCGAAATTCACATACTACTTTTAGCAATGCATTTATGTGGAAAACATTATTTAAAGTGGCTGTGGTCCACGGCAGGCCCTGCCCACAGCACATTACTTCGCTTTCAGGACCGATCATCTTCCTCCCCTCTGCCAGACCTTCTGTTGAGTTTGAGTGGGCAGTGGCTTTTACCTCCTTCAAGCATAAAGCCAAAACCATCAAATCATTGCCCTCCAGAAAAGAAAAACAAAGAAAAATCCAAATCTTAACTTCCCTTCTCTCTCTCTCTCTCCATAGCAGTCTCTTCAGAAAGATCAACTGAACTTCGGGCCCTTGAGCTTTGCTGCTGCAATGGAGGTGGTATGAGGGGGAAGATAAGCCGGAGACAGAGCCAGAGCCAGAGCCAGAGCCAGACAGACCCGTCATGGGTAATTGCGTCACTGTTCCCAGGAATCAGAACCCCGCCGCCATGAAGCTCGATCTGTCCGTGGCCCCCAAGACCGACGGCGTCCCGGTTCAGGAAGCGGGTGCCGAAGCCCGGAATTCGGTTGGCGAAGCCGGTCCGAAGCCGCAACCCACGCCTGTGCCGAGCTTCCGCGAGCTCGGTATGGTTTTTTGTACGAGCTGTTTCGTTTTTTCACTCGTGTTCATGATCAGATGGTACCCTTTATGACTTGTTTCGACTTTGCATAATCTTCCTTTTTCCTTTTTGGCTTTTCTGCGACTGTCTGTACGGTGAGATTGGATAGAAGCAGCCAATTCCTCTGTGGGTACAAATTTTGAGGTTTATGGGTGTGGTGTGGGGCTCGTGTCTGTTTTTCCAATTACTTAACAACGTTGCCAACTTGCTACATTTTGGCTACTCTCCTTTCGTAGTTGAGTATGTATTGCGCTTTTTGTAACCGACGGCTTTCTCAATTGGTTATGTTCAGATGTAATTTAGATTCTTTGCTCCGTACTAAAATGCAGTTGGATCGAGAATTGCAATATAGTTCCAGGGTGCTTTTGGGTTCTCGATGCTCAGTGTTATGCTGTTGTTGGCTGGCTATTGAAGCTTGATTGCTTAAACCGTAAAGTGTCCAACGTAGGTACCAAGGAGGAGATGTTCTTTGAATCTCAAGGCTGGTGGGAATCTGACTGTGAAGATTATTTCAGCGTCTGCGATGGTAATCTTATATCCTGCGGCCGCTCGCGCTTACAGCTGATTCACGCAATGTCCATGTGTTTGTTGCATATAAAAGGGTTATAACTTTTGTGACCTGAATACATTTTACTTGTGTAGATGGAACCCCGTCTCGTGGCAACACTCCGATCCACCCCAGAAGCTCTTTTGGAAATGTGCCGGTGAATAAATCTCTTCAGGCGGATGGAGCGCTTAATTCCGTGCCGCCCCCGCCGGCTGAACCCAAGAAGCTGCTCTTTGAGCTTTTCCAGGAAAGTTTTAATGCGGATGCTGTTCATGAAGATCAGAGTTTGCAGGTAAGGTTGAATGCCAAGTCAAGTGATACCACATTCCCTACCGAGTCCCCAATGAAAAGCCCATTCAGTCTTGGGAGGAACTCTGCCTACAGCAGCGAGGCAACCCCGAACCGATCTTCGAAAACAGCGAAGGTGAAATCCGGACCATCTTCCCAGTGCTGCCTACCGAATTTGGTACGAAACCTGAGTTTTGGCGAGAGGAAGAAGAGGATGAGCCCCAGCTATGGAGGTGGAAGCACCCCGAAGCCTCAACAGGTCGATAGTACACTTGCATAGCATTGCTATGATTGAGTTAACTGTAAAAAGCTTCCAAATGTCTAGTCTTTTAGACTTTTAAGGCATACTTCTATAGGGATACTCGGTGTGTAACTACTTGGCAAACTCCTGTGCATTTTTTGAGTGATGGCTCCTGGAATTTCCCATAGTATCATTTCTTAGAATTTGCTGGTAATCAGATGGTAACTATGCATTACACGCCTCTTTACTGCACATAAGTTTTATATCACAAGGCAAGCTTGTGTATGAGCCTGTGAGGTATTACCCATGTAATTTTGTTGTTGGAGTGGATATCCTGGACAGTAATCAGAATGAGGGGACATTCTTTTTGCAGTCGCAGATATTCCCTTCAAAGCCGAAGATAAACTATTTTTGGCTGCATTTAGGCTGCTAGGATATTTCATATATGTAGTTTCTACCTGTAGGTCACTGCATGAGGTCGAAATTTTGTGGAGGAAATGCTAGATTCGGTCGCAGCTGGAGTTCGAGTGCAAATGTTTAAAATCTATAACTAGCCTGAAGACCTCAGCCACACATGGCTGATAGATAATGGGTTGCTATTCACTGTAGAGGCCTTTTTCTGTCTTGGAAATAGGTGCGGGTCAATCTAGCGAATCTCTACATTGAATGAAAATGATTTACTCTATGTTGTGTGCTGTAGGATGGGGTAAAGGGCAGGGGTTTTACAGAAGTTAATACTATTAGCCGAAGCTTATAACGACCATATCCATTAATATAAGCAGAACTTGACTCAAATGAAGTATCTTGCTCGTCTCTTCTCAGTGAAACATCAGGTTCTGTTCTCCATATTCCTCCGCTAACGAGCTGTGTTCAGTTGGATGACCAAATAGAGCTTGTCCTTCATTTTATCAATGAAATTGAAATAAGCTCGTCTCCAGGACGTTTTTATCACCAGTGTGCTGCAAACAGACCAGAATCCCACCAAAAATCCTAGTATGATGCTTATGCAGAACCATATTTGATCATCTATCTTATTTCCTTCATCTTTGCCGTCGTCATCTTGTCCGTTCCACCCTGTCGGAATTGAGCAATCTCGTGACAACGGAAACATGCAGAGGCCTGGATTTCCCTCAAAGCTGCGTGTTTTGAACGTTTGCAACTGGCTGTGTCCGGGAATTTTTCCATACAAGTTGTTGTACGACAAAGTTCAAACTCCTCAATGACGTCAAGTATGACATGCTAGGAGGAATTTGGCCTGAAAGGTGGTTGAATGAGAGGTCGAGAGTTTCCAACTGTTTCAACCCCGATATGTTGCCCGGTATGCTTCCCGTCAGTTGGTTGTTCGACAAGATCAGTGCCCTCAAGGTAGAGAGATTTGATATCTCTGGAGGAATTTCACCTGAGAGGTTATTTATCAAAAGGTCTATCATGTTCACCGGCGGAACCAATTCGTTATACTCCATCGACCTTCCATTCATGTTTAACTCGATGCTTCCCCGGAGTAAAAACTACGGAATTCCGGGGGTAACTTGTAGTAAGGCCCTGAAGATTTCATCCCTGCCATATTGCCAAGACATCTGGGAATCACTCCGAACAAGTCGTTATTGGCAAGGTCCAAGACATGCAGCTTCAGAGAGTTGCACAGTTGTTCAGGAATTCTTCCGCTGAAACTATTGGACCAGAGGATCAATTCCGATAAGGAATTGAGGCTTTCTTCAGTCCACTGCGGTATTATCCCGTGAAGTCTGTTTTTCCCTAGATCGAGTGTGTACAGGCGAGTGCAGTTTAACGAGCAAGAGTGTAACTCTCCAGAAATACTGTTGGTGCTCAGCTTTAGCCATTCAAGGGAAGGTAGTAACGAGCACATCTGGCAGGGAATGTGACCGGAGAAATTGTTCTTGGAAAGATCCAAGATCTTCAGTTTCGGCATAACAGTCCACCCAGCGTAAATATCTCCAGAGAGAGCATTGTTCGATAAATCAAGATAGACCAGATTCTTCAGCCTGCTCACTGAAGAAGGTAGGTCCCCGGAGAGTGAGTTGTTTAACACATCCAGGTACTTCAAGGCCGACATGCGGCGGTTGACGTTTGCTGGGACAGGTCCTGAAAGCAAGTAGTCTTTTAAAGAGAGTTGATTCACATTCGACCAGAGGGGAAATGAACCCTCCAACCGGTTGGAAGCTAAGTTGACTATAGCTTGAGAACCGAAATCCAAGAATCTGGGAAGCTTCCCCACCATTTGATTTTCGGAAAGATTTACCGTCCGAAGTTGTTGAGACATTTCCCATAGCCAATCGCGCATTGTATCTGAAATCGCAGCTCCTGAAAGGGTCATGCTCGACAGTTTCTTCTGATTCTTCAGCCATTTGGGAAATTCCAGGCCCAACTGGCAATTCTTCATCTGGATGGAACTTGGATTGAAAACGGGAACCCAACCATGGGTGAATCCGAACATCAGCGAACTAGCCCGATAAGATGATATAGGTCGAGATTTTCCAACTCTTTTAGATTCCGGAGATGACTTCCCATAGAAAGACCTTCCCAAGAATTGGAATAAAGACCCAAAGTGGTCAGCTTCGACAGTTGTCCTATGCTCTCTGGTATGGTACCATTCATCTTGTTGAAGGACAAGTTCAGCTCAACCAATCGTGACAGATTTCTTAGAGAACTCGGGACCGGTCCCAGAAGGAATTAGGAGAGTTGAAGAACTTTCAAATATCTGTGCAATCCCAAAGAGTCGGGCAACAAACCTTTGAACTTGTTGGCACTCAAATCTAGCTCCTCTAAGCTGATATTCTTGCATCCGGACAAGCCCACATCAAGCTCCCTTATGTTTCCTGTCGAGTTATTAAAGGACAAGTCCATCTTCCGCAGTTTGCACAGCACACCCTCTGCAACAGCAGGAATGGAGCCCTTGAGTTCAGAACCAGTGAGTGTGAGCTCAAGAAGAGTTGTGATGTTGAAAACCCACTGAGGCATTGTGGAGTTGAAGTTGTTAAAAGAGAGATCAAGAACCAAAAGCGATGGGAAGTTCACAAATGATAGAGATTCAGGGAACTGAGAAAACTGACATCCCACCAAGTGCCACTCCATTAGAGAAGGAAGCATGCTGACCTTCTCTGGCCAATGAGCAGATCCCTTCCTGAGATTGACACCTCCCAAGTTAAGGTAATTCAAAGAAGATAGACTGGAAAGCCAATTTAAATCCGAAACCCGGAGATCTTGACTGGAATATGGGTCAACAGTGAGGTCAAGATAGTGCAAGTTTGAGAGATTCCCTAATTGGGGAGGGAGTAATCCACCAAATGATGCCTGGGAGAGATCAAAATAGGTCAACCTCTTGAGAGAGCCTATGAAACTGGGAATGGGGCTGCCTTGGAAATTGTTGTGGCTCAGATCCAAGTAAGTCAAGTACTTCAAATCAAGCAAGGAAGGACTCACTTGGCCACTCAGACACATTGGCTTGTAACCTTTAGTACAGATTCAGCATCACCTACCATTTCACATATGTCAGGGCTTCTAAGATCCAACTTCACGACACGGCCGTGTGGTTGTCACAGCTCACCCCGACCCATCCGCAGCAATCTTGGCTGGTCCAGGAAGAGAGTCAATTTGAAGGGTCTTTGAGACCGGCTTTGAGTCTCAACAGGGCTTGTCTTTCCTTGACAGGGCAATTGGTGGTGTTGGAGTTTATTCCATTGGCTTCAAGAGCATGAAGCTGTGAAAACTAGGGAAGGGACAGAAGTGGAAGAAGTAGAAAGAAAGCTTTCACAACGACCATCTTCACTCAACAAAATCTAACAACGATAACACCTGTGTAGGGACTTTTATGTGTAACCTAGAAACGAAATCTTTACGCTTATTGGTCTTTGGAGTATTTTCCATGCAAGGGACTAGACTAGTAAGGGCTGTACATTAGCATTAACATTACTTAACCATTTTAGTAATCTCCTCCATTAATTTCTAATGATATTCCTGGTCAAACCAGGCTAGCAGTTAGCACTTGGAAGGCAGAAATTCCAGTCTCTTTTTTTCTTTTTAACCAATGACACGAGTTCTGAACTTACCGGCTCTAACTCATTAGTCATTAGTCAGGGTGCAGCAAACAGTCTTGTCCATGCACATTGAGTAAGACCCGCAGAGCTTTCAATAGTATCATATGAACATGGATCACATCGTGTTCAAATAAAATTTTGTTTTATTCGGTTGATTTCTTTTCATTGAGAAAGTCAAGAAGTACACCATCGGTCACCTCTCTCGTGATAGATTTGTCATTATCTAATTATCTAATTACGTATAGGGCGCATGTTGTCAGAAATTAGTATAAGAACACTAAGAGTGTCATAACTTTCATACGGCGCTCACTTGAGTTTATAACTTTTTTTTCGCTCATTTGAGTGCTACATCGGAGTAAAATGGATCATTTGAGTGCCATTTCCAACAAATAATCCTACGTGGACTTCTTAATTAATTTTCCATCCGAATTTTTTAATATTATTTTATTTTATTTTATTGATTTTTTTTTAAAAATTTATTTATCTTTTTATCTTTCTTATTTTTCCTTTTTTTTTTCAAGGTTGGCAAGGGTTGCCGGTGACCCTCGCCGGAGGCCTCGCCCTCGACCAAACTGTGCGAGGGCCGCCTCACCATCAACCGGTATGGCCACAAAGGCCCTTGGCGAGGTCGATGGCCTCGCCAACTGAGAGCGAGAGCCTTTGCCGCCTCACCCGCGACTGGCGAGGCCATCCCGGTCGCGAGCGCGGGCAAGGCGGCCTTGCCCGAAGCCGCCCAGATCTGGTGACGGCCTTCGCAACCTTGGCGGCCTCACCCAGGGCCTTCACGACCAAGGGCAAGGCAGCCCTCGCCCAATCTGGGCGAGGCCTTCACAGCCGGCGAGGGTCGCCGATGACCCTTGCCGGCATTGAAAAAAAAATTTGCAAAATCAAAAAAATATTAAAAAATTATCCACATCAGCTCCGGGTAAGTCACGTAGGACAATCGGCATCCACGTCATATTTTCTAGCGAGACAAATCGCCGATGGCATTCAAGTGATCAATTTTTCAAATTTGTAGAACTCAAGTGAGCGAAAAAAATTATGATACTTAAGTAAGTACTATACGAAAGTTATGACACTCCTAATGTTCTTATCCCCAGAAATTTTTATCAAATAACTTGATCAGATTTAGAGCCATGGAGGTTCTCGCTTGTTCAAATGCTCACCTACTTTCCGGGACATTTCCTCGTATTATATTAGAAGTATATTCCGCAATCTTTGACTATTGGGGAATCTTGTACAAGGACTTGATACTACTTTGTACGAGAAAATATTGGGCATCACAAGTGGTGCCATGTCAGCAAAATAATAATTCATTCAGTGATGAACACGTGTCGCCGGGCCCACCTGTATCAGCCAAATTTTCAGCCCACCTCTTTTCTCTCGATCTCTCTCTTTCCCCTTCTCTCTCTCCTCCGCTTCACCCCTTTTCCCTTGTCTGACCTCGAGCCCTAGCCACCGCCATTGTCGGCCACGGCGAAGAGGACCCTCAGAGTCTCCGGCAACGGGCTCGCCGCCGATGGATACTTGTCCCTTCGTGTGCCTCACGGTCGGGAACCTCGCGCTGAAAATCCCCGTCGCCGCCGAGCCCGCCTGCTCCACCTCCACCCATCGTCCTCCCCCTGCTTCCGCAAAATCAAGCTCAAGAGCTTCCCCCCTCCAAACCGCCATGGTCGCTTGACCACGAGCTCGCGACCATGGTTACTCGAGGTCGAGCTCCGTGGCCATGGCGGCCGCGAGCCTCGGGCTCGCGCTCCGGTGCCGGGGATGGAGAAGACGTCGGTGACGCCGATTTGGACGAGCTGTTAAGAGGCACACCGTCGTCGTCCGCTTTTGGTTTCCATGGAGAAGATGAGGAATTGCAGAGGAAGCGGCAGAGAGAAAGTGAAGAGGGAGTCTCGTGAGGGTCAGAGGGGAGAGAGAAAGTGGGCCCCACACAGGAGAAAATATCCCTGACAGTAGGCTCGAGCGACACGTGTCCATCACTGAGTGGACTGTTATTTTGCTGACATGGCATCACTCGGGGTACCCAATATTTTCTCACTTTGTACGGCATCTTTTGCATTAATCGCCACGTGAAAGTTTCGCGGAAGCTGCCTTCGGTAATGCGTGAATAGAATAGTTTTGATCATTGAATATATGAAAATTAAGGCTTCGTGGTGAATAATCTAGAATATATATTTTTTAAAATGATCGTTTATGTCATTTTTAAAAATAAATTAATAAAAAATATTTTTGCTGTCTACGAAAATGTTTAAATATAAAAATGTAATCGATAATGCAAAAAACTTTCTTTAACTAATTATTTTAAGCAATACAAGCGATCATTTGTAAGAAAATATTTTTCATATCATTCGTTCTCTACAAAATAAACGCACCCAGATGCACTAATCACTTCATTCCCGTTTTCCATTCCTCTTTCACCGGCTTTGCTGCTGCATGATTTTGTGGAGACATAGAATCATCTTTTATCGGGAGGGTTAAATGGCCAGGATCAAGGTGTACCATCTTCTTCTAAAGTCAATTTATAACCTCGGTCAGCGGATGATCAGGTTAACAAAACTAGCTCTTGCAATCACAATACGCATGCATACCGACTTCCTCTCTAGTTCAACCATCGCTTCTCGATTCCAAAAGCTGTAATGCGAGACAATGTTGATAACATTTGAGCTACATGAAACTTAAAAGTCGTGTTACATGCTCCTATTAAAGAAAAACGGTTACCGTTAAAAGATGACCTTTTTTCTTAACTCTTGTAGATTATTTTTCTATGAGGTTCCTCACTATCAATAAAATGCACACGAGACTCAATATAATCGAACCAATTCATATGATCTGTCAAACTAACCTATTCGCATAGTTCTATACTACCTTCTAGTCCCGCAAGACAACAAAGCAAAAGCGACGGTTTCATCAGAATCCTCAACGTTAATCTCAAATACGTGCTCGGGGTCAGCGCCGTCGAGCACATTTGGGTGTTGGAGCGGATGTCCCGGACAGCAATCAGAATAAGGAGACATTCTGTTATCGCTAGCACATCTTCCCTTTAAAGCCAAAGATGGACAGTTTAGGCTGCATACGGTTTGCTAGAATATTTCATATCTGTAGTTTCTACCTGTAGGTCACTGCATGAGGTCGACAATTTTGTGGAGGATATGCTGGATTCGGTTGCAGCTGGAGTTCGAGTGCAAATGTGTAAAATCTGCAACTAGCCTGAAGACCTCATCCATACTGATAGATAATGGGCGAATATCTATATTGCAAGAGAACGATTTACTCTATGTTGTGTGTTGTAGGATAGGGGCAAAGGGCAGGGGTTTTACAGAAGCTAATACTATAAGTCGAAGCTTATAACGACCATATCCATTAATATAAGCATAACTTGACTCAAATGAAGTATCTTCCTCGTCACTTCCCAGGGAAAACATCAGGTCCTGTTTTCCAACTTCCTCCGCAAACGAGCTGTGTTCAGTTGGACGACCAAATAGAGCTTGTCCTTCATCTTATCAATGAATCTAAAATAAGCTTGTCTCCAGGACTTTTTTATCACCAGTGTGCCGCAAACAGACCAGAATCCCACCAGAAATCCTAGTGCGATGCTTACGTAGAACCATACTTCTCCATGATCATCTTCCTCATTTCCTTTGTCTTCGCCCTCGTGATCTTGTACGTCCTGGCCCGTCGGAGTCAAGCAACCTTGTGACAATGGAAGCCCGCAGAGGCCTGGATTTCCCTCAAAGCTGGATGGATTGAATGTTGGGAACTGGTTGCCTCTGGGAATTTCTCCGTCCAAATTGTTGTATGACAAGTTCAAACTGTTCAAAAATGTCATGGAAGACATGCCGGGAGGAATCTGGCCAGAAAGGCGGTTGAATGAGAGGTCGAGAGTTTCCAACTGTTTCAACCCTGATATGTTGCTCGGTATGCTTCCCGTCAGTTGGTTGTTCGACAAGATCAGTGCCTTCAAGGTGGAGAGATTTGATATCTCTGGAGGAATTTCCCCTGAGAGGTTATTTATCGAAAGGTCTATCATGTTCACCAGCGGAATCAATTCGTTATACTCCATCGACCTTCCCTTCATGTTTAACTCGATGCTTCCAGAGTAAAAACTACGGAATTCCGGGGGTAACTCATAGTAAGGCTCTAAAGATTTCATCCCTGCCATATTGCCGAGACATCTGGGAATTGATCCGAACAAGTCGTTATCGGCAAGGTCCAAGACATGCAGCTTCAGAGAGTTGCACAGTTGTTCAGGAATTCTTCCGCTGAAACTATTGGACCGGAGGATCAATTCCGATAAGGAATTGAGGCTTTCTTCAGTCCACTGCGGTATTATCCCGTGAAGTCTGTTTTTCCCAAGATCGAGTGTGTACAGGCGAGTGCAGTTTAACGAGCAAGAGGGTAACTCTCCAGAAATACTGTTGGTGCTCAGCTTTAGCCATTCAAGGGAAGGTAGTAACGAGCACATTTGGCAGGGAATGTGACCGGAGAAATTGTTCTTGGAAAGATCCAAGATCTTCAGTTTCGGCATAACGGTCCACCCAGCGTAAATATCTCCAGAGAGAGCATTGCTCGATAAATCAAGATAAACCAGATTCTTCAGCCTGCTCACTGAAGAAGGTAGGTCCCCGGTGAGTGAGTTGTTCGACACATCCAGGTACTTCAAGGCCGACATGTGGTGGTCAACATTTGCTGGGACAGGTCCTGAAAGCAAGTTGTTCCTCAAAGAGAGCTGATTCACATTCGACCAGAGTGGAAATGAACCCTCCAACCGGTTGGAAGCTAAGTTGACTATAGCTTGAGAGCCGAAATCCAAGAATCTGGGAAGCTTCCCCACTATTCGATTTTCGGAAAGATCTAATGTCCAAAGCTGTTGAGACAGTTCCCACAGCCAATCGGGCACTGTGCCCGAAATCGCAGCTCCTGAAAGGGTAATGCTTGACAGTTTCTTCTGATTCTTCAGCCATTTGGGAAGTTCCGGACCCAACTGGCAATTCTTAATCATGATGGAACTTAGATTGAAAGTGGGAACCCAGCCACGGGTGGATCTGAACTTCAGTGAACTAGCCCGATAAGATGATAGTTTGAGATTTTCCAACTCTTTTAGATTCCGGAGATGACTTTCCGTAACAAGACCTTCCCAAGAATTCGAATATAGGCCCAAAGTGGTCAGCTTCGACAGTTGTCCTATGCTCTCTGGTATGGTACCATTCATCTTGTTGAAGGACAAGTTCAGCTCAACCAATCGTGACAGATTTCCTAGAGAACTCGGGATTGGTCCCCAGAAGGAATTATCAGAGAGTCGAAGAACTCTTAAATATCTGTGCAATCCCAAAGAGTCGGGCAACGGACCGTTGAACTTGTTGGCACTCAAATCTAGCTCCTCTAAGCTGCTATTATTGCATCCAGACAAGCCCACTGCAAGCTCTCTTATGTTTCCTGTCAAGTTATTAAAGGACAAGTCTATCTTCTGCAGTTTGCACAGCACACCCTCTGCAACGGCGGGAATGGAGCCCTTGAGTTCAGAACCAGTGAGTGTGAGCTCAAGAAGAGTTGCGATGTTGAAAACCCACTGAGGCATTGTGGAGTTGAAGTTGTTAAAAGAGAGATCAAGAATCGAAAGCGATGTGAAGTTCACAAATGATAGAGATTCAGGGAACTCAGAAAGCTGACATCCCGCCAAGTGCAACTCCATTAGAGAAGGAAGCATGTTGACCTTCTCCGGCCAATGAGCAGATCCCTTCCGGAGATTGACACCTTCCAAGTTAAGGTAGTTCAAAGAAGAGAGACTAGATAGCCAATTTAAATCCGAAACTCGGAGCTCTTGACTGGAATAAGGGTCAACAGTGAGGTCAAGATAATGCAAGTTCGAGAGATTCCCTAACTGGGGAGGGACTAATCCACCAAATGATGCTTGGGAGAGATTAAGATAGGTCAACCTTTTGAGAGAGCCTATGAAACTGGGAATGGAATTGCCTTGGAAATTGTTGTGGCTCAGATCCAAGTAAGTCAAGTACTTCAAAGCAAGCAGGGAAGGACTTACTTGGCCGCTCAGACACATTGGCGTGTAATCTTCCAGTACAGATACATCATCATCATCATACATCATCATCTACCATGTCACAAAAGTCGGGGCTTCTGAGATCCAGCTTCACAACACGACCTGTGTCCTTGTCACAGCTCACACCAACCCATTGGCAGCAATCTTGGCCTGTCCAGGAAGAGAGCCAGCCGGAAGGGTCTTTGAGACCAGCTTTGAGTTTCAATAGGGCTCGTCTTTCCTTCACAGGGCAACCGGTGGTGTTGGCGCTTATTCCATTGGCTTCAAGAGGATGAAGCTGTGAAAGCAAGGGGAGAGAAAGAAGTGGAAGAAGTAGAAAGAAAGCTTTCACGGTCACCATCTTCACTCTAACAAAATCTAACAACGCTTAACGCATGTTTAGGGACATTTATGCGTAACCCCGAAATAAAATCTTTACGCGTATTGGTCTTGGCAGTATTTTCCACGAAAGAGACTAGACTAGTAAGGGTTGTAAATTACTTTACCATTTTAATAATCTCTTCCATCAATTTCGAATGATCTTCATAGTAAGACCAGGTTAGCAGTTAGCACTTGGAACGCAGAAATTCCAGTCACTTTCACTCGGTGCATCAAATAGTCGCTCATGGTCCATGCGGGATTGTAATACAAGCATAGCATTTAATAATATTATATGAACACGAATCGCATTGTTGTTCGAATTAAGCACTTTATCGCTCACCGAATTTTTTTAATTAATTAAGTAAAAAAGTACACAATTGGTCATCTCTCGTGACAGATTGTCGGACACGATGCTTGTTTTCTGAATGGGGACACTCTCCCTTTCGTTTCTGCAAGAAATTCTGATCAAATGATCTGGTCAAATACAAGGAGGTTCTCGTTGACCTGCTTTTGGCAAATTTCCACGTACTATGATGAAAAATGTTCCACAATCTTGGACAATTGAGGGATTCCGTACAAGGATTTGATACCACTTTTGTACTGCACCTTGTCTTATACGCCATTTCCCGGAAGCTGCCTTCAGTAGTGCGCGACATAGAATAAACAAATGGATCGGATTCAGGTAACGGGCTGACCCGGACCGTCTTTGAGTCCAGGCCGGGCTATCTATACGACAGTGATTCGGGCCGTGTCGAGATTCGGGCCGAGGCCCAACGTAGTCCGGATCTCTTTGGGCCTTCTCTTTCATAAGCATGGCCCATTTTCCACTTCGCCGGTGCACCTGCCCTAGCTGTGCTGCTCTGCTCCTCTCTCTCTCTGTCTCTCTCTATCTCTCAGTGGAGTTCGAAGTTCTGGTTCCAGTTCCAGAATGGCAAGCCAGTCTCATATTGACTTGACCGAGGCCGAAGCTCACGAAACAAACCTCTAAATCCATCACGCATCGTCATCTCTCGCTCCGCTACAAGTCTCCATCGAGCCTCGATCGCTCAATGGCTCGCTCTCATTGATCAATCTTGCAGGCAATCTGTGGATCGGCAGCTCCGTCAATTCAATCATGACCGGAGGTGGACGAAGCACTGCCCGGAGCAGGACCAAGTCCGGAGCTGATTCCGGCGACGGCGATCCTTCGCAGAGCGAGAGGCCTCACCCGAGGCGCCCCAGGGAGAGAAGGAAAAGCGACGGTTTCATCAGAATCCTCAACGTCAACCTCAAGTACGTGCTCGGCGTCAGCGCCGTCGCGTTTCTGCTTATATTTTTCATGGTCAACCACCTGGTTAAGCCGGCCCACGAGGCGAAGCTGCCGAGGGTCGTGACGCCGTTCCCAGCTCCGAAGATCATGGACCTTCCGCAGGTTACTACGATTTTGATCGATATGCTTTTGTGTATATAGTAGCCGGGCCTGCCGAGTGAACGTGTTGTGGATGCGCGCTTCTGATTCTAGTTTTTGAAACTCCGATGGTTTTGATTTTGGCAGTTTCAAGGGGAGCACAGAGAGAGCTTGTACTGGGGCACATACAGGCCTCATATTTATCTAGGAATTCGAGCGAGGTGATCCTTTATTATCTTAGCTACTGTTTGTATAAGGAGAGAGGATTGGATGAAGGCTATAGCCATGAATGCACTGTTCCTGGATTTTCTTTTTGCATAAGGCGGTCAAAAGCTCGAAAAATATTTCATGATTTTTTTTCAAGCATTATATGCTATCTTTCATATTTCATCTGAAAATTTCACAATGCCACTGGGAGTAGCGGTTTGTCATTTTTTTCTCGGTTGTTATGTATACCCTTGCATCTCTTTTGATTCCAACAATGAAAGTTTTATCAATAAATTTGTGTGGCTCCTCCCCTCATTTTGAGGTGTCTTGATTTGGACTACCACACTTTATGTGGATTTATAGTAAGTTCCTACAAGAAGCGTGTATGCGCGTACTTTGCGAATTTTCCCTGCTTTAAGGATGAAATAGTTGGTTAAGCTGTTTCTTTATACTATTCAGTTGAGATATTCCTGATTTTTATGCCAAAGATAGCCTAGTCATAATAAACTGTTCTTTTGGCAGAGCGCCACGTTCTCTGCTAGCTGGCTTAATGTGGATTGGTGTAAACGATGGAAGGTACTCCCTACGCCATGTCTGCCAAGATAGTGATGGACTGAGCTCTTACGGATGGACCAGCCATAATGGCCGTGATTTTGGGCATCAGGTCTTGGTCGATCATGGTATGGTATTGGCAACGAGTTTCTTGAAATCCAAGGAAGTTGGAAGTGGTTATGGGGGAGACTGGGCAGTGCGAATTGAGGTGCAAAGCCCAAAGTAACCATCTCAAAGTCCGCCTGAGATTTACATGCAATTTTATCATTCTATGCATACTTTATTAAATGCACATAATTTAATGCATATATTTTTTTGTTGATGTGTTTTACCGTGAAATTTTATCATGTGATGCCTACTTATAGTTCATCTATGAAACTTGCAATTCTGATACCCAATTGTACAATGCTGATGATTGTGAATGTATGAATATTCTTAGTGTAGCATCCTGGATGGATCAGTTTAATGCCTCTGGTGATTATATTCACTTGTCTAATCAAGGCCATTCTTCTAATGATTTTCCGTGTTACCTTATCATTCACATACCTCTGTATCAACATATGAAACATAATACATGTGTATACTGTATTGTAATCCATTGTATTGAATGGAGGAGAAGGTTTGAGAGGAGTGATTGAAAAGGCCTTAAGTTCCTCAGTAGAAATAGTGGTTACGGTGATTTGCAGATCCTGTCCTAGTCTTCTAAAGCTTCTGTTTGTTAATTTTGTTGCTTTAAATTTTCCTAATACGTTCATCACTTTAGTGGAGCATATGATTTAGCTATTTCTTAGAAGGCTGCATTATTGTGTGACTCCTGAATCTTGAAGAAAATTAGTCTAAGTCAATTACATTGATCTTTAGTTTTTCAATGGCAGCATGTTGTCTTGTCACGGATGAACAGTCTGATTGGCCCAAATGGAGAGAATTCTTCTTTGCTCTGCCATCTAATCTTTGTTGTTGACATTAATTTGTAAATTATGTCTATTCACAGATCTACTCCAGGTGAAGAAATTTGGAAAAGTTCGCATCTCTTTTTCTATTTGGCAGATGAAGATGGAAATACTCTGGATATGAGCACAGATGCCTTGAAAAATCGTGATCACACTCTCTTGGCATCAGGTACAAGGTCGGAGATTGAAGATTGGCAGCTGCATTTGAAATCAATGGTAATGTCCGAATTTGGTTCCGATGCTAACATATTTGCTGCTTTTACTCTTTATGGGAGGCTCTTTTTGTTGACAAGAATAGTGAATGATTTGTGCCAGTAAAATAATGCCTCATTTTGACACATATTCTTCTTTCTTCGTGCACTACAAGAGACTGTTAGTAAATTGGTAGACATCCACTCAGTAATCTTCTCTAAGAACTTCCATGACAGTTCCCAGGTTCAGTTGTGGTACTCACTGGCATCAAAATGACTACCTAGTCATTTTAGTTGGCAGCTTCATCTGTTTGCTTGCTTGTGTGTGCCCACAATTGCCCTCTCCTTTTGATATTTGCTTGTACAACCATGTTAAAATGATGTACATGGTGCAGTTCACTTGATGCCTTGATTGCAGTAATGGTGTAACACAGTAAATTCAGTAGACTGTTATCTGCAAGTTCCTTAGTGGAATATTATGTTCCATTGCCATTCACTCTAAAAGGATTTAGCATGCCTTTGCCACGTAGTCTCGCTTTTTTTTTTTTTCTGACAAAAAAATCCTTTCCCGTGCTTTTGCTCTAGTAAATAGCGCCTTCTTTCTGGATCATTTTTTTATACTTTCTGCATTTATTATATTTATCATTGATGTATATTGGTCATGCTTCCTATCTCGCTGACATATTAATTTGTAGCCAATTGTCCCTTTTGCAGGATGAAGTTGAAATGCATTATTTGGGTTTTAGGACACCTCATATGCATAATTTATCTGATCTTGTCCAAGAAAATCTTGGGGAACAAGTAGGTTATTGATTTCTTATTTGGATATTTTGGTAGGTTTTTAGTAACAGAAGAAAAATGTATGTTCTTTATTAAGTATTGTAACTTATGTATATATGTTCTATGGTTTTGTTGCTTATGTGATTATGTTCTATTAGGCAAGAAAATATGGAAGACTGCAATTGTCTGACTCAATCCATCATTCTTCAAATGTCTTAGTTTTCCAGGTATGTGATCATGGTAATAGTAAACATGATCTTGCTAAGTAATTACATTTTCTTACTAATGCAGGAGGATGCTTCTGCCATAATTATATTTTGATCTGGCTTCACATGGTGTATGTCCTTTTTTACCAAGATTTCTGCCAGGAATCCTGTTAAAATGGATATTGCTTTTGTATCTGGAGTTGGTTCTGAAAGGTCAAGGGTTGAAGAACGTGTCAGCAGTCTTACAGGTATATCCAATTTAGGCTGATCTGGTCACTAGTTTTCGTTGTTGGTTTTTTGTTATTAAAGTTCTTTAATCTCTGTTTTTCTTGTATATAAATATAAATATAATCTGTTATTGCGGTCCTATAACAAATCATTCTGGCAATTTGTCGTTTCTATTACAAATGAGTGTTCTGGGTATTTAATTTAAGGGCAAAAGTAATTCCTCCAAGCTAGGTAGCCAATATGCATTGGTAGATACCGAGGGAAAATGGGCTTTCGTGGGTAGTGGTTTTCTCAAATATAGAGGTTATCAGATTTTTTAAGTTTATGGATTTCGCTATTCTCTAAAAAGCAACCCCCATTTCCTCCTGGTACAAGTTTAGGTTGTTGTTGGTCAACTCAAGCCGATAAAAAATTATTTACTTCAATAAAGTAGGAGGAATTGGCATGACTTGCAACTAAACATTGTGGTTTGTCTCACTTGAGTGAAACACTGTTCGTGTGAAGGGTTTCTGTTCAAAGTTTTGTTACCCTTTCAATTTTGACTACTTAATATTTAGGTGAATCATTGACGAGCCGCTTGGATGAAAAGCAAAGAGAGTTCAACAACAAATTTGAGAAGACCTTTAACCTGGCTGACAAGGTACCAAACTGAAGATGTCATTCGTAATCCTAACCAGTTCACCATCTGATTCATTACGCTGCATTGGAAAGGACCCGCTGCTAGTTATCTACTTAACATGTGGGAAGTGTATCAAAATGAATGGTTTGGCATTTATAGTTTAATCTGTGGCTGTCTCGCAATCGCCAAGCTCTATCTTCCTTTGTGGCTTCTTGAAATGATAATGAAATTTTGCCTTTTCTAATTGTCAAGGCTTGAGATCTTGTTTTCAGCTTTAAAAGTATAAACAAGTTGGCATGCATTAGAAGTTGGTTTGCATTTTGGAAAAGAGCCATTTGATTGTTTAAGTTCCGCTAAAGTTTCATTTGATACGCCAGTTGGTTCTCTTAAAGTTGAACGGCATTTCCTTTTCAGCTAGATAAGGAATCCATGATAGTTGGAAAGGCTGCTATTGGCAACATGTTGGGAGGCATTGGCTACTTCTATGGCCAGTCCAAAATCTCTGTCCCTACAGCTGCTAATGTAAGTTAGAATGAGCTCTTGTAGTGGGATTGTGGTGTAATTATGTTGATGTAATTCTATTCACGTCTTGATCCATTCATTAGCTACTGTGTGAGTTTATAGATCTTTATTCATTCTGCACATTGTAAAGATCCTAGGCTGTACAGTTAAAAGCAAACCATCTCCACTTGGACAGTCTCCATGTGGACAGTCTGTAAACCCTAAAAAAAATGGAGGGAACTAAATCTTGTGTCAAAGGAGCCAGTGTTGAATTGGTGATTGACGATGGACCTGTAATGTGAGTTCTTAAATTTGAACATGAAAACATGTGCAAACTGGTGCTGGGCTTTCAACGAGGGACTGTGGTGGGAAATAAATGCACCTTGATGATGCCATTGTCTATGTTTGCGGTAGATTTTTCATCTTACTTATTGGATATGTACATCTTTTGTACATAAGTAGATATTGAGCTGTATTCTCTCTAATAACTAATTCAAAAGCTCTCTTGTTCCATTGATGTCAACTCCAAGTTTGACCATGGTTGAACTTGAAGCTTTGATGCCTGAACATCAAACCTCTGTGCTATGGCTATTGAGGGATGACATTGTAGATTTTGCATAATTATCCACACGATCATTTCATGATAACTGAGGAGTTTCGGTACCTCAATTTATGGAGAAGCTTTTGATCACATGCTCTCTTTATTTATCTGTTAACTAATCAACCATAGAATGGAATGGTCTGATGTTGGTTACATGTAGACTACTTATTGAAATGCATAGGAATCTTCTTTATCAGCCCTTACTTTTCCATTCTGTGTAAAAACCCTGTATATTCTGTGCTTCTTGTGAGGATATTTATGTGTGTTGATTACCATGAGGATATTTTGCAGAGTCATATATTAGTTATTTTGTTCTTGCAGCTTCAAAGAAATGATTATCTCTCCTATTGGCCAGCTGAGCTTTACTCTGCTGTCCCGAGCCGCCCATTCTTTCCTAGGGGCTTTTTGTGGGATGAAGGTTTCCATCAGCTGCTGATCTGGTCAGTTGCATTCATCCATGCAGTTAAAAATCTGCCTACTAGCACTGAAGTAGTAATCTGCCCGATTAGCTGATTGACTAACACAGTTTTTGGATGCAGGCGTTGGGACATTCGGATTTGTTTGGATATTCTTGGCCACTGGTTGGACTTAATGAACATTGATGGCTGGATTCCCCGTGAACAGATATTGGGAGCTGAAGCTCTTAGGTGAGAACTTCATCAAACTTGTGTGCTGTGCGGAGGGCTTTTGTGTTGTTTGTGTTGTTTGTGTTGAAATAATTGAATGCATATTGCCATATATCACAGCAAAGTCCCTGAGGAATTTGTTCCACAGCATCCAAGTAATGGGAATCCACCAACATTGTTTCTGGTTTTACATGGTAAGTTTTTTATCAGATGCATTTGCGTTCTAGATAGATGTCTACAGACAGATTGAATCATATCAGAGATCACCAGTGCTCCTTCATACCAGAAAATTTTTTGAAAGAAGTATCCGTCATTTTGTCAGCCGAGTCAGTATTTTTTACTATAATATTTTGTTATCCAGGCTCATGCAGACATGAGGAAGTCATTTTGTTGCGTTAAAATCATATCCTGTCACTGGCTCCTGTTATTTTAGGGCCACTTAGTGCAAATTCTTTGAAATGCAAATATGATGAGTGGGTAGGTGGGTTTTGTGCACCTCTTGCCCAGTGGGAAGTAATGAGGCAAGTCTTGTCCCCCCAAAATGAAGAAGTCGTTAGTGTACTGCAAGTTGTAAAAGGGGCGTCTCTGTGTGTTTGTGTCTGTGTCTGTGTGATCTCTGTGCGCTCCTTTTGAAAATACTTCTCTGGTATGTAGATTCTTAATTTGGTCTTATGAGTTCCGTCTTTTCCAGATTTAATTGATGGCATGAAAGCGAAAAAGTTCAATGCTGCTGAAAGCAACGAGATCTCTTCCTTCCTAGAATCTGCATCTGGTCGTCTTGATGCCTGGTTTCAATGGTTCAATACAACTCAGTCAGGTATTATGGATACCTGCTTGTGATCAAGATACATGGAATAGTGATGCCTATTATGTCAGTCAGGATGCAAGAGACTTTTTGCATTTCCAGGCATATGTAGCTTAAACCCTTTTCGCAAGCTTTTCCTGTTTAGAAAATTCTTTCTTTCTTCCATTCTTGTCATCTTCTATCCAGAAAGAAATTGACGGGACACTTTTTTTCTAAATGTTAGGCCCTCATGCTTGGGCATTTTTTAGGGAAAAGAGGATAAACAGTAGACTTTTGCTTTAATTAAAATTTGAATGTGCTGGTACCTAGTGCAATTGATTTAGGCTGTGTTCGTTTGCGGAAAAATATTTTTCCGGAAAACATTTTCCGCGTTTTCCGGTGTTCGGGGCGGAAAATGTTTTCCACGGAAAAATGTTTTCCGCCCCCCCCAAATCCTTCATTGTTTTAAGGAAAATGATTTCCTCTTTTCACAAAGAGGAAATCATTTTCCCTCAAAGTGAAGGCAAAATTGCCCATGGGAGGAAAAATGTTTTCCGTGGAAGAGGAAGTTGATCGCCGGTCACCGCCGTTGGCCGCCCGCCGCTGGTCGCCGGCCGCCGGTCGCCGGTCGCCGCCCGCCCGCCCGCCGCCCGCCCGCCCGCCGGCCGCCCGCCCGCCCGCCCGCCGCCGGTCGCCGGCCGCCCGCCCGCCGGCCGCCGTTCGCCGGCGGAGGCCGCCCGCCCGTCGACCGCCGCGGCCACCAGCCGCCGCCACCGCGGTCGCGGCCGCCCGCTGGCGCCGTTCGCCGGCGGCGGCCGCCGGTCGCCGGCCTCCCGCCCGTCGGCCGCCGCCGCCGCCGTCGCCGTTCGCCGGCCGCCGCGCCGCCGGTCGCCCTTCGCCGCCCGCCGCCGCCGCCGGTCGCCGGCGAAAAATATTTTCCGAAACTTTTTCATATTGGTCGCGAACACCGGAAAATTATATTCGAAAAAACATTTTCCAGGAAAATGACTTCCGGAAAAATATTTTCCAAAAGGAGAATATTTTCCGCAACAAGAGCCTTAGTGTTGACTTGGATTCCACATATGTAGGGAAGGAGAAGGGAAGCTATTATTGGCATGGGCGGGATAGCACGACCCTCCGTGAGCTCAATCCAAAGGTCCTCCCCTTCTATATTTTGTATTTGAATGCCTTAGAAAGTGGTTAGAGTCCACTGTTATATCTTGGTGTATTGCTGCCGGAGTTATAATTGATGTGCGGACTAGAATTCTTCTGAAAAAGATTATTCAAATAAATACACGTACCATGGTCATGCATGCCGTCCCACTTGTATTTTACCTTGCTTCTGCCTTTAAGAGAAACTGTTCACTGTCATGTAGAACTGTTAAGTACTTTCTTGAGATACAATAGCATTGTAATTTGACAATGCTTTTGCATCTGCAGGCACTGTTCTCAGGATTCGATGACTATCCACGAGCCTCACATCCTAGCGAAGATGAACGGCACTTAGATCTTAGGTGCTGGATACTTCTTGCTGCTGATTGCATGCATTCAATTGGAAATCTTTTGGGAAAGGAAGACAAAACTACAAAGGTGAAGAGCATACCTTTATTAGGAAATTCAAATGTTCGTGTACCTTTTCCTGATCATCTGAGTCAAACGATGCAGGATTACAGTGCAACAGCTAAGCTACTTGCAGATTTTGACTATCTTAATCAGGTCAGACATCATTACTGTAAAATCCGTAGTTAGTTTTGAACATTTAGTAATTTTTTGGATGTACATGTCCTTTTCAACTGGTGTTGCACAGTTAGCCGATGGTAGTATTATGAAATATTCTGTGGATTTCTTTTGAACTGGTGCTTGTGATTTTTTTGGAGGCAGCATTGTCATTCTTTTTTCTCTGGCCCAAGGTCATATATTCCATTCAATCTTAGTGCCTGACAGTTTGTACAGATTTATAAGTTGAGATGTGTGTCTTTCTTGTCTTCAAAGCTGAAACTGCTTCCTGCTAATGATGTTTATTACCACATTCTATCTTTGCCTCTTCTGTTACTACCGTAACATGATGACCTTTGTTTTCCAGTCCTTGACATAAAAGCAACAGTAAGATGGATTTTGTACTCGTGATCCAAGTGATGGCAGTAAGAATGACCTGCCAACCCAAGCAGAGTGTCCATTATGGCAGTACTGTTTGTTTCTAGATCATGGCTTTTTAGATGATAACTTTTTGGTGCCATCATCTGGGACGTATCTGCAGTGGTGCAAAAGGCATTGCCAGGTTGTCGATAGAGATTGTGGGCATGGGTCTGGCAATGTGGCTTTTGTGGTGGTTATGGTTTTTATGTTAATAATGGGATGCTTATGATGATCGGTTAAACTGAAGTAAATTGCAATTGTTTTTTCTTCCAAAACTTTTCCTCGTGTGGTAATATGTAGTGATTTATTGTTAGTTATGGTTTATTTATGTCTCTGCCTATATATGGATAGCACTGCAAAAATAAATAGTGGCTTGTTGAATGGAGCTAAGCAATCAAAGCCTAATTGCTACACCCCTGTTAATTTATTACCTGGATTAGATTATTGAGATCAGCGGTGCTGATTCCAACTATGGGGAATGCAACTTGGTTTAGATATGCTCCCTGGAATGTCAGAGCATACTCATCTGATACATGACAAATATTGAAGAGGTGCAATCTGTGGGCTGTTAGTAGATAGGGCAACCGGAGAGCAGTTGATTGACTGAGCTGGAAGGAGTGGGAGGAATGGATATATAAGAATGGATCACAAAGGTTGAAGGATATGTCATTTGTAATGCAGAAAGGCAGTTGAATAGACGACGCAAAGTGGCTTAGGCATTGATATGAGGAATTTATTCAACATTAAATAGGTGTGCAGAACTAAAGATTGGCCACTGGTATCCCATGGATAGATCCTTCGTATTAAGGTAGTTTGGTTTCAGTAAGATGTTGCAATGTTCTGAAGTCTCTGTTCTTTCTTTGCATTCGTCAATGAGCAATTACCTGCTAGAGGTTTCTCACTCTATTTTTTGTCCTCAGCTTGTTTTTTGGCCAGTAAGTCATTGTGCATATGTGCTTACTTGCATTTAAAACACCTTTGTGTTGTTAAGCCACTTTTGCACCACCCCTTCATATGTTGTTAAATTTTCCCAGATGCACTTTGATGCCGCAGATGGAGCTTACTATGACTTTGGGAATCATACGGAAAAGGTATGTTGTTTGTATGTCTCGATTTCATTCTGACCCAGGCAACTAGCAAGCACGAGTTCTTCTCTTTGTTGCATTTAGGGATTTATTCAATTTGGATAGTTGATTGGGACAATCGGCTTTGAAGAATTGGTACTCGATAGTGATGTCGCAGAAATCTGTGGTAACATAATACGGCAGAACATTCACGTTAAATTCCTGCCTTTTCGAGTGTACTGTCACTCCATCAATAGTGATTGTTGACCACATATCAAATCTTCCTTTTCCATGTCGTGGTTAGAAGACATTCGGGTACGTATGTACAGATTGATGGGCTGCATGGAAGTGAAAGTTCCTCACTTGTCCTGATCTACTCTCTAATTGATTCACTAACATAATCATCGCAAGAGATGTTTTATCATTTCATAAATAACTGGCTATAAGTAAAGAGTCATCATCATCCTAACTCATATGGTTGGTAGCTAATAAAAGCTACAATACTTCGCTAGTCTGAGAAATGAGGTACCATAGTTCCATTTGCTGATAATGAGAAATGAACCTACTTTTACTGGACAGAATATATTGGGATTTGCAGACAATATGTAGACAATTGCCCATTATCATTCGACAAATCTAGATCCCAGGTTCTTCTTCCTAAGACATTTTAAGGGAGAATTAGCTTACCTTGTGCCTCTCCAACAAACTTTGGGTGAAGGAATTGACTGTTACTAATTGGTAATCATATAAAAAAGGAAGTAGAATGATGTGGAGGGAACTGGACGACAGATTGTATAGCCATGTGAAAAAACAGCATGTTGAGACAGCTGTGGTCACGAACAGCAGAAATTGTGTGCTTTTCTCGTTAGAAGCCTCAGTAAGCCCTTCCCGCATGCCAATGTTCGTCTCTTCCATTCTTGTGATATGCGTCAAAACATCTAGACATCACTGAAAAGAGTAAGTGCCTTCATTGAAATCTACTCTCTGATATTGAATACGATTATCACCATTACAGGTACGTTTGAGGTGGAAAGAAGTATTGGTTGGAAGCAATCATGCAACTCGAGAGCTTATCCGAGAAGTATTGGAAAGACCAAAGCTGAGACTGGTTCCTCATGTTGGTTATGTCAGCCTTTTCCCATTCATAAGGAGGATGATCCCAACTGTAAGTTTCTTGGGAGTTCCCCCTTCAACGGTCATATTTCCCCTTTCCCCAAATTTCTCCCCTTTACAGTTCCAAATAAGCCGATGTATCTTTAATATGTCGCATTGCAATCCCTTTTGAAATTTTGGTGGTGATGCATTTCTCATGCCTGCTGGTTACTGTAGGACTCGTGGATTTTGGAAAAGCAGCTTGATCTTATCTCTAACAAGAGCGTCTTATGGACAGACTATGGACTTCGGTCTCTTGCCAGAACGAGGTTAGATTGTGCATGTCCTTCTGTAACTGTAAAGTTTCATGATCCATTCACATCTACTATTAGTTCTCTGTAAGGTATGCAGCCGCAAGTATCGGTAATGAATGGCTATCTTTGTTGCATGCAACAGTACCTTGTACATGAAGCGCAATACAGAGCATGACCCTCCATATTGGAGGGGTCCAATATGGATGAACATGAATTACTTAATTCTTTCTGCACTTCACCACTACTCAACTGGTACAACTCTTTCCCCTTCGAACATTCTCACTGTCTATCACCGAGAATAGTTTGCCCTAATATTTTCTTGAGTTTTGCAGAGGATGGACCATACAGAGACAGAGCTAAAGTCATTTACGACGAGTTGAGGGGCAACTTGATTAGGTGCGTATTTTCGCTTTATTGTTTTTTCTGACTTCGCTTGTCAGCGACATCTCTTAGGACTTGGGGAATGAACTTGTTTTCGCTTGTTGCAGAAACATAGTCCGCAACTACCACCAAACTGGGTTTCTATGGGAACACTATGATCAAACGAAGGGTAATGGAAAAGGTTGTCGCCCATTCACTGGTTGGACAGCGCTCGTACTGCTGATCATGTCGGAAACTTACAACCTAAGTTAAAGTACCGTTGCTACAGCCTTCACCACCACAAAATAACAACCCGGATGAGCTTCCCAATTCTTCGATGACGTTTTGAAGGTTAGAGGAAATTTACTGATGTGCTGATACACGGTTGCATGGCCAGTGATGATTATGGGAATGAGAGAGGAAACGCCGAAGAATGGTGTCAGATACCCGTCCTAAGGAGACGTTATGAGATTATATGTGGTCTTATTGGGAATATCATCCTGCAAATGATCAGATACCGCATAAGCAGCAGAGAATTTACAGTTAAATTAATGTTTTTGTAGGCTGAATGCTTGCTTATTCTGGTGATTTCTTACAAGAAATCCAAAGCTCATTGCAGTTGATTTAGCTATATGGCAAGGATGAGTGACGGGGATAATAAACCCTTGCAAATCTAGACCTGCTTCCGGGTAAAAAGAAAAACTGAAAAGTCCTGCCAATTCAGTGATTATACTAATAATTACAAAAAAGATGCAGCAAAACCTTCTGGATGATCTGAGAAAATTGCATATACTATGGCTGGCACAAAAATCCTCAGATTACCGGAACGTTTGGGTTTCAGAGTTTTAAAACCATCGAACCCCAAATCAAAACTCGCTAGGAAAAGTAGAACAATCTTGGCCGTTTCAGCTTTTCAGCTCGTGTCTTCTGCCATCTCGGTGTCCTCAGCCATTATGATATCCATGTCCCTGATATCTCTCTTCAATACGTTCCCAAGCCTCGCAATCGCCCCAGTCTGTTGTTGTAAGACCTGTCTCAAAAAGGCGTAGTAATGTTAATCTCGTGTTTAAATTTGAAAATGCAGGAGATAAAATGGGCAGACTCAAGAGGTTCCTTTGCAGTATATATTTTGGATTCTATATTCCTGTTATGATATGCCTAACTCTATAAGAATCGTAAAGGAACATATCAACAAACTTAATCGACTTGGCAACAAGGAGTAACCTCCTGCAAGTCAGCAAGGCTCTGGTCATGTATTTTGGTTGATCCTGGGAGATATATAGAACCAGTTGCACCGATGCCATTTGCTTGAACTCGAGATATTGTCAGCAAGTTCTGGACCCTCCTCGAAAGTTCTGCTCCGGATCCTCTCAGCTGCATTTGGTATCATACAAATATAAGTAACATCAACCAATTGAAGTCCCAAAAGAGATATAGGCGAAATCCCCGGGGGTCAAGGGCACGAAACATTTCGGCCAAAAGAAGAAGGCCACAAAACATGAACCTGTCTAGTGATTGCAGCCAGCTTCTCTGCCAACTCAGCTTCCCCTTTTACTAAAGGCAATTGACATCCTTTACTCTCCATTGCTTCCACTATTCTCATTACCTTAGGCACACAGAGACACAAATGAGAACCACACAAACTCAGAAGCAACCAAAGGAAGCAAAAGTTAACAATACCGATCCATGCTCCAACGTCTAAATAAAACACACAAAATTGAATGAAGGCAACTAAGAAAACCATAGATGTTTGTCTTCAACAATGCTCAGCAGAAAAATATCCTCCATCAGACTGAGAGTGGAGTAGTTTGAATTTGTGATGGAACAACTAAAATCATGTAATCATTTCCTGGATCATTCCTGCTAGACACTATGACAATTTGGTTAATCAGACGATATACCCTCAAAAGGCGCCTTTGAAGGCCTTGCTCTTTCTGTCTCATTCTCTGGATCCAGGGAAGCGTGTCAGCTTGAAAATGTCTCTGAAGCTGCAAAAGATACGCATGTGAGAGCAGATTCCAAAATATATGTTGCACAAAGATAGAAAGTTAGTAGAAGTATACCATCTTCACATTACTCTGCGTCATTTTCAGTCTCTCTGCATCTGAATGAATGACTTCATCTTGAAGCTGCATCAACAATATACCAGGCATTGTCACGTGTAACTTACAACATCGGTTGCAATTAGAATATGCATAACTGGAAAAGTAAAGCTCCTGTATATCTGCCTGAATTTCTAGGATAGGCAAACCGATCAGAAAATCGACACCAAAGCAACCACAAATCGCCCAAAATTTCTGCCCCAAGCCCAATGAATACTAAGAAACCTTCTTTGACATGTTCACTTTCATCAAAAAGTTCCCTTCCACTATGAAACACAAGTTTAACTTCCACAATTAACTCCATGAGAACTAATATATTACCCAACTCAGTCATCTGACATTCAGACACTCTGTTTGGTTGAACAAAATATTTGAGAAGCTCGAAGAAGCGATGCACAAAAATAAAATTCATATATGACCGAAAGGTTTAGGTCAAACAATCCTTTGAACAAACTCCCTATGATCTTCTGAATCAGATCCAATATGATTAATTGAATAAATTGATCTATGCCGTGCCACTCCCTTGGAGGACCAATCTACCTTTCTACACCAGGTACTTTAATGTGTAAAAACTGCGGCATCCTCCCAATCATCAATGACTATGATCTTGCTCATTCATTATTAATCTAAATGGCAGTACCTAAAGCATAGCTCCTCTTACTTATCCTCTAAAATTAAATCAAATCTCTTCCTGAATTAGTACGAGATTCAAGCCTCCAACAGTGCATTTTCATTGGCAACTACCTTGTCCACGGGAGATCATGCAACCTAGGCGCATCTCTCCTTGCGAGCATATAAATCTCAACACTGAAATGCATCGTAGTGTTAACCGAGTTAAGTACCTTGAGGCGGTTCGAAAGATCCTTGAAGCCCTGGACAAGCTGAGGCCACAGGCGCTCCCGGTCAGCACTCTCCATACCCTCCAATTTCCCCATAGCCTCCGCCCACATGATCTGGCATCGCAAACTATACTTCCGACTTAGCAATTAATGTGCTACGTGGTTTCATTTCACACGCTTTTCAACCGTTTAAAGAGAAAAAAAAAACGAAGAAGAAGCTCACATCCGAGACACCGGCAGGCTTCACTCTATATTGCGGATCGGTGACGCTGAACAACAAATGCTGCAAAGTTCAGAGGATTCTTAGTTTACAATGTACACAAACTCCACAGGATTAGACAACTCCTCTACCCAACTGCTGAGTACTCGCCCTAAAATGACTTCATTCATGAAAAAGTTTTGCCCAAACTTCAACAATTTAAACCACAAACGTCACTTCAACCACCTCTCAGACCTAGCTCAAACGAATTACTAGCTACAAAACAAAGGCAGCAGAGTCTCACAGTTTGAAACAACTGAAAACTAACCTTAAAGGCATACTTGGGGTTCCCAGGCTCTTCCTTGTACGCATCAACGATAGCCTAACATCCACCAAACATATCGAGAACAATCAACACAAAAAACCCGAGCAAAAGCTCGAAATGAGAGTTGAAAAACAAATGTGAATTCGTCTCAAGCCACAGAAGAACAAGAGATCACTTGAATGTCCCGATCGGCGAGCGAGAAAGGCAGAGGAGCCACGGGAGCCATCTGAGTCGTCAGCTGGCCACCGCCGAAGGGAGTCGCGGCCGGCTGCGGCGTCGCGAACGGGGACTGGAAGCCGAAGCCGGCGGACGCCGGTTGCTGGAACGACGGCGTCTGCTGCTGCTGCTGCTGCTGAGTTTGGGAAGAGAACGGGCTCGAGAAGATAGAGGTCCCGAAACCGGAGCCGAACGCCGGCGCGGAGGACGGAGTGGCGAATGCCGGCGTGGAGGACGGAGTGGCGAACGACGGCGTCGAGGACGGGGTGGCGAAGGAGGGGGAGGATCCGAACATCGCGACGAACGGAGTCGAGAAGCGCCGAGAAGAAGGCCGGAGAATGCGAGGGTTGTTCTGTGGGGTTTTCTCTCGGGGAGGCTTTGCTTAGGTCAGGAGCGCCATTGTAGATGTGGGAGTTCCTCTTTTTCGCAGCTCAAACTCTCGTCGTTGCCCTTCTTCCTTTTCTCATGTTCCGTCCTTTTGAGTGCAAAATAGCGCTCCTTGCCCCATTTATTTATCCCCTTTTTTTTTAAAATTTTATTATTTTCAAATAAAGATAATGACACAAATTATTCCTGAATTTTAGTTCAATATACACTATGGTCACTGAGATTTTATTTTGTTCAATTTTGTCCCTAAACTTTAGCTCAATATGCAATATGATCTTTGAACTTTTAATATGTTCAATGTAGTCTATATACTTTTGGTACATGTTCAACGTAATCTTTGAACTATATGAAAATTTTCAATGTTGTCCTTCTATTAATTTATGTTCAGGGACAATCATATAGTTTAGGGACTAAACTGAACATGTCTCAAAAGTCCATTAGCCACATTGAATGTTCATGGATCAAGTTGCATATTTGGCTACACTTTTGAGCATCATATTAAATAAATTAAAAGATCAAAGATCACATTATATATATTAGGTCAAAGTTCAATGAGTATTTATGTCATCTCTCCTTTCAAATACTTTGTTTTTACGCATTTTTCATATTTTTTTTTTGAAATCCTATTCTGGTTATTGAAATTCCAGATCAAGCGATCCATAGCGAAATTTACCTTAGTGCCATGTCAGGGCCGAATACACAAGGGATTGTCACTCAAGCAAGAGAAGAATTTGCTCGAAATGTTTGATGTGTACTTAGCTTGAGAATGATCGGCTTGCTTGAGCTCTAAGGGCGCGAATGACAATATTTCTCTTCTCCGGCCTTATTTCTGGCTAGAAATATAAAAATCTATTTCTCTTTCCCGAACATGTTTCTGAGCAAAAAGTACCGTTTGATAATAATGCAAATTTTTTATTCTCGGAATAGAAATTTTGTGTCGTTATCAAACGAATAGAAATTCATTTGATAACGACACAAAATTTCTATTCCCAGCCGGACCGGCGGCCGACGGCGGTGGCAACGGGTGGCAGGCATGAGTGGCGGCCGGCGGCGAGTGGGCGACGATCGGTGGCAAGGGTGAGCAATAAATAGAAGGGAAAAACCACCAAATCTGCAATTTCGTTTTAACAAAAACCCGAACTGCTTTGTGAACATTTAAGTTTTGTCCTTTTTTTTTTTTTTTTTTTTCCTCCGTGGGCGGATGACGAGGGGGCCGGCGTCGAGCAGGGCGGCCGATCCGATGAGGGGCGGCTGGGCGAGGTCGACCTGCTGAGTCGGGCGAGGCCGCCCTCGTCGCCCAGGGCGGGCGACCTCGGCGTCGGGCGAGGTCCGCGGGCGGCGAGGGCGTCCGGCGAGGTCGACCCTGCCGGCAGCGAGGGCGGTGCCGAGATCGGCGGCGGAGGCCCTCGCCGACTGGGCGAGGTAACCTGCGGCGGCTCTGGCGGGCGCGAGGGTCGTGCCGGCGGCAGGGCGTCGGCGACGCGGGGCGCGCGGAGGGCGCTTGGGGCGACCGCGGCAGGGCCGATGAGTGGCGGCCGACGGCGAGTGGGCGATGGTGGGTGGCAAGGGTGAGCAATAAATAGAAATGTTATTTCTTTTTCTATTTCAAAAATAGAAAAATAAAAAATTTTAACTTCTCATTTCTGTTCCAAATCTATTTCTAGGCCAAAATTTATCCCATAAATAAAAAAATAGAATTATTTTACTAAACGGATTTCTGTTTTAAATCTGTTCCCGAAAAAAAAAATAGAAAAACAGGAAAACAAAATGGTTATCATTCGCGCCCTAAACGCACCATATACTTCACACGAAGTCGAAGTCGAGTTCGATTCTAAAAGTCCAATCTGATCCGGTTTGAATTGAGTATCGAGCCCAGAATTTCTTTAGCAAGGAGAGAGATTTTAATGGTAAACTACATCAACTCGACTTGCTGCTCGACTAATTATTGAATCCTGGACTAGTTTTCAAGACTCACTGTCGCGGACCGGCGATTATAGGGAGTATCGGTCACTTTGAAAACGTCGCTCTCTCGGTTGATCTAACCTACTCGATATGTGTTTTAGCAATAAAATAAAAAAAACTGTTCGATGTGTGAAGCTGACTCTATGAAATGTAATATCCGTGTGTTGGTCGAGATGCACAGGGAGCAATACTCCGAGAGCATGCGACATATCCCTGTAACTGCGAGCTCCGTAGAGACAAGTATACAAGCAGTGCAGCCACCGAGTAATCTGGTCGATTGCAATATCACATGCATGTTGCTGTTGCCTGGCCTAGTTGCATTGTTATCTGTCAAATGTTATATGTCGCATGTGGGCGACTAACTCGAACGATAAAGGAGCTACATCAAGCTCGATCTCACCTAGCTTACTGCAGCACGACGGGGGTCGAAAAGGCCCTGCCTTGGAAATAAAGAAATCTGGCAACAATTGTCGTAGTTCCATTTTGTATCAGTTAAACAGAACAGCCGGTCAAGGATAGGTATGCAGGTGAAGAAGCCGAAGTTGGGCGCGGGAGTTGCCAGAATTGCCACCCAATGAGCTCCTCCATTTCCTGGAGCGAGTCTCGCATTACCAACATGGTCTGCACCAGCGTTTCTGCAGAAGTTAGTAAATCGAAAGCGGAAATAATCTCGAGAAAAAGAACAATGAAAGAACTGATGGAACCATGATCGATGGAACTAATCGTACCATAAGGAAAGGTGACCAAGTGAATAGATAACCAGAGAGACCGGTGAAGAATTTGAAACGTCCTCCGAACTTCAGCATGTTGCAGGCACAATCGATGGAGCTAATGGGAGGAGGCCTCTGACCTGCCTGGGATTTGATGAATTGCGTGAAGGCATAAAAATTTCTATAAAAAGTCCAGCAGATTGGCGTAGCGAGCCCAGAAACCACAGTCGCCCCTAAAAGTCATGCCGGTTAAACAGCAAGATACATAAATCAAGCATCTCCTGAATTTATATGAAAGCAAAATCACATGCGAAGCCAGAAAATTTGACCATAAGTGCGAATAGATCAACTTGAAAAATTTGACTAGTGCTAACACTGTCATTCAGCAGAAAACTGAGGAGACTCTGAAGATGAAAATGACTGAACAAGAGATCCAAAATAGACTTACCTAAGCGTGCACATGATTCGTCAACATGAACAGAATCCTTAAGATAACAGAATGATTGATTATAAGACAGGAGGAAGGTCGTGCAATGTAATGTGCCCACCGTCACTCGAGATTGACCCTTCCACAGCGCTGAGATTCCCTTTTTTGCAACAATGCTAGAGACCGCATGACCAGCGCTTCTATAATTCACACGTTGTGCAGCCGGCAAAGCAGCATCAGCCACAATAAGCTTTTCTATCTCAAATCTCGGAACGAAGACGAATGATGCCGATGTTGCCGCAAGAATCCCACATGTTACTTCTTGATAGAAAGGCAAAGGCATGCCTCCATTGGCAGATATGGCTTTTCTTCTGAGAGTCCTGTTTAAACAATACGCAAAAATGCAAGGTGAGATCGGCGGTAGTAAGGTCATGTGAATAAGGATCTTTCTCTAATACAGAACGAGCATTCTTTATTACTCCAGATTCGCAGTAGCATTTTCCTAGATAAACAAGTCAGTAGAAAATCCACTTGAATGTGATAGTTACATGAACGAGAATTCCGTAAATGTACAGCTTTATGTCGATGCAGCATGTGATATGAAACATTATTAGTACTCGCTAAACCAATCTAGTATTCAGCAACAAATGAATTGTTTAAATTATCTTTCTGGAGATATCGTGTATTTCTCATTCTCTTGGTGGTACTAATGCAAGCAGTACACAACTAAAAGCCCAGAGACGATCAATCTCACTTCAGAAACCTACAGACGCTGTACATTTGTGAACCGAGACTCGAGTCACGGGAGGAAGAAAATGACTAGCAGTGCACATGAGAGTTAAGACTATCTTTCTCCGAGTGATCGTGTTTCAAGCAGTACCGACAGCATATGACAATCAGCAGTACTAAGAAATTCGTCTCTTGATTCATGACAGCGATTTGAAATTCAATGTTTGCCCCCTTGTTTAAATCAATGAATCAGTCAATTGATTCTGTTTTTTGCCGTTTATATTTCACTTCAGCTACAGGGAAACGGTCCATTTACTGAGGGAAAATACTCAACTTTCCTTAACAATAACAAGCAAAATCAAACTCTTTTTCTTTTAGAGAGAAACGTAAAGAGAAGAATATGCTTCCTGAAGTAACTCAATGGTATTCGAAGGGACAGTCTTCGCAAGCGTGTGCTTCCCAAAAATAGGTGTCATGGCACTTACTCATATGAACCAAACATCACAGCATAAGGTAGAGAAGCCAGGACCTTCCCGCCGGGTACCTGCACTCTTGGAATTCAAAATTTAGGCAGGGAATGGTGAATAAAAAAATAGGCAGATTTGATGTATACTATTATCTTTCTCACACAAACCAACGTTATTAATAGGCATCATATACGAAAACCTTACACTAGATTCCTCTGAGCATTAAAAGAAAGCATACTGCCTAGAAACAGAGAAAAGGAAAATGCACAAGGATAATCAATCAGTATCGGGTGGTAGCCGAGCAAGCGCTTATCGTCGGTTTCATGTTTAACTGCTTACTTTCGTCAGAAAATGCAATAGCAACAGGCATTATGATGTTTGTGCAGTATTAATAGAATGTAGACAAAGAAGAGAGTTTGGATGGCAAACAAGTTGAGGGACAAAGAGTATACATATAAAGGGAAAAGGAAAGCACATAGACCCGACATCTTCAAATTATGTAGATTCGCTCCCCTGCCTTAAAAGGAAAGAAAACAGCAAATTTGATTAAAACATGGCAGATCAAACTGTGATATCAGTACCGCCACACACCGTGAATGCAGGTGTGACAAGTTTGTTGGAAATGATAGAACCAAAAGCTAAGTTAAGAGCCGTTCGAGAGAGTACCATATACAAGACAACATTCTTTCCAAAAGCTCGAGTTTGTACTACATTCTGTGAAATGGTGGATGACTATAGTTCTATCCATTTCTCTTTGACCCGATCATGAAGTCCTGGCAAACAAACACCGACCATCGGACCTCCCTTTACTTTTTCATGACGACACCAGTGTGTTCATATGTATTCCAAAATATGTGTTCGTTGCTATCATCAGCTTTCCCAAGACTTTTATCTTCAACCAAGGCCTCGCCCTCTTTTCCTCCAAGAGCAGTAATTGACCACTAAATTTCCTGTGCGATCCTATTATCTAGACTCAGAACGACTCGTGATTTACCACTAAATTTCCTATGAGATCTTAGTATCTAGGCTCAACAAAATCCAAAGCCGCTCGGAATGACTCATGCCCTGACACTTTAATCTCTTGGCATTTGGTTAATGACTTTGTCCACTCATCCTAAATGTAATAAATCTTTCGAGTGTTTTAATATGCTCATTTTGATGGGCAACGCAGACGGGTCTGGCATCATTTCCGCAAGTTCATTCATACTGATATCCAGATGTTGCTTTCGCACCAGAACAGCAGCAACGTTTCAAGTTACACAGCATCTACCTCCAGTTTAGTGAACAACCAGAAGCTCAAAGCTCGATGTCTGTGTCATTTTTTGTCCGAGGGACAGATGAGAGAGCGTTTGCACAAAACATCAGTTTTGCAGAAAGCAGATGGCAAAATGCGGCTTCAAAAGCATGCATGTATTTCGCTTCACTAGCGAAATAGACAAGTGTTGCACCATTTTCAAGTGAAACAAGACAGGATCAAGATAGTATTGTTTCCAAAAGTAAAAACAAGGCAAGAACGAAAAACAAAAAAGAAATGGCCGACCTTGTCGAGGTTGATCTTTTGTGGATGGTGATAACAAGGCCTCTCGTAGAGGAGGACCTGGAGCACTCGAGCTGTTCCTCCGTTAGCAAATGGCTTGACCGCGTGCCACCACGAAGAGGTACCACTACGTCCATTGCTAACAGAGTGAGAGTGAGAGTCCTCCATTGCGGAAACCCTTTGGCCACTCTTCCTCTCTCTCTCTCTCTCTCTCTCTCTCTCACTACTGTCAAGTGTTGCCGTGTTACTCTCTCTCTCCGTGAAACGGGTCTTGCTTTAAATTTGATTCTGGTTCTTCTCCTGCTCTCTCTCTCTCTCTCTCTCTCTCTCTCTCTCTCTCTCTCGTGCCATCGCCATTGCTTCTCCTCCCTCCGAAAAGGGTGGTGAAAACTGCGACTTTCTCGACTACTGTTCACGTCGTACAAGTTTTGTGAATAGAGAGACCACGCGCAACTGTATCGTATCACGCATAACGTAGCGACAAAGAGATTTTCCTTCTACCAAATCCTTCCGTGAAATAAGACATTTTACTTTCGGCAGCAAATCACAGGTCCATTTGTAGTTAAATCGAATTCATATGAACTAAAAATAAACATATTTCTTTTAAATCTCTATTTTCCAAAAAGAAGAAATATTTTTCTTTTTCTTGATTTCTTGAGTGGAGATGGACAATAAGTGCATCCCCTCTAGGCTCTAGGGCTCTAATGAGTTAAGGCGAACTGTCAAAAACATTACCATTTCTTGATGGTGATGAAGTGCTAATGCGAACAGATAATATTTTGAATCATAAGTTGTTAAAGGGGTTCTTCCGAGAAATCTTGAAAACGTCAGCTTAGAAAAGTCACCGTGAAAATTACACGACTAATCCAACAGTAACTGCTATTTACAGGAGAGGATACGGATATTGGCATGCCCTTTTTATGCCTTGATTGTTACACTGTACAAGCATGAACCGGATGGATTGATCTTAGAAACTTGCCATTCCGAACCAGGCGTCGCATTCGGGTCATAGGACAAAGTGTGATAACCGGCGACTTCCTTAGCTGAGAACAGCAACAGCTTCCCGTTTAAAGTCCCGAGCCGAAACGCGGCTTCCGAGCTCCAACGAGGTGGGAGCGACACCGTGTTCCATGAGTTCCCTTCTGGGTCGAAAACAGACAGCTTCTTCTGGCTTTTCCACTCCATGCAGAAGAGCCTCGTCCCGAGCACGGTGTGGGCGGTTACCATGACGCACCCGTTCTTCAGCTCGCACCACGCGCGCTTCTCGGGGTCGTAGACGCAGACCGATCTCGCGCTTCCGATAGTGAAACTCGACCGCCCTCCCATCACGTAGAGCTTGCCTTCGAAGCCGCAGGCAAAGCATCCCCACCTCGGGAGCCTAAGGCTCTCCATTAGAGTCCACTTGCCCGTGTCGGGGTCGTACGCCTCAGCGCTACCGATGATGTTGCCTTCGGCACCGTATCCTCCGACGGCATAGACCATTCCATTAACTTCGGCGCAGGCGAAGTTGCAACGAGCCTCGTTCATATTCCTCAATTTGCTCCAACTGCATACACGAGTGAGACTCATTTCTGTTTTGCAAACCGAGCTAAATAGATCATTACAGGAGATTCTGCGTGGATCTGTTCAGTCGGAAAGTTTCTACCTCTCGTACTTTTACTACTTCTCCAATTAAGTCACGATACCTACAATTCTACTGTACATGCCATTTTCCGGCACACGATCCTGTCAAATCCAGCTTAATATGACCGTAGAGGACACCGGAGCATGACGTGAATTAAATTGCCTGCGTGACACTTTCCAAGAATATCGAATTGATGGGAGGATATTCAACTTATGGGAGCATAAACAAATTGACAAAAGGTGGATCCATTCAGTGTCTTTGACCCAAAAAAAAATCCATTCACTGTACACGACCCACGATGGTATCCATTTAGCAAATATTTTCATCCACGTCACGCTCCGGTGTCCTCCGGTGGCCATCTTAGCTCGATTAACCGGATTTTGTATCGTAAAGACTTTATAAGACGTTTCGTTTAAGTAGACATGATTAGAAAATTAGTGAAAGTATATGCACACAAAATAAATTTTTTTTATCTTTTCCGATTTGAATTGATTTAGGCATGCCTCAAAAAATAACAACTATGCAACCCTCGAGAGATTTTTTCAAGGGCAATGATTGAAATTTCAATGAGGGAGTCGACTGAGTGCTATAGCTATTTGGCTATTTCTCATGCAGAGAGCTAAACTTGTCTGAAACAGAGAACGCACTCTGCAGATATATGACAGCTTTATGAGGACTTGAAGCGAGAATCCATGATTGACAATCAAATTAGATGAACAGTTTACACTAGAGAATTTGATCATCAGAATCTAAAATGATCTCTTCTTATCTTTTGGAAGGCCTCGTGCAATGAACAACTTCATCAGAAATTTGGAGAAATTCATCAAGCGTAATAGTGTACCTGTTCAAACGAGAGTCATATTGGTAGACTTCCGCAGAGACAGTGCCGGATCCACCCGTCACTGAATAGCCGCCAACAATTAAAAGCTTTCCATCGACAACAGCCACCCCAAAACCGGACTTCAACGGACCGGGCATCGAGGGAAGGCGCCGCTGCTTGTTTCCGAAGCTATCGATGGCCTCCCAATGGCTTTCCTTCTTTCTGCCATCCGTGGTTAGGATAAAAATCCATTCTTCGAGGGCACCTCCTAATTTTCGCGCGAGTTGAAATTCCTTGCTTCCGAGAAATGACCTCCACTTTTTGCAAACCAAGCCCATAGATGGGAACTCGCGACGAGGAACGAGTGCAAGACACGTTTTCGCCACATCATCAGGCAAACCGGGTATTATCGGGCTGCCGAATTTACCGAGAATCTCAGAAGATGAGTTAGGACCTGTTCTTGAAACGGCCATCTTGCTTGGCTGGACCAAAGTGGAGGAACACATCGCTGAATCTAGTAAATCTCGTCCTTTTCGCGCACGAAGCCTATGATTTACTTAACAAAAATAGATGCCGATAACTCTAGCGCCTGCGAAACCCTGCCACTTTAGTTTTTCGAATACTTGTCTGAACTTCCAAAGGCAGTTTCTTAAGTTGGTGGAAAACACCTGGATGAGAAAATGAAATATGCAACGGACAGTCGCACATCATAAGGTCATGACAATGTACATCGTATTGTCGAACAACATAATTCGCAGACAGAACTTTGACCTTGTCTATGGAAGTCGTGATAAGCCAAACCTTATCTGAACTTGTCAAACCAACTCCAACCCATTCTTTATACTAACCAAACCAGGGGAACAAGTATTTTATTCTAACTAGGATACAAATACTTGGCATAAAATAACTAATTCAAGAGCCCTTTCCTAATCGTCCCTGACAAAGCACACTTAGATCTCATCCATTTAGCTCGACTCCTAGAACAGGACACAAACAGAAAGAGAGAGAGAGAGAGAGAACCCATGAAGCTGCATAGATGACAGATGCCAAAAACACTATCCACCAAAGACACTCAGAATCAAGGAAAAGATGTCCACAACAAGCATGGATATAGCAGCTTTTCTTCAGGAAGAGCAGAGAGAGATGGAGAAGTGTGAATGAAATGAAGAAGCCACCTGAAACTTGCCAGCTTGGTGTATATAAAATAGATAAAGAAAGGTGATGACGATGACAGTGGTTACACTTGGTGTTCCGAGAGCTTGAAATATTTGAAAGCAATGAGGATTTATATAGAGAAGGGAAAGAAAGGTCCGGAGAAGATAAAGGTGACAGTGAAGCACCACGTCAGGGAGAAGAAAGTCTCTGCTCCTTCTAAACTTCGTTGGAAAGAGATGGTGCTCCTTGCCCGAAGGAACGGGCTAGTGCTGTATTATTTATCTTTCTTCGGAGACGACTTCCTGAGAAAAAAAAAGTTTATATATGTATACTTTTCAGCAAAATTTTGGAAAAAGAAAGATCTTTTGGAGTAACCTAGTCTCGAGTGCTTATCAGCAAAATTTGCTTATCAACTTGGGAAGAAGTCCCAGAACGCGTCATGGAAATCATAAAAATCGGCGAGTTCAAGTTCGTTGCACCGTAATATTATCATTATCGTAATCAGCATCATACCCTTTGCCATCGTCATCGTCTCATATCAACGGGAAATCCATGTGTGCCGGCAACTTTAAGTTGGTGCATCGATTCGGATGTCATCGGCTTTTACCGATCCGACGTGAGAACAAATCGGTGCACGTCATGCGTGTATCACAATTCATGCAGACATTGGCTTTTAATTTCTTATTGCTTTTACAAGTCGACGTTCTATCTACGGTACTTTCATCAATAATCATAGTATGTATTAAGGGGATATTGAAGCTCTATGTTTGGTGCAGATGTTATTCATTCTCATCATGTCATCTGACCACTTGTTTCTCCAATCCCGTTCACCCTGCCCAATTCCGTTGACCACAAAGCAAAACTCCATGGTTCTTTAATTCTTTGAGGAGATGCACTTGATCAACGAAACGACCGAATCAAAAAACCTATTGCCAAGTCATTGGGCGGTGCCCTCTGCTATATTGTGGAAAATAAGCAATTAGTTAATTCAGTTGATGAGCACTCCGCTGCGATCCAAATAGAGTTCTAAAATGTATGGAACCGAGGTTCTTACCTCCATACATTTATCTATGTCAGATAATTCTTCATGAGATGATGATGATAAGAGCTATTGGCTGGACAAAAGGGAGAGAAGTAGAGCTTTCTTCAAGCCGACTTTTCAAGAAACGGCTCTGAAAGTTCTTCGAAAATAAACTAATCATTCAACCACAGAAGCCACAGCTTATATCTATGCCGAACTTGATTATATAAATAGCATTTCAGTCACCGCGACCGACCATAAGAATTTCTGATGGCGAATCTATAGGCAGTTGAACATCATAGAGAGATCATCACAAGAGGAAAATACAAGAAGACTGTTCCGCATACCACTTCCAGGATACATAAAGAATTTCAGGATGAATTTATGGTGCTTTTTGATAATTCCAGGATCGCAAAGTATTGGTGAAGCAATATAAGCATCACGCAGTGCCTCAGATGAACCTCAAAACCAATAATGATCGAATTAAGAGCCACACAGTAAGAAAATATGAGACAAAAGATCGATAGGAGATAAAAGGATGTCATCAGCTGGCCACTTCATACCTGTTTAGAGTCTCTTGATAACCGAATTCGGCAACTAAGCATATATTGAAGAACAAAACAAGCAATTATACCACCTAACAACCAGCATTTCTTAGGGCACGTCAACGACAAACCATAGCAAGACATGACATAATGCGTGATGACTTGCAGGCATCTCTAGAATTTAGAAAATATAACACTAGTATCTCCAATACAAGTAACCTCAAGGATCAAAAGAAAAACCCTTTACCTTAAACTGAAGGTAACATCAAAATGAAGGCCACTATTCCCAAAACAGCCATCCTTTGGTTATAGGCTATCGAATTACGATAAACACAGTCATCAGCTTCCACACACTGTATAAGTCCAAATCATGCAATGGCAGATAATAAATCCGATTTTTACCTTTTCCCAATTTCCAACTCCCGATTCAACTAACATGGCCACAATCATTGCTAAGATATTGTGTCCAAGTAGAAGCATCAAGATCCTTCACAACAGCACCATTACTATTGCCTAAAGATATGACAAAACTGGACTACATTTCCACTAAATGGCTGCTTCAAGCAAAGCTGAAGTTAGAATTAAGTTCTATAACTTCTCTGGACAACAACTAAGCCTTAAGCTACTAAGTTAAGTCGGCTACAAGGATCCTTTATGCCATTGCAATCCACCCTACACAGTATATGTCCCTCTTGACAACAAAAATAAAAATTACAACTGGTAAACTGAAGTTAAAAACCCAAAATATCAAGATGTCAGTCCACCCATCGCTATACTCTCCATAGACAGGGTAAAACTGGAATCAATCAAAGATCAAGCATACTAAAACCAATCTGATTATTTAGCATGCTTAGACAGACAATTCTGAACTCCATGGTCATGGCATGAATATTACATATTTACCGCATATAATCAACAGGAAAGCGACTCTTTCGAAACAACCATACGAAGCGAGCATCTTATGAGGCAGCGAAATTGGCAATAGCAGCAGCAGCAAGCGAAAAGAGAACATTGAGTCCAAAAATTTTCTATTCCAGATATTGTCTAAATTCTTGACAATCTCGGCCATCTATCCTCTGAAAATCCATTCATGCAAAGCTCAAAAGAACAATCACAGGGCTGTAGACTTTTGAGGAAACTACTAGAACAAGCCTACTTCTTAGAAGATTTCTTCTTTGAACTCGAGGAGGGCTGTTGGGGCTGCGGTTTGGGATGCTTCTCAGCTTCGGTCGGGTCCAACCACTTGAGCGGATGGCGATTGAAGAAGGGCCAGTTCGGGACGGTGACCAACGTGGTCAGAACGACGCCGCCTGCGTATATCAGGATCATCATCTGGAAAGACCCAATGGTGTAACCGGTCGCGAATGCCACCACAGCAGACGCCACGAGCATTATCTGCATCAGCTGCTCCGCGAGCTTCTGCCCTTGCCAATCCATCTCTAGCATCACGAGAATCGACGCAAATTAGAGCAATCAAGCGACTACCAGACCTAATCACACGGCCAATTACCACAACTCCGACCTAACCATCGCGATCGAGAGCATTTGATCTCGAAAGCTAGGTCCCGCGTTGAGTTCCAAACGATCGATTTCGCCGAAAGAAACAAGCGCCCGATCTATCGCATAATGTCAAATTCCGACACTTTCAAGGAAAAATGATGGCAACAAGAGGCGAATTTCTCGATCTCAATCGGATTCCGATGATCAAAAGGCGGCACCAAAATCAGGAACAAAATCAAACAGAGATTGAGGAACTGGGGAAAAAAAAAAAAACCCTAAAAACGTGGAGTTCCTGAAACAGAAGAAGCACGGAAGGGAGACGCTTACTGGTGCGACGTGAGAGCTGACCAGATCGAAACGGCGCTGAGGACGCTTCTTCTCTTGTCTGAAAATGGAGAGGGCTATAAAGGAAACGGAATCTGTTATAGCGCGATTCACAGAGGAAGTCAATATGTCTACTGAGCGGAAGAAAATGGGCCCAATTCCCTAAAAAAAACTTCAACGTTAGTTTTGTCTCAATTATATCACTTTTTCGTCTCATAAAACCCCAACTTTCACTGTTCTAACTCTACCCTTCATTAACTTTTCGCTCAATTTTTTAATAATATTTTTTTGTTTTTTCAAATTTTTTTATTTTTTCTTTTCTTTTCTTTTTCCTTTCCTTTTCTTTTTTTTTTGTTTCACCTTCAACCTTTGGCCGAGGCCGACCTCGCCAATAGCCGCGATGGGTTTGAACCTCGCCGTTCTTTGGCCAGCCAGGGCCTCGCCCGGTTGCCGCCGGGCCGAACCTCGCCGAGATCCGGGCGAGGCTTCTCACGCCACGCCCTGGCAAGGCTCGGCCTCGCAGAGCGTAAGAAGCGAGGCCAACCTGCGATCAATAGTCACGGGGCCGAGCCTCGCCGTTAATGGTTGGCGAGGCTCGCCCACCGGGCCATTAGTGAGGTCGGCCCGCCGCAACCCGGCGAGGTTGGCCTCGCCACGGCCGCGGCGAGCCTCGCCAACCACGGCGAGGACATCCCAGCGAGGGCTCGGCCGCCGTGGCCCAGCGAGTTCGGCCTTGCCCGGAAGCAGCTGGCGAGGTCGGGCGGTGCCGAACCTCCGCAGATTGAGCCGGGCGAGGCCGACCTCGCCCGGCTGCGGGGCCGAGCCTCGCCAATAATGGCAAAAGAAAAGGAAAGAAAAAATAAAAAAATTCGAAAAAATAAAAAATAATATTAAAAAATTGGACGAAAAGTTAATGAGGTAGATTTGGGACAAAAGTGAAAGTTTGGGGTTTTTTATGCGACAAAAAAAAGTTTGGGATATAATTGGGACAAAGGCTAAAGTTGAGGGTTTTTTAGGGAATTGGGCAGAAGAAAATGATAAAGCCAAAAAAAAAATTAAAATTAAATTAGATAGAGTATCTTGATCACTTATTAATCTTAAAAAAGACTCTCTGATTTACTAAACTATAATGCATGAAAAGAAAAAAAAAATGGAAGACATTAAAAATTGCAATATTTTTCTTATTCGAATTTTTTATTCGGGGCATGTTCAACAAAATCGAAAAAGGGGAAAAAAATGGTTAATTCATTATATTTATAATTAGTTACAATCCAAACTTAGGAAAAAAATTTATCAGTTTTCGCCAAGTAACATTTAACTTCACAAATGTGACTATGATGTAGAATCATTAATTTGGCACGTGACAGACATTGTTTGACCAATAACCAGCTGATTGCACCGGATACATATATAAAAAGAATAATCAAAGCTCAATATTCTAGATGCACTTTTTTAAATATGATTGTGTAAGGATTACTTGAACCAAAGGTGGCGTAAAATTTTTAAATGAATATTATCGTATACAATCAATGAAAGATAAAAAATGAGTTGTGACTTCATAGTAAATCAAAACAAGACTTAAAAATATAAGGGAAAATGACACAAACAGTCCCTGAACTTTGGCCCAATGTGCAATGTGGTCCTTGAACTTTTAATTTGTTCAATATAATCCCTAAACTTTAACCCAAAGTGCAATGTAATCCTTGAACTTTTGGTACATATTTAATTTAGTCCATAAACTATATGAAAATGATCAATGTAGTCCTTTCATTAATTCAAGTTCAGGGATTATATTGAATATTTTCATATAGTTCGAGGACTATATTGAACATGTATCAAAAGTCGAAGAACAACATTGAACAAATTAAAAGTTCATGGACCACATTGCACATTAGGCTAAAGTTTAGGGACTATATTAAACAAATTAAAAGTTCAGGGATCACATTGCACATTGAGTCAAAATTCAGAAACTATTTATATTATCATCCCAAAAAATAATGATAAATAAAACACAGTATATTAATTAAATTTACTTTTCTAAATGACACACCTGGACCCGAGTAAATCTTTAAAAAGACGCATTTTAGTTTTATGGCACGTTAAAATAAAGAACGAAAAAAATAATTAAGAAATGTTAGGGACCCCACATGGATGAAATTTGCCCTACAGCTACCTGTAAAGAAGACCGAATCAGAACACAACATTGTTTTGAATCGTGGTTTATGTCAAGGTAAAAGCTATGAATGGTCAATGAGATAACGTTTTCCATTGTCGTCATCAATCTAATGGGTATTCCGTGGATCCTACTCAGAGTGACTAATCAAAGAAGCATAAGGAGCATAGTTCCAGTTCGAATTATACTTAAAAATATTGAAAAAAAATTTCCATTACAACTTAGAATACGTTGCTTAAGTCGAGTGCTAAGAGAAAGACGGAGGTAATTAAAATTTAATACGCTATCCTCAATATTGCAAATAAAGTCGGGCATGACAGCTGACGGAAAAATCACATTGTTCCAAAAATCAAGAGTACATCCTATGGGGAAAACCGAAACAACTCTCTCCAAAAAGAAGGCATCAGAGAACGGGCGCCTCCGTTGGGTGCGTCCTGGTTCATTTGGTGTTAACTTCATGCAGAACTCCTCACAGCCTGTGACCTCTTGGACTTGCTAGTGGCCAATTGAGTCTCCGGCTGCAATAACAAATGACTCCACACATCAGCTAAACAGAAGATAGCTTGGGTAATTAAAAAGATCATCACAATATTCAACTACTTTGTATGGTACATGAAAGAGACCCACCTCCTTCTTCACGGGTTCTTCCTTCTCGGACAAAATCAACTCGATATGGCAGGGAGATGACATATAAGCTGTTTCGGAGAAGAAAGAAAGAAAGCACTTAATTTTCATTGCTCAAAGAAAAAGGATAAACAACTTTGAAGAACTGAGAAGCAGCAGTGAACTTACGATTGATTCTTCCGTGAGCACGGTAGGTACGACGCCTTTGCTTCTGAGCCTGGTTTACCTGAACGTGAGATATGAAGAGTGCGTCCACATCCAACCCCTTGACCTGATGACCAATTGCATGTATGTTAGTAATGAATAGCGGGAGGTACCACTATCACCAGAATGTTGCAATAGAGAGATTATAAGTACCTCAGCATTACTCTCAGCATTCTTCAACAAATCCAGTATAAATCGAGCTGACTTTACGGGCCAGCGTCCTTGTCCATTTGAATGCCTGTTCTTGGCCTGAGCAGTTCGACCGATACCACCACAGAACCGCCTGAAGGGTATGGCTTGCTTGTGTGCCAGAACATCTTCCAAGTACCTCTTGGCCTTAACCAAAGACAACTTCCTTATGGCAAATGCGGTTTCTCTGGTATTCTGCAATAGAGATGAGAACAATGATAAATACAGAGACCTTCTAAGTCATCACTTCACTAAGAAGCAGAAAGATTACAATAAGCTTGGCCGAAGAAGATTGAGTTACAGACAAGAGGCAAGAGAAATTTAAGGCTATGAGTACTAATTGTCCCATCATTTACTGAACCATCAGTCATTACATTATACAGAGGTTCACCCAATAATGATGAAATTGATTTTCCTGAAGTTTACGAGAGCTCCATCCACAAGAGGCAATGAGGCCCTGCTTTTTTCTTCAGGGTTCTTGGTAATTAGGGAAATGGAACGAATCGATACCATGAACCTATGTTGTTGCAACAACACTATTGTCATCTTGAGATAAACCATATTTCACCAGTTTCAGAATTTGTCCTGACAATTCACATTGAACACTTAGATCAGATAAATATAGATCTTCAGCTTAAATGAAATTGGGGGACCTTATGTACATGTCTTAAATCCAAACAGACAATGTGAAATAGCAGTTCAACGATGGAGGCATCAAGATACACAATATTTTCGAAAAAAATATCCAAGAAGCTCATGGACTGTAAATATAAAAACGGAACCCATCCAGATTCCCTAAACCAAAGTCACTTTGAAAGGTTCGTATCTGAAGAGTTCAAAGGGGTTATGATGTGACACCATTTTTTGAACCTTCAGCCACAATAGATAACAGAGGTTCACCCAATAACAGTGCATCGATTTCCCTGAAGTCTACGAGAGATCCATTCACACAGGCAACGGATCCCTGCTTTTTTCATCAGGTGGGTTGTCATCAAATCATAACGGCAGCTTAACAAAGTTCTTTTGATCAGATACACCTCGCGGCAGGTAATAGCATCAATTTTAGAAATCATTTTTACCAATGATAGCTCATATTTACACTCAAATTGACCAGCTAGATCCAAATATAGAGCAGTAACTGCACAATGTAACTCTTTCATGGTTCCCAGTCTTCGTGTCAATCTCACTCTAGAAACTAGAGAATAAGCATACAGTAAACAAGACAATCACCACGAATAAGGGCAAAGGAATAGTTTATATTTTTTTTTACTATTTACTGGAAATACTGATGTGACACCATTTTTTGAACCTTCAGCCACAATAGATAACAGAGGTTCACCCAATAACAGTGCATCGATTTCCCTGAAGTCTACGAGAGATCCATTCACACAGGCAACAGATCCCTGCTTTTTTCATCAGGTGGGTTCTCATCAAATCATAACATCAGCTTAACAAAGTTAATATGATCAGATACACAACGCGGCAGGTAATAGCATCAATCATAGAATTCATTTCTTGCAACGATAGTCATATCTACACTCAAATTGACCACCTAGATCCAAATATAGAGCAGTCACTGCACAATGCAACTCTTTCATGGTTCACAGCCTTCGTGTCAATCTCACTCAAGAAACTAGAGAATAAGCATACAGTAAACAAGACGATCACCACGAATACGGGCAAAGGAGTATGTATCTTTTGAACAGAACGTTCAAATTTTTTTAAACTATTTACTGGAAATACCGATGAAATAGCAATAACATGAGAACCTTCGTACCTTGAAATGGACGCGCAGGTCGGAGCCCCTCGCCTTGCAGGCTGAAAAATGAAACAAAACCAATGGATCTCGAACATCAATTCTAGGAACGAACAAAACATCCCACCAATACTTGCAACAAAACTAGATAACCAAACGAACCAAAACAGAGAATATAAGTACGGAGAAATGGCAAAATCGCACAAGTGAGGAATCGTCACGTACACTTGGTGGGATTGTCGGGCTCTCTCGAGTACTTCACCTGAAGAGATCAACGAGCAATCAAAACGCGGTGAGATCAATGCAGCTAAGGCACGAGAACACATAGACAGAGGGAGAGAGAAACCAGAGAAGGAGGAGATGGAGTACCATGGCGGCTTCTGTTGACGCTAGGGTTTGTACTCGCTTGGAATGGGCAAGAGGAAGGAGAAAGAGCGACGGCGCTCTTTATACAAAAACGACGGCGGCAAAATATGAAACCCTAATCACCAGGGACGACTAGAGAGGGGGTGAAGCGACCGGGGCCATTGATCTGGGCCTGTGATGGGCTCTTCGAGGCCCAATCATAGTACAGTTGATTTTTTATTTTTTTTGCTTTTGTGGGTGGCGGGGGTCGAAGAACTTCTCATTTCATTAACTAAAATCCAGGTCGTAAACATCTGTATATAAAGTATCCAACATGGGCTGCGTCCATCAAACAGTTGGCTTCTCGGGAGCAGTGTGGCTAGGAGTGATTGGTTCTTGGGCGGTCTGATTCCCACCCAAGAACTGGACCACTCCATCCTAGAACCAGACTGGACCGATCAGTCCTGTTCCTACGTTCGGCCTATATGCTCACAGTATTACTCAGGCCTTTTTTACGAATAGATCGTGATCAATTCAAACGTAGTACGAGGAGTCCACATTTATGCTCCAATTTCGATCCAAATAAATCTCAGTGATACCAACATGTATATAAACTACGAATAGATCCATAATCACTGCTCAACTCTCATTTAAATATTAGTCTCGAACATCATGTTTTAATCTACCGAAAGGGCAAGAAGGTCCGTACCTTCGATACGCAGTCTTTGGCCACGGACGAGGATCGGATCGAACAGGAGATCTTGACCTTCGAAGCTTTTTATTTGTAGTGGTCGATGCCGACGGAGAGGCTTCAAACGAGAGCTTTGAGCTTCTCGAACGCATGGCGAAACAGGGCTAAATAAAAAGACTCTTCAGGTGAGAGTCGCCCAAAGAGGGAGGCAAGAGTCGAGGGAGAGGGAGGCGATGGAGGGTGAGTCGAGCAAGAGAGTGAGTGACTGAGACTAGGGCTCATGTTGTGAAAGAGGGAGCGACGGAGCATGACCCGTACTTGCGAGAGAGTAGAAATGTGATGATTGGTTAGCCCGAAAGTTTTTGTTCAACACATGAGGGCTTTTAGTTTTTAAATATTTGTAATAAATTAAAAAAAATATATCGGTCCGGTCCTGATGCTTCGGGTGGACAGTTCTACACATGAAACTAGGAACTAGACTGAAATCACCAATTCCATTTTTTTTTAACCGGGAACCGAACCGATGCTCTAGGGAATTGCCCAGAATTAGCCTTTTCTAGCGGTTCCCTGTCCGAGCAGTTCCTTTTTACTCACTGCTAAGTGTGGCTACATAAATAATTGTGTTGAGTATGGCTTGAATTCTCTATAGGCTTGGGCTAAAGCTTGAAAGCAATAAATATTATTTTTCTCAAATTATTTAGTTAAGAAGTTAAGACGGAAAAAGTCTTAGGCTCCGTTCATTTTACGGAAAATGTTACGTTTCTGGAAAATGTTTTCCAATAAGTCATTTTCTTGGAAAATAACACAATTTTCCGATTTTAGGCTGAAATCTGAAAGAGTTTCGGAAAATATTTTCTGCTATTTGGTATGGAAAAAATTTACTTCCTTGCACTACTTTTAATATTTTTATTTTTTTAAAAAAATAGTTTTCTTTTTTTTTCCTTCTTCTTCTTCCTCAGCCGGTCGCCGGCCACGTCGGCGACTGGCCAGGTCAAGCCTCGCTGGCCGGCGAGCTCGAACCTCGCCGGCTTGTGGCGAGGCTCTAGCGAGGCCCGAGCTCGCCTGACCGGCCATGGGCGAGCTCATTCACGCCGGATCAGGCGAACTCGCCCAACCGGCCTTGGGCGAGCTCGGCCGCGCCAGATCAAGAGAGCTGGAGCCTTGCCACAAGCTGGCGAGGCTCGAGCTCACTGGATGGAGCCTCATCAGCCTGTGGCGAGGCTCAACATGGCTAGTCACTAGCCGCCGCCATGGCCAGCAACTGGCTAAGGAAGAAGAAGAAGAAGGAAAAAAAAGAAAAAAATGAATGGTGAAAGAAGGAGGGGGGAAAATGTTTTCCTCTTCTCAAAAAGAGAAAGTTGTTTTCCTCAAAAGTGAAGGTGTTTTGCCCATTGGGGGAAAGTGTTTTCCGTTGGAAGTTATTTTCCGTGAAACGGACACCGAAAAACATTTTCCCGAAAGTTATTTTCCGTAGAACGAACAAAGCCTTAGTTTATTTTTAGCCACCTTTTGCAATCCTCAATTCGATAGGGAATTTTGCTTTTCATCTTCCCGTAGTTTTTCCCGCGAGAGTTTTCCACATAAATTTGGGTGTTTTTTATTCTTCTCGATTTTAATTTCATTATTGTTTCTGCATCAGTCATAACAAAAGGAAAATTACCAAACAATCTGAAACCTATTATAATTATGACAATTCAATCTTTAACCTTTTTTTTTTTGCCAACTGTCATCTTCCCGTAGTTTTTCCCGCGAGAGTTTTCCACATAAATTTGGGTGTTTTTTATTCTTCTCGATTTTAATTTCATTATTGTTTTGCATCACTCATAACAAAAGGAAAATTACCAAACAATCGAAACCTATTATAATTACGACAATTCAATCTTTAACCTTTTTTTTTGCCAACGAGTCCAAACCTTGTTTGTAATAATTCAATTAATCCGATCAATTTTGATCGGAAATCACTGACATGTACACTAACTGTCCTATATGACGCAGCTGGCAATAACGTTAACATTTTTAAATAATATTTCAAATTTATTTATTTATTTTCTTTTTCTTTCTTTTTTTCCTTCCCTTCTTCCTCTAGCCTGTCGCCCAACCTCAGCGATTAATTCCAAATTCACAAGGAAATAAACACAACGAGGTAAGCTATACAGCTTGTAGTACATACGCAATGCCCTCTCCAGCAGAATTTACGAATTTAAAATATGCAGTAATCCAAGAACATTGCCGATCGACTGAGGTATCGGATGTTTAATCCGGTAAGAGTTCGAATCAACTTTAAGGAAAACAGATGTCCCAATAACGTATCTCATTCTGTATCGAAGAACACATACTTCCCATCTCCAATTGTTTCATAGGAAATTTCTATAAGCGGGGTATACCACTCGATTCAACCCGGCCGTGTTTGCATCAGATTCGCAACGTTCTAGCGTAGTCAGGATATCTTTCGACGCTCTCCATTGTGATCTGTACAGCTGGGGACCGATGTCTACTGTCATCATCAGTCTATTACTGTAAAATTTTGAAAATTCTCTCCAAGTGATAACACACGGCAACACTAATGTAAACTCCCTTTAATCACCAGCTAATTCAACATCAGAACTCCTGGAAAGGTGAAATATACTTGCATGAATGAGATTAGAATATGTAAGTGGACATGAAGTTCGAATACGCGATGACATCCACCCAGTCAGGAAAAAGACTCTTCAACTTCACAGCTGCATCTACCAAATGTTGGTCTACCACATTGACATCAACTCTTAAATCCTCGGAACTGCTAGCCTGCGATCACAGCAAAAAAGTAATGATGAACATGTCATGATGCGATAATCATATATATAGAAAGTAAAGTCTCATCCGCATGGATCACACTGTAGAGTGTAGCGTAAGGGAAAGTGACTGCAACTAACGCAGACAATTTTTGCGTTCCAGAAATGTTAGAGAAATCAAATTTATGTTGAAGGGACAAATGATAGAACAAGAAAATGAAAGGAATAAGTGAATAGGATCTAAATGCAAAGGACATTGCGTGGTAAGATTTCAATTCGCACAACAAATTTGATTTCTACCCAAACGCTCAAGTCAAATCCACGAACATTACCTCCAACCAGAAAGTCCAATTTTCATTACTGTAGCCGCTCAGTCTGCATATGTACGATGGAGGACCACCATCGACGGTTTCAGGAGCTGTAGCAATGCAACTAAATGTAAGGGAAAATAAAATTTGGCCCAATTGAAGGAATTGAAGTGTTCTTCACTTAACCTGGAAGAGCCTCGTCTGCAAATGACCAGCTAGACAGAGGACCAGTTATGTTGAGCACTGCAACCCACACCTCATTCAAAGAGCTGAAAGGGAGACCCCCCCACCCAAAAAAAACAAAAGGCTTTTAGCACCGCAGAGCTTATTTAGAGTTCAGGAAGTAAGAAGTTTCACTAAAGTACACAGATCTGATGCTCCAGCAAACAAAATATCAGCAAGCCGATAAAACCTGCCTTTCGTTCTCACTAAATAAAAGTACTGCCAATATACACTTGTCGTGATGACCTACAAGGCTACCGATTCATAAATACAGTTCCTGGTAGCTTGTATTTCAATCTGAAATCAGACATGATGAGCCATGGGGCTTAAGCATGTGTAAATGTCCATTCATCAATAGATCAACTATAATATGGTTTATTTTACTTACCCCAAGGAAAATTCCAAGTAGATTCTACGAAAACTATTGCCACTACTCTGTAATTTGTATGCAGATAGATGAGGAAAAACTTGATGGTGCTTGAGAATGCCTTCGCTTTGTGCAGGAAAGTTTAAGCTTCGCGAGAACAAAAGTGATACTGGGAAAATCCCCTGCAAGAGAGAGGAAGAAAATATCTTGAGGTATCTGCGAAATACAAAATTCAGATGAAACAGAAATTTGGCTCTAGTATGCATTACAATAACATTATGTAGACATTCAACGAGAACTATATCATTGCACCTCACTTTAGAGTTCACATGGATCAATCCTTTAGAACCTCATTTTAATGTTGTAACAGCCTAGACTAATTCATCCTCAACAATTACACAAGGTCAAAATGTTGACTAGGCAGTATGCATCATATGATCCACACGAAGCCACTCTACAATCATACATCAAACTTCTTCAATAGACTACTAGATGAAGCTGAATGGCTGCAATTTGATCCTCCGATGTCGATCAAAATACCGGAAAGGTCTGACTAACATTTCCCTTTATGATAACCAATTAGGATTTATGAGTAAAACAGTCAATTTGACAGCCGTTTGACTCCTCAGTTATCGTTACATACCATCCAGTTCTCTCTATCAGACAGTTTTGCAGCATCAAAAGAAAAATCTGGGCTGATGTGCATTTCTTTTGCCACTTCAGGCGCATATTTGAAAAGAAAAGGCAAAGGATTGGAATCCACTACGCCCACATCATAACTGGAGTTGAGAACTTGATTTCCACCTATCAAATGAAGATGTGAAGTGTTGTTAGATAATCATCCCATACTGCTTTCCATCTTAAGTAAGGTCCTACAATTCAACTAGACTATATGATATAATCAATAAGGTTGGAATTATTGATAAACTTCTGAAAGTAATTCTTCCGATTAAATTTTAGTTTAGTTGCTTTGCTACCAGCAGTGAGGAAGGTATGCTGGAAAACAACCCTCTTAGGAGCATCTCTGCTGTATGGGAAAAGCTGGGAAGACACTGCCATGGTAAGTATTGTAAGATGCACCAGGAACTGCAAGATAGAAGACTTGGCTAACCAACGACCACAGATAGGTATCAGAGGGCCCACACACCACCCAGTTGAAAGTCCAGTTACCGCTGCCACTATAATATCGGGCACGAAGAACCCTGCAAAAAAGTACTTAAAGGTATCAGTCCTCTTTCCTTAAGAGTTTTCCTTGCTCACTTAATGAACTTTGGCGAAGTTTCAACCATCATTTATGTTAGATAACCATTTTCACCAAAACTGTAAGATATCAAGTACACAGATAAAACAGTGACTGCATGATTTCATTTTCATGAACATTTGCAGGGGAACTTCTTGCATCAATAGCAAAGTTGCCACCACTTCTCTTTAAATGATTTGTGCACTAGGAGCATCATAAGAGTACAAAAATGTCCTCCAAAAAAGGCAAAAAGATGAATCTACAGGCAATTGACAACATGGTTTCTAGCAAGAGAACACAGCAATCACTTGAAGCACAAGGGTATGCCATTTTCAGCTAAACAAAATGGGAATTCGGTCTTATTTCAGCGTGACAAACCCATTCTGGCTTCGATGTAGGCACTGAAGAATGGGACTGGAACTGAAGCCAAACTTGCAGTTATGATGTAGTATATTGCTACCAAGAGAATCTCACTTCAATTTTATAGTATCTTCGATACTTTTATAAAAAGAAATCTCTTACAATTTGGCTAGAATTAAGCACACAGAACAGACAGTATAGACAACTGAGACGATAATCACAAGAGCATAGTTGCTGCACTTAAAAGAGGAAGAATAGTTGACAAAAGAGAGGTCAATATTAATCCAAACCGGATCTCTCTTTGGCATATCAGTTGCATGCACTTAAGATACAAGACAAGGTGGCACGTCATCAGTTGCTGCCAAGTATGATGCGCATTACTACATCCTAATCCTAGAATGCTAATTACTGAACACCTCACATTGCATATGTCAATCAAGGTCATCGGAAAAGATACAGGTCCAGAAAACTTGCCATAGGGAGGTGGAACAGCGCCCATCATACCCATCTTCTCAATTAAAAACTGGATAAGAAACCCACCAAAATAGACAGTGTACGTAAGGCACGGAATTAGAGGTATCACGAAAGCAACAGTCGACCTGAAAGAAGTGACTCCAATCAGATCGCACTTCCTTATTATGAAAAGCGAAATATCAGGAGGGAAGATCAAAAAGTAACTAGTTGCAAGAGAAGAACCATGAGAAATAGCTATTTTCAGAAGGGACAGCCAATCTATTCATGGCATTTAACAATTATGAACTTCTCTAGATGAAACAGTAGAATAACCATATATCTAACCGCCCATACTCATTTTTTGTTGAAAATACTGAGAAAATTATCGCTTAAGTTCCCTTTCACTCCTTCGGTCACCAGAAAGGTTCCGTATTATCACAGAAGTTGTACGAAGCTGTCGATTATCAACCATCAAAGCTGACACCATTTTTAAGAGACTACTCAGCAAATAGTGCCGATGGAGGTTTTCTTGAAAGTTTACTGAAAGCTCATCATGAGTTCCAAGCAAGAGTAGTTCTTTTCCATGAAGAAGCTAGGAGTCCCATGGATGATAACTCACAAGGGGCAAGCACCAAATATGCTTAGCTATAGCCTATAACCATTCAAAGTGCTGTCCATTAAATAGTTTATAGAAGCATGAAATAGTAGAACTTTTTTAAACACTACCATAGTGAATATCGACTGCTTGACCGAATTGCTAAGCTGAAGGATATCCAAGAAAGAAGCATTGCAGCAGACAACATAAAAGTTACGAATCCGCCACTCAGCCCAGCCAAAAGGTAGGCCTGCAGTTACCAAAGTTGCTTTAGCAAGTTTACCAGTAGAATAAGTGAACATATCTCAAATTTACATTTAGCTCATTGACATTTTTCAACAAAAGGAAGTCATATATTTTGAATTGTATGACTTACCAACGTTACCAAAGAATAGAAACCAAATGCTCCCCAAAATCTCGCTTCATCAAAGAACACCTGCATGAGTATTTCAGTCAAGTACTCAGTCATGTCACTCAAGAGTACAAAAAAAATTGCTTACATTATAATGACGACTATTCATATCACAGCATTCCAAAGTAAAACCAAGAAGGCAGACCTCAGTTGCATATGTTCAATTACTATTTACCTGTTCTGCATGTCCAGCTGCAGCAATCATTCTCAAGTTTTAAAAGAATTGCCCGCAGATTTAAAAAAAAAAAAAGAAACAGAGCATTGACAATACTTATTCAGAGTAGATTGTACCTCCTTTGATAATTTAAGATTTGAGATCTCTTGAGAGAGGGGAAAGTTGCTCCAAACAATCCTTGGAATCAAAAGACCAACGACAGAGCTGGGGATGAACATTATGAAAGCCAAATATGGAGTAGCAAACCTGCATTTGGTTACAGCACGTCATGCCTAGCCCGCAATTGCCTATGTTAACATGAACATATGCCATAGTGTCCCCTCACACTCCACACCCCACCCACTGTCTCTCTCCAGAAAGCAAAAAAGAAAAGCGGCAGGCCACACCTATCAAGTTTAACGGGTGCCATCTTCTGAGATGATATGTGAAATCAAATGATGAGAACTCACCAGTTCATTGCATAACTTGAGAAGAGCAATCTCAGTATAGAGAAGACAACGGGAAAAAGAACACCAAGTATTATACCAGCAGAATGGAGCATAGTCCCTAGAGAGAGCAGAAGGCATTAGTAAAACTCTGCAGGCCAGGTAACTGAGCAAATGGTCATGACAACGACAATGAAACCATATAACATGAAAAATGAGTTATAACAGAAATTGGGCAGCAATCGTTCTTTACCTTTCACAAAGTCACGGAGAATTGCAAACCAAGAACGAGAGCCAGAGTTTAATAAATGCAAAAGGAAAGGCATGGCGAAGAAGATGCCAACAGGAACACAATGAAGCACCACAGCCACCCTTCTAGGATAATATATCTGAAAAATCCAAAACACTAGTGATTTTATTCGTATAATCAACTATCAAGATGCTCATTGACATATCTAAAAAAAGTCGTACCAAAATCCACGATAGATAATCAAAGAATACGGCCCGCTCATCCGAGCCAGTAGATCCAATATGTTCTCTTTCATGAGCATTTCTCAACATAGAGGAAGTTGTGAAGGCCTTAACTAAGCTGAACAAATTGTCTCCACGTGCTTGGACACTTCCAGGTCTGTTTAAAAAAGTTTGGATTTATGAGGAAGGAAACAAAAAGGTCAAAATTATGTGATTTCTAAGACCATACATATCAGTACCAAAGTAGCAGATTTAAGGCATACAATAATCTGTCCACAGTGTCATATGAGGTATGGTAAAAATAACCACCAAGGAGAAAGATAATATCCAAGCCAGGAATGTTGCCATTATCTTGAGAAAATATTCGGTAATCAGTATCACCAGGAATTACAGGAAAAACATCCTGCACCCGAAGAGATGATTCACAAGTGAGACCGACTACTAAACCTCTGCAGCATATTAAAAAACCAAAAGCACTAAGAGAGAGAGAGAGAGAGGGGGGGGAGAAAAGTTTGGCCCAAAAGAGAGTACCACTCAATAATAAATTATTGTAATAGCAAAACCTCATTATCTTCTAACTTCTCATATATGAAACACGTATTTCTTATAAATTTCACAACCTGAAGATCTAACCCGACTTGTATGGATAAAATGCATGCATCTTGTTATAAATACTTGTAAATTATATGCATGTATGTAAACCAACTATAGGAGCAAGAAAATAAAGAACCTGAGCAGCACTATGTGCCATGGGATATATCGCTGATTCAGCATAAACAAGAGAAGGCCAAGAACCGGGTCCAGATTGGCAGACCAAATCTGTTGAGAGCATTGAAAAATAGAAAATCATCAGGGATGCAATATCACCAGAACAGCAGTTGAGCATGAGGAGAACTGCCATTTTATCACAACCTGCAATTACTGATTCTGAAATTGAAACAAAATTCCCCGGAACATTACCACTCTCTTTATCTCTATATAATTAACGTTTTGTAGATGAATATGAACAATCGTGCATGAGAATGAGGAGATAGATGTCACCCTGTTGGAAAAATGGGAATAAGACACTTGAAAAGAGACTAAATGGAAATGGAGTATCTCCTTTCATTATTTCTCTGAAAATGTATTGTATGTACATCTCAGTGATACTCTATAATAAAATAGTTAAAGGACCCCTGCACTTTTCAAATACCAGGTCCTCCAGTTCCAGACGCTTCCACATTTATAAAAGCTCCAATTGAATCACGCCATCTGTTTGTTGTCATGAAGCCATGTGAACCCTGGAAATGATAATCAAATAGCTTCATTAGCTGAATATGTTCAGAACATGCAAAGTTTAAGGCAATTCTATTTAACAACAGTTTGCTAATGGTCATTTTAGCAAGCAAAAACACCTCATTTTTGTTCGCAAGTACTTCAAATTTTAAAGCGAAATAGTGTTACTCAAAACTTTGATGTCAAAATAAGAACGTAAAAATAAATCAATTAGACTACCAGATTGAGAATTTATTACCAGAGATATATATAACTACCACTTACCAGCATGAAAAGTTCTTCTGCACCATTAAAAAGAAAAATGATGGGCCGAGGAGGCATCCAGTCAGCATCCACAATAAGTCTTGCTAGTTCCAGCATTGATGCTGCAATAAGAGTAAGAAACCTTATATGATGCAGAAAATGTTTATCCAAGTTAATAATCCAAAAATCCCAACTACGGTACTGATACTGCAAAGAGAAATGTAATCCTAATACGATGAGCAATAAAAATCAAGACTTTACACGGAAGGATTGGCTAAGTATATACTTTTACGCCGCCACCCTTTCTTTTTTGCTTGGATCAACATGATAAAGGAAAATATATCGAACTCAATGGGATTTCTACGTACCAACACATGAACCACAGTCACCAGCACCGGGAGAACCAAGTGGACTATCAAAATGCCCATTGACTAGAAGGGATGGATCAGTGTCTTGTGAATCTACAGATGATATCCTGCCATTAGATCAAAATTCAGCTTAAAGTCCATATCTCCTGATACACGAGCATGATCGGATATCGGAAGCTTGGCCCCTCATTGCACCATCAGTTATTGCATTATTAGCATTGGAAGAGGCCTCTCGGGGAAGACAAGGCATAAACCAGTTTGTCACCTCGACACAAGTACAAGATATCATTTCAGGGCTATTAAAGATGAAAATCATCTCCATCCATGGAGTTTCTAAACAGAAGCCAACCTCCGAAGCAAAACTAAAAAAGCAAACCACGATTTTTTATTTTTCACATGGCCCTTCAGATCTTTCACATAATTTATAAAGAAAGGGATGAAGGAGCCTTCATGGCAAGGAGCTCCATGCATCGACAAATTCGGTGATTTAATCTTGAAATTTGGAAGGGGGACGGGGAGAGGCCACAATCTTGCAGTCGTATTTCAGACATTGTAATGGGACAGTTACCTGGCAACAACATTTGTATGATTTCTGTACCCAAACGAAATGCTGTGGCCCAAAAACATCATGTTGAACGATCCGGCAACAGTTGACTCCTCAACCACGATTCTGTGTAAAAGTTTCTTAGAATACTTTGGCGGAAGTAGCGAGTTTCTAGAATTTAACAACTTCTGAGGTTATAAATAGCAAATCTAGTTCCACCCAAAAAAGGAGGACCAAAAAGAGGAACTCCAGAAAAGAAATTGCAAGTTCAATCGGATTTCAAGATATAGATGGAACAAATTACTTTAACTTAGGCCCAGCTCGCTTCTTAAGCGTCTCCAACTGTGATTTGATATATCGAGCAGCTTCTCGTAATCCAGGACTTCCTTCCTATCAGCACCAGATTGAAGCACTGCATTAAGCTAAACACAAACCGAAAATACAAGGATTACGCTATTCCACGGCAACTTCTGCTTTCTCTTAGTGCACATTTTTTGTCCGAATAACCAAATGCCAACTCCTCTGTCAGTCCTGCTCTATTTCACCTACCCGAAATCTAATCAACGCAGCAGAAAATTTCTAGTTCCAGATATTATCGTATGGAAACACATTCGGAGTCAACATCAAACAGCCGCGCCAAGAGAAGAGCACCGAAACACGACCAGCCGACTCACCTGACGACCGCCGATGTCCTGCGCCAGCACGCGGACGTGCTCGACCGCTCGAGCCTCGGAGAACCGATCGGGAGGCGCGTCGACCCCGAGCGGGTCCACGAACTTCATGTGGATCCGGTGGTACACGAGGATCGACATGAGGCCGTACATGATCGCCAGGGAGAAGAGCAGCTTGAAGCCCGGAGCGTCTCGGGAACTCCAAAACCTCAGCGCCATGTTTTTCTTCCTCCTCCTCCGGCCTCGCCTCCTCGGCTCGTCGGAGCAGGTCCTCCCTCCGCGGCGGGAGGCGCGATCGGCCGGCGTGGGATCGCGTGTCGGATTGACCGCGCGCGCTTGATTGGGAGTATCGATGGCGTCCTCGGGTGGTAACGAAAAGAGATGGAAGTTTGAAACAAAAGAGCAGAGACGGTGGGGTCGGCCGAGGTTTCTGGTAAGATATATATAGGCTGGGGATCTGTCGGGAAAGAGCGTGCGATCGGACTGCCATGTGTCGTCCGCCCGCCCGCGTTGACCCTGTATCATTTTTCTTTTTGTTCGAGTGAAATTATATTTAGAATAATCGAGGAGTGGTTAAGCATTTAATTTGAATACTAGCACACGATGCACGCACTTGTGAAACTCACCAATCATTTTATTCGAGTAAAGTAAATGGAAAAAATTTGTTGAAGTTAATAGTGACATGACAAAAAGATTGTTGTACCCGAAACTTTGGAAGAAGAAATAAAGGTTTTAGTATAGTTAAGGAAACAAAATTATGTCATCCGAAATCGTAGTATATGAATACAAAAATAGAACGCCATGAGATTGAGAGAAATAAGGGTAGGAATGTGGAATTTTTTATTAGCTTTTGCTGGCAAAATGCATTTCTTATTTTGATATTTTAATTGCACTGATGAACACGAGATAGCCTATGCTGATATGGAGGGAATTTGAGTAGCTTTGGAAATTTATGGAAGGGTTTCGTAACAAAATAGTTGGTAAAATGATTTAAGAGGTAATGGCCATTCTAGAAGTAGATTTTGTTGTGTTGTGGTCGTGCTGCAATAGAAACCTATATTTGCCCCCTTATATATAGCAGAAATTTACTAAGGTCAAGATCGAAATAGAAAAGTTCCTCTCCGTAAAACTGAGGACTCATTTATCTCTTGATAGTACCATAGATTACGAATATTATATAACAAATACAATTAAGAACAAATTTGAAAGTCACATCGACCATTCTGTAGAAATCTTGTCTTATTTGATATACGTGGACTGGACGATTTGCATATATCCGTATTTCAATCAAGCTGCCTGTAACATTATACATCACCATGCAAACATTTAATTTTTATTAATTGAAATATAATGGGGGAAAAGGGCCAATGGAAATGATTTAGCAATGATTGCTTGAGACAAAGTTCAAGGGACATGGGTTTCCATATCGTGTTGATTGATGTATATTGCTCATAGGTTTTGGGCTAATCGCCGCGCAAATTCTGGCCCACTATATGTCCCCCGAGTGGACCCTCTCAAAGTTTTATAAAACGATGTTGCTCCACTTTCAAATATTACTCAAAGAAAAGGAAAGAAAAACTTATAAAAACTTTGGAATTATAAGCTCAAGATCTTCAACCCGACATCTCCATATCCAATAAAGATTCGAGGATTTGATGAGAAAAATGCATGACTTTTTTTGGGGGAAAATTTCCAATGATGATCGGACCGTTTTTTTACAATAGGATTCAGAGTGAATTCTATTTCTCATAAGAGTTTAAAGTTGTCAATTTAGTTCAAATAAGGGCTCGAGCTCGCCGGCGGTTTAACCAAATCTTCGCCGACCAGCTTGCGCGGATGACTCACGTGCTTATTCTAATGGTTAGAGCTGAGGCAATTTTGTTTGAAATCTTTTGCTTTGACCCAATACAAAGAAGCTACAAATTAAAGCTAGTTTTTCGAGAGAGCTGCATGGTTTGAATTCGAAAAGGGCATCACAATCCACCATCTGCAGAATAATCCTTCTAGTAATGTATGTAGAATTGCAGTTCAATAAATAACTTGAAGGTAACAAAATTGCCATGTTGCAGCCGCCGGAATAAGCAAATGATTTGCATGTGCAAATTGATCGATGAAAATTTGGCCAATCGGTGTGGGCCCTTATTTGAGATTACGTTGGCCATTTTAGGTATTTATTTGAGATAAGATTTATTCTGTACCATCTTTTGAGAAAATAGCTCCATTCCATACATTTATTTAGAAATTTCCTTTTTAGATATAATGAAATTATAAACAGACTTCTCATCAATTGTTGCTCGTGCCACTAATCATGTAGGGAAACAACATATCTAATTATGTTGAAATACGGTTTTCCTCGTGGAGGACTGCATTCACGTGAAAAATAAACTTTTTTAATATGATAAGTCACTCATCATGATGAAAATTTTGCTTGGAATATTAACTTAGTATATCGATACTTTCCTGTTTTATACGTAAATTTGTTTACCACGTGAAAAAATCATGTTTTTGTTGATATATGTATATTAGAGGTGTCAAAATGTGTTGAAAGCTCATTTATTAACCCATATATGATGGGTTGGGTCATATATGGGTCAGCTAAATTTTGCTAAATAGATTAATATGAGTAGGAGTAATAAAGTCCAATAAAATGTAGGTTTTTAATAGTTCTAAAGCCCAACTTATCTACAGTCTCTTTTCACTTGTATTCAACTTTAGGTTGGGGGGTTTTGGGTGGGGCTACTTATTTTTTACTTTTATCTTCTACTCATGATCTTCTTTTTTTCAAAATGGAAAAATAGTAAAAAAATTATGATCTTTCAAGTTTTAGAAAATCGTGAAAATTAGTATATGACTCTATGTATCAATATTTATTAACTTATTGATTTTAAGAGATGTTGGCTACTTCTTTGTAAGACTAAAAAAATTTGCAATAAAGAAAAAGCCGCAAACAATCGAAAATCTTATTTGGAACCTTATAAAAATTACTAAAACTTTTATCTTTTACACACTACACACATAGCATAAAAGTTATTTATTTTTAAATATCTATGATTTTAATAATATGAGTCGAGTATGTGTTGGGTGCGGATCAGGTCGAGTATGGACTGAATTTGTATTTACATAAATGGGTCAAAACAAGTTAAATGTGCGACAAAAGAAAAACGTGTTAAATGGATCGATTTGGGTTGGATCATTTTCAACCCGAACTAACCCACCTATTTGACAGCACTAATGGATATGCAATTTAGAGATCAACCACAAGAAAGAATAGAGAAAACTTTGTCGACCTCGACCCACCGTGAATTGATTGGATTGCAATTTATAATTATGGACTTTGAATTTTACACGAATCTCGTCTCATACAATCTAACAAACATATGTGGTATGTCATGGACACGCATCGTGTCCATTTAGGCCTCTATTTGTTCAATGCAGAATTGACTCAAAAGATGGGATTAAAATTTCCTACATATTTCATGTTTGGAGAGAAGTAAAAGTGGAAATTTGGATTCTACACATAATAAGATTTCCACAAAAAAATGTGGAATTGGATTTCCTAACCATAGTTTGTTCGTTGTGAGATTCAACTTCCAAATTTTTAAAAGGAATTAGTGTATCATAAATCCTAAAATTTGACGCAAAAGTATAGTTGATCTTAAAATCTTCAGAAAATGCAATCAAATCTATATATGTGTGCGGATGGGCCATTAATGTTTTGAGTGATGTCGAAGGAATCAATGATAAATTAGAGTGTATGGAGGTGGATATAGAAGGATAAATGCAAATATAGGATATACTACGATCACCATCGAGGCATAAAGGACGCGCCGCCAACTAAAGATAAAGATCAAAGATAGATGAAGTTCACCATCAAAGCTTAAAAATAAATCACGTGCTAAGGATAAAGGATTTTGAGATAGGAGAAGCTCAACAGCGGGTCTAAAGGAAACTGCCAGTAGAGAATAAATGGCTTCTTAGCTCACCATCAAAGAAGAATCCAACTTCTAAGGATAAAGAAACCGGTGATAGATATTCGCTCACACATAGAAAAATTTCTTGTAACATTAATATTCAAGTTTTATCTGTCTTACAAATGATAATTCGCTTCTATATGTAGAGGCACTAGTACATAGGAAATGGACAAAGTATTAAAGACATGGTAAATACCTAACTAATAAAGACTTATGAACTAGAAAATGTATTTAACATACATAGAAACTTGAACTTTGATTCTTGAAATCTACGACACACTTAAGACTCATAAAACTCAAACTGATGATACTCGACTAGATGCAAAGTAATTAAACTTACATTCTAAATTCGTTCACCATCCTGGACAGCCCAATAGACACATTTGAAGATTAACGAACAACGATGCAAATCGATCATAACAGCCTTTGGTTGTTAGGTGGTCGATTAGTAACCTCGGAATCAACAACGGGCTTGTAAATTGGCATCTAGGTAACCGATTGACAACCACGAAATTTATAATCTGTCGACTGAATCGACAACTCTCTTACATAATACACATCTTCAACTTGAACCTATCAAGTCAAAGTATTACCAAAATTGGCCTTTTGCTTCCAAAAGTAAGGATTGAGTTGGATTGGGCGATGAGGTGTGAGTTGAGCATGCGAGTTGATCGATATAGCCCAATGTTCCCACATTAAATTTCTAAAATTTGTCAAATTGGTGCAATTAAGTCAATGTGTGAATTCATTCAAATTTGGTAAACAAAAATGCTGACGTGAATTTTTCTACTACTTTCTTAAGACACACGACTTTTTTTAATATACGAATGGAAACTGCTGACGTGATATTATTTTCACGATAATATTTATAACTTCTAGGGTACTAATCCCTTTTTATAACCACAAAACTATCAAAATCCAACTCCACCGTCACCGACCTCCACCAACCGCCACCATTTGTTGATCGTCGCCGTCAGTGGCCGGTAGTGTCGATGATTATTAATCTCTAGTGTCGATCATCGTCGAGAAGTACTCTCTAAGAAGGTAAATGTTTTTTGTTATCTAGACAATGGAAATGAATCTTATTCCGAGTTACTTGAAATGGAGAGGATCCCCTAATCACGAAACCAAACGAGTCCTCGAGCGTTTTCCCTTCGTTTTCCATCCAAATCCATTTGATATCTCGAGATAAATGGGAATCGAAGCAACCTTATTCTCATCTCCTCCGGGTATCTTATACTCCCAAGGCGTCATAAATTGGATGGGATCCGTACGATTGCGCCTTGTGGCGCCACGTGCATGCACATGAATCCTCACATGATACCACAATCAACTACCCAGCACGACGTCGAATCTATGTAAGCATCGAGAAATTTAATGTACTAAATTGACAAATTGTCTGAAGTTACTTCGGCTTTCATCTTAATAATTAGTTTAAGTACTCGCAACCCACTTTACTTAATGCACAACCAACCAACATACTCTCTCTCTCTCTCTCTCTGCAACCCAGTCACCAAAATTTGCGGAGCGACGCAAGGCCACCGAGAGAGCGAGCGTCGCCGACGAGCTGGCGGACGAGCGGATCTCGAGAAGATGTACGGCAAATCCATCGCCCTCTCCCTCGGCCTGGGCTTCCTCCTCCTCCTCATCACGTACTCCATCATCATCGGCTCCGTCGACATCCGATCCTACTTCTTCCCCCCGCTGCAATCCTCGCCCGGCGCCGGCGCCTGCGCGAACGATGCCGGCTCCTCGGCCCCCCTCCGGGTCTACATGTACGATCTCCCCCGGCGGTTCCACGTGGGCATGATAAACCGCCGTGGCGCGGACGAGTCGCCGGTGACGGCGGGGAACTTCCCCCCGTGGCCCCGCAACTCCGGGTTGAAGAAGCAGCACGGCGTGGAGTACTGGATGATGGCCTCGCTCCTCTACGACGGCGACGGCGGCGGCGGTGGCGGGAGGGAGGCGGTTAGAGTCTTGGATCCGGAATCGGCTGACGCTTTCTTCGTGCCGTTCTTCTCTTCGTTGAGCTTCAACACTCACGGCCATAACATGACGGATCCGGCGACAGAGATTGATCGCAAGCTGCAGGTAATTGAGTAGGTCTTATCTTTCCCGGAGACTCAAATCTACATTTCCCCGCTTCCTTGTTGTTCGCTGTGCATACCGTATCTAGTGGAGCGTGTTGAAATTTGACATTCAGGAATTTGAACGTTTGCATTCGGCTGGTTGTGTTGCTTACGCAGACGAAAAGCTCTGTTTGCCATCTGGCAAAAAGGCTCATGTTTTGATTCGTTAATCTTCTTTTCCCAAGAATTGATTTAAGAACCGACGATATGTTTTGGAGAGGGAGAGAGTGTCGGTCTGGTATGGCTCGCAGTCATCAATCCCGTGGAATGGCAGTGTTTTTTAGGCATTTTGTGTCAATGTTGCTTTCTTTGAACTTGTCAAGTGCTTATTTGGATATTTTATGGCGCTGTGTTGGCATCGAATATGGTGCTTATGATGTATATCTCCGCATCCTCTTGTCTTTGCCTGTTTATATATTTGTTTCTATTTTTAGCACTTGTCAACACCAAAAACTAATATTCGTGAAGTCGGGATATCCAATTGCTTTCACTTTCCACAAAAGAAAGAACTGACCCTTATTTTGAAATGCTTACTGTGAGATAATTTCTGCCGAAAGCATTTCAAGATGAGATATTAGCCTGTGAAAAGTTGGATGCTTTGAGAAAGCTTTTGAGGTGTATATGTATGGCAGGCGCTGATCCAATGAACTGGGGAATTTCTGTTTCTTTGCCCCCATTACATTATCTCCTTGCGTGTGACTTCTGGTCATCCACCCATAGGATAGTCAGATTCAGGATGAACTGTAAATATGGGGACCCTTCAGGTTCCAACGGGGAAATCTTTTGAATTCTCGCAAGATGTTGAGGTCCACATGAATTCTCCTTTTTCAAGTATTCACTTCTTATATTTAAACAACTCAATATGTTGCCAAGTTACTTTTTGGTATTAGAATGGAGTGTTTACTGGTGGTTTTATTTAGAGGCTGTAGTGATTTGGGTGTAAGTCAAACCTATTTATTTGACACTCTCTTTGGCATGGAGTGTGAATTCCAGTCTTTTGGTTTTCTTTACTTGTATTATGATTGTTTTCAAGACATCTTCATTGAGCCTTTACTACCATAGCGAGACAAATCAGTTACTTTCTGAAGCCTATGTTAAAGTACTTAATCGTCATTTTTGGGATCGTCCTCTTTCTAGTTTATTCATTTTTGTCACACTATATGTCCTCTATAAATGGGACTTAATGATCCCTTTAAAAGGTAATTTCTGATGGGCTTTTTCTTTGTGAACAACTGTATCCTTGTTACAGTTGAATATTGGTTCTTCTGATTTCAGATTGACCTTCTGGAGTTCTTGCGGCAATCCAAATATTGGCAGAGATCTGGAGGCAGAGACCATGTAATTCCTATGACACACCCAAATGCTTTCAGATTTCTTCGGGAACAGGTGAACGCATCTATTCTTATTGTTGCAGATTTTGGTCGCTTCTCTAAAACCATGTCAAATTTGAACAAAGACGTGGTGGCTCCATATGTACATGTTGTGGATTCTTTTTTAGATGATGACACTGTTGACCCGTATGGGTTGCGCCCCCTGCTTCTATTCTTCCGTGGGAGGACAATCAGGAAAGATGTAAGCCTGCCTGGCCCTGCAGTGTGATTTATCTTCGAATAGTGAAATCTGAATAGCATGAGTACCTGTTTATTTGACACCGTATTTTTCCATCACTATGCCTATTACCTTTCAGGAGGGGATTGTTCGTGCTAAATTGGCAAAAATATTAGCTGGTTATGACGACGTTCATTACGAGCGCAGTATTGCAACTGTTGAAAGCATCAAAATGGTAGGTAGAGTTGCCCTTTTCTCAATCGCTCTATTTATATTCATAGTAAGATGTCGTATAGCATATGGAGTGATTGGGACGTTCATATAGAGTTACGGCAAAAATTTTAACGTTCATATAGAGTTACGGCAAAAATTTTAACTGGTTATGATGACGGTCATATGGATCTCTTTATTTTTCGTGGTTCTTTAGAGCCGTTTTTAAGAATCTCATTTCCGAGGTCAAAGATTATGTGCATTTGCTAAATAAGTTTCAGGGAAAGAGACTAGTAACAATCTGGTTTGCATTGCATTGAGTGTGCAACTTTACCTTTATTTCTTTTTATAAAGTTCCAAGAGTATGCTCTTGCTTTTCTATGTTTAGTTGACTCCTTTTTTACCCGTGCAAGCTCAATACCTGTCCAGTGATTTGATTGTTGTAGAAGTGAAGCTTTTTATATAAATAAATCGTGTCCACCAATCCCCTAAAAATTTATGGTGATAGAAGTGCTTTTAAAAGGCTACAGATGAATTCCTTTAGCCTTTCGTTTGCTTGAAACTCCTGGTACTTTTGCTTATGGTTGCTCAGTGTTATATTCTGAAGTTGAGATTATCAGGACTAAAAGTCCTATTTGACAATCCCTCGAAATGGAAGACCTTCGGAGAACTTATAGGTAAATGCAAGTGTGCTACTTGTTTTGGTCATCCAGTGGTGCTGCTTGGCAACAGGGAATAAAGAAAATAAATGCAAAGTAGCACTTCACCTGGCAAGTTGTCTTTAAATTTGTCTAGAAGTATAAAAATCTGAAACGTCCTGTCAGAAGTATACCGTATTATACATCAAACATAAGAGCCTAGTATGAGATAAACTTACCTATTTAGTTGGTCACAGGTATCTCCTTGAGAATATAATGCCTAATTGTATTATTATGTAATGTTTTTTAAAGCATAGAAATTTAAGGTGATTCTTGTTGTCTGAATCTGTTTTGAGCATCATCTATGATCCAAAGGCGGAAGTATATGAATTATAAAAATGTGCTAGTTTACGTTTGGCTGTAGCTTTGAATTGCCCGGTCGTAGTTGATGCTTTGACTACATGAATTACAAGTACTCAGTCCAGTGGAAAGCTCTCTTTTTGTACAGTTGAGTTGCACTGACATCTGCTAGCAGCAATGATGCCAACAGTGGACAATGCTTATTCTTTAACTTTTCTCTCGTTTTTCTCCAGTCCACTCAAGGAATGCGTTCATCGAAGTTCTGTCTGCATCCAGCTGGAGATACTCCATCATCATGCCGGCTTTTTGATGCCATTGTCAGCCACTGTGTTCCTGTCATCGTTAGTGATCAGATTGAGCTCCCATATGAGGATGAAATTGACTATTCCCGGTTCTCGATTTTCTTCTCAGTCAAGGAGGCACTTACACCAGGTTACATGGTTGAACAACTGCGGCTGTTCCCAAAAGAGAGATGGATGGAAATGTGGAAGCAGATTAGAACAATTTCCCGTCACTATGAATTCCAGTACCCCCCAAAGAAGGAAGATGCTGTGGACATGCTATGGAGACAGGTAAAGCACAAGCTTCCTGGGGTCAAACTTGCTGTTCATAGAAACCGAAGGTTAAAAATTCCAGATTGGTGGGGGCGAAGGAGATGACAGGGAGGAGCTTGCTGTTAAGACACTGTACATCTACGTTCTCTATCATTATAGCAGTGCCCTTACAAGAATCGACAAGATGCAGAGACCTTGCCAAACACAATCAGCGGCATTTTTAACTGATCGTGATCTGTTAATTGGATCTCATTTTCTTTCCTTACTTCCCAATCTTGTAGTCTTCCACCAAGATTTTTGTAGCAACTTCTGCTTGTTGATGTCTAGCAAATATTGTGGAGGCTATATCCATGTACAGTGTCTGTCGGGATTGGCCTCTGTCTTTTTAGCTCTCTATGCTTCTTTAGCTGCAGAGGATGTGCAAGTTGACTGTTATTGGGATTTTGTATCATTCTGCAGAAGAAACGATTGTCCATTCTTTTGTTCATTACAAATACATGAAGTTGTTGCCCCTGTGTGATCAGCTGAAGGACTGGTATTGTACCCAAGATTTCCCAGATTGAACTGGAGTAAATCTTTAATCTCCAGAATCGGCCATGAGTCGTGTGGGTTATGTTTTTGAAACCAATGTTTCTCCGTCTTGGTACCGCAAATTTGCTAGGGCTCTGTACTTCGCGACCCAAGACCCTATTGACCGCGGCGATCGGAGATTGAGGCTTGACTGCCAAAAAATTTGCGTTTGATTTCTTGCTGCCCGACTCATCGTCAGCATGCGATCCTTGGGCAGCACATCCAACCTTCACACTCGGAGCAAATGCTTAAGGGAACAAAGAGAAGTATGCCATGTGCCCTGCCTTCTTTTATGATTAGGAACCTCCCTCCTGAATCAGTCAAATAATTGGAACCTGAGACCCATGAAGCTAACTCAAACCTCACGGGCACAAAGAAAACACAAGCCCAAATTCTAAAAGACCTTGTACGATATACTACATAAATATACTATCAATGTCCAAAATTTATGGGATGTAAAGCCCGAAATTTTCACTCGAGTCAAAGTGGAGGATGACCCATTAGGAGCGAACGTACTTTCTGATCGTACTCGAGTTTTTTTAACATTTTATCGTACTTTTCATTAAGCCCCTACTCTGCAAGAATAGAATAGCCCTGAGGGACGGTCAAAGCACACTGCTCACCGCTCAGTCCTTTTGTGTTTGGATGCAGCGTGGGGCGACACCCATGATTCTTGCTGGCTCGTTTGCCCCGCCTTTTTGAAGCGTAAAATACGATTCATCACCAGATCGGTCACCCTTTCCGCCAGTCCCCGCAATGAAAAAGCCACGTGGCGGTCAAATCGAATCTAGTGCTCGAAGTGGTCCGATGGATAAACAAAACGATGAACGACAGGACGGTGATGGGATTCTCCTACAAAGCTCTTGATTTGTTTTTTCGCCGGGAGATTTTTTTATAGCGAAAATCCCAGGAACCGATCCCCGCACCTCCGCCACGCTCTTGCTCGGCCGCGTGACGGCCACCTTCCGTTCATAGCGGCCGCCGGCCTAGGCCCACGGAAAGGGCTTTGCTTTCAGTCCCAATTTGCAATTCGACGAATTTTGCTCAGTTGCCCAGTTCGAGCAGCGAATCGAACGGTAAAAAAAGCGAATCGAAAACCGACGACGACAGTTCCGTTTGGGGCGGACGAGGTTCGGGATCCGACTGCCGTCCGAACGTGAAGTGAGATATTGAAATGCTTATTGAGAGGAATGGGTGCTCAATTCGAATTGGCTTGCAACTGTGATTCCTGATAAGTTCGTGTCCATCGCGTCGCATCATTTCATTGGACGGCGGAGATCCCACGACGATCCCGTCCCTTCGCCCCCGCACAAATTGCCGTCGCCATGCACGTCCAAGACACGTAATATTAAATTAGGACGAAAGCCAAGAAGGGGGGAGTGCTTGTAGTCGTAACGTCTCACCGTCCATGTCTGCGTCCGTCACTCTCAGTCTCGCTAATCTCGCTCGAAACGGGGCCAAGAAACGTCTCCCTCTCTCTCTCTCTCTCTCTGTGTCCGAGGAGCATCTTCGTCGTCTACACGGTAGATCATCTGGTCTCGACCGCGCCAAGAAGGAAGAGGAACGAAGTCCGGGCATCTATCTGGTCGTGAGCAGACCTCGTATCTCAAGAAGCTTGGAGGCGTTTGCTGGTGCTGGATCGATGAGCCTCGTCAAGACCCAGCAGAATTACTCCGCTGTTCGCACCCTTTCGGTCTCAGCTCCTTCCTCCTCCTCCTCCTCCTCCTCAATCTCCAGATGTTCTCAAGGCCTCGCTCCTTCAGGTTTCTCTCTCTCTCTCTCTCTCTCTCTCTCTCTCTCTCTCTCTCTCTCTCTCTCTCTCTCTATGCACACAATGCGAATGCGATGCTTCCTTTTGATTCCTCGACAGTTTTCGGCGGTTTTTTTATTCTGGCGATGCGGGCTCTCGCTTCTTTGCGCGCTGAGTTTTTCGTTTTTTCTTTGCTTTTTCAAATTCCGATGTTCGCTGCTCTGTTTTCTGGAAAGAATGGCTATGAAAATCGGCGACGTGTGTTTTTGTAAGCACGAGGCGCTGGCGTTGGGCCAAGTCATGGTTTTTATCACCGCCAATGCAGGTCGTGTCCGCTTCGGTGATCAATTGGTTTCAGTTCGAGTCTCGTTTTAGTTAATCAACCGACCCCCTCCATCATTTCCTGTTTCTGAATCTAAGCATCTGGGTATGTCAAGAGGATTGTTTTTGCTCTGCACCTGTTTCTTCCATATCCGATCAAAGTTTTAGTTACTTTACCGTGCTTGAAAGGTGGAAAGAAACACGTCTCATAGAGGATGGTAAGCATAATCAGCCCCCCTAATCTCGCGTGTTAGGTGAACGTACCCGGTTCCTTGTGGTCATAATCAGACATCTGCTAATTAGTGATTAGTGGTTGATTGATCCCACAAAAGCACAAACAGAGAGAAGGAGAGGTGCCGGATTTGGTGGAAATTTGGTCGCTGACTTGCTCTGTGGGAAAGAAAAGGACTTGGGTCATTAATTAAAAATTCAATGCTTGATCATACTCGCGACTGTGGACGAACAAGCCTGCCGGGAAACAAATTGCTTCTCTTAGGGTCCCATCTCATGCAAGCCGGGTCCTCCATTTGGGTTGGTTCTAGCACTGCTCGTCAAATATGGGCACCACAAGAGATTTTTTATTTCATATTCTTTTTGTCGATATTTATGGGTTGGAGTTATCTCTATCAAGGAATTCCTTTTGTGGGTCCTAGGAACTCTAATTTAATATCTTAGTTATTTCTTGGCAGATTCAATATCAGTTGGTTTCCTATGCAGTCTTAGTCTGTTCAAGTAGGTTCACATTGGAGAGACGATAGATGCGAGAAGGCAGTGATGAATCCAACGGGGGGCCTGGCGGGGGCCGATGGGTTCCCCTTGCCCAAAGGCTGCTTGGTACTAGATGTAATTTTAGTAGTTGTACACTATGGTCTCATGAAATTTTGTGTAGTATTGTTAATACTCCCTCGCAATAGCGTCCACCACTGGGGGGTGTCTTGAGAATCCTCATTGGAGACTTGTTACTTAAAAGAATGATGGGCTACTGAAGTGAATAGCCTGTGCAATCTGATCTCAATGGTCAAAATGGAAACATCATGAGTCCAATGCAGCTATATTGCTGCCCACATTCCTAATTCAGATTGTGCAATCCTCCCTTTTTGATGCATTTATATCTGTCTCGATCAAGATAGTACAAATAGGGGCAAACTGACAATCCAATAGCATCGAAATTGTGGCAAAGCTACAACATCACCGATGAAACCAATGTCTAAGGAAATTGAAAGAATACCTTTACAACTCTCAACATTGAGCATACATAGAGTAAGGAGCTTTATATTAGCTCCCATGCAATTGATTTTCTGCTGTGAGCAGCAGATTCCCCTTAATTTCCTTTTTCTCTTAGATTGATAGCCGATCTTTTAATGCATCATACATGAGCAAAGTCAGCAGGAACAATCAAAATATCTTTCAAGGTCTGTGGGCTGCCTCCAATTTCTGGTGGTAACTTCAGTGATAGAATTTCTTTGAGTTGTTGAGAGTGTCTGCTTACTAGTTATTTTTCTTGTCATAATGAGTGCAATTAGTAGTTTCACAATGCTTTCATTGCATATTGGGCAGCCTATATAGAGATTAGAATGCTTAGATTGATTAGCTTTTTTGTAGACAATGCAACTTGTGGAGCACCTACTTGGATTGGGAAAGGTCTCACATGTGTTTGCTTTAAGCGAAAGGGGACATATGAACGCATTTGTTTTCACTTGACACCCATACAGGCAAGTAGCTACTGCTAAAGAGTGACCAGCCTGAAGGCGGTTTTCTTCTGTTAACTCCAATACAGCTTTACACGTCTTTGCAATTTCCCCCCTCTCTGGCAGGTTACGGTAGTTGTAATTTCCTCTATTACTATGTCAATTGTCTCAAAACTACTATATTGAGGTGACTCTATGGATCACTGGTCCTAAATGCTGTTAAAAAGGAGGCTTTCATTATTGAGAGCAGTTTTTACATTTAATCTATCCCTGGGGTCTATTTTCTGCAACAGCTTTCTCAAGAGAAATTCTCGTTCTTTGATCTATGTTTGACCAGCTTTATTCTCAAAATCTAATGTTTGGGGAGAATATCATCCTTTCTTTATTTTTTTAACCTATTTTCCGGAAGTTTTGAAAATAACGCTGCTTGTCACCCAACATAAAAAGAAAAAAGAAAGTAGTCATTTTTCTCCATGTATTAATTAGATCAGTAGACCTCCTTCCTCACCTTCATGAAAATAAGGAATCTGCTTCTGTACTTATTGCATTGGCCCTTAATATTTCCTTAAAATTGCTGTGGATCTTCATAATTGTTCTTGTCCTTGGGAGTCCTCCCTCATTCAAACTCGTGTATGTATTACATGCTGTTTTAAAGGAATTTGATGTAGAACATTTAGACTTATTATCTCTTGTTGACTTGTAGGAGGAAAGGCTTAAAAGGTTGAAGTGTCGTATGAAAGTATTCTTTGATGCTTCTAGGCCAGATCACCAGGTACATAATGTTGACAAATATGCAATCTAAAGTTGCTGTTTAATGAAAAAGTACTAGTTTGATATATGCCTAGTTCATCCAAGAAAATAGCTCTCCTCAGATGAACACAAAGACATGAAATATGATTCAAAAGACCACATTTGATTCCTTTTCTTTTTAAGTTATTCATTTAGTTACTTTCACAAGAAATAGGAGGCTTTGAAAGCTCTTTGGTCTGCTACATATCCCGATGAGGAACTACAAGGCTTAATATCTGATCAATGGAAAAAAATGGGGTGGCAAGGGAAGGATCCATCCACTGACTTCAGGTTTCCAGTCCATACTGCTCCATATCTTGTGATTTGATGTTCTTCAACATTCTCTTTATCTTGTTTCCTTCTAATCAATGCCATTATTCTGAATAACAGGGGGGCTGGATTCATTTCTTTAGAGAACCTGCTCTTCTTTGCGAAGACATTTTCAGTGAGATTTACTGCCTGTCTTCTTTCCGAAGACATATTCAATCTGCACTTGGATATCTTATCTACCTGTAATGGCCGCATTTTTTTTTCTCAGTGACGGAGACTAGTCTGAAATAATTATACCCTGGTTATGATGAATTAGTTTTCTTGAGGACTGAACTTTCCGTCACTTGGACGTTACACTTTACCTGCTGATTCTATATTACATTAAATGAAGCTTTACTAACCTACATTTTGTATGTTGCAGATATCTTTCCAGCATCTGCTGGAAAAACAAGGAGGAAAGCGAGCAGCATGGGAGTACCCATTTGCTGTTGCTGGTGTGAATATTACATTCATGATCATGCAAATGCTTGACCTCGATGCATGTAAGGGTAAAACCAGTGATTCTGTAGATTTCTTCAATCAATGTTACGCAAGTTTTTGAAGTGTGATTAACCATCAGTTCCTTGAAGTGAGTAATGCACTGTTGAAAGATTTTTGGGACCAAATTCCAAGCTGACCTTTACAAGGTTGTCTTACATGTAAACGTTTTGGTATCTGGGTTCACTGATAAGACCTGGACTGTTCATTTATTTGCAGCAAAACCCAGGACATTTGTTAGAGGAGTGTTTCTGCAGATGTTGTCAGGTAACAGAACAATAATTCATCTTTTTTCCAAAATATGCGGGGTTATGATCCTATGGTTGGAATGGTCAACAAATTCGATTGCATTGCTGAAACTATGTGGTTGTGGAGTTAGTATCTTCTACTGAGGAGTTTAATGTGGGTACCTTTGCTTAGTCAACAATGCACAGCTTAGACATATACATAATGTCCTTGGTCATCTGGCTTTATATGGTTGTCTTAGGGAGTGTCTTTCACTTGAGGTTATGGGGGCCTTTTTATCTCTAGCAGACTGGCAGTTGGTACTTGAGCCGAACTGACATTTAGTTCCTTTTTAATCTGTTTACAGAGAATCAGTGGGCGTTTGATTTGCTATATTGTGTGGCTTTTATGATTATGGACAAACAATGGCTGGAAAGAAACGCGACATACATGGAGTTCAATGTGAGCAACTATTTTCTTCTTTCTTGGAATTGAAAAATAGTTTCATTGAGCGATACTGACGAAAATGAGCATTATCATGAGACATAATGGAAGCTGATTTCAATCTGTCTTGGAAACTGGTCCATCTTTTTAGAAGGGAATGTAATTGGTTTTACAAAACAAACAGGATGTTTTGAAGTCTACTCGAGCCCAGCTAGAGAGAGAACTTCTCATGGACGAAGTCCTGCGAATCGAAGACATGCCTTCATATAACCTTCTTTGCTAGCCAATCTCAAGGACAGGCTGTAGTTCAGGACGAGTTGAATTCCGCGAGCTCAGTATTTTCACTCAAGAAAGACTTCTTATTGTGTGATTTTACTATGGAAACATCTCTTTTATAATTTTGAATTACTCGTGGAAGAAAGGTGAAGCATCTGGTTTTGCTGCTTTTTGTTTTTTTGGCAACAGTTCTGCTTCTGTTTCACTTGACGGAAAATGTATATCTCGCATCAGAGGAATGAAGATAAATTCTCTACCGTGCTGATTTGCATTACCACAAAATGTTCTGTGCAATGGTCGCCTGATCATTGCGGAATTGTCATGTTCAATTCCATTTAATTCAACCTGTAAATATAATCTTTTCTCTGGTTTATATTTTTGCTGTTGCGATGTCAACCATCATTTTCATTTTATGTCCTCATTCTCTCCTGTAAAGATCGCTATGCACAATTTCGCCAAAACGATTTGAACGACGATGCTCTCTGGCTAAATTACTTTCATGTTACGTGAGCTGGGTGTGACTGTCTTAGGAGGAAAGAGACCGAAAATGGTACTTCGCAGGGACAATGATTAACCAGGAGTAGATGTACTTTTGATACCCACTTCGCAATACCAATACAAGATCAGCTTGAACGTAATGCTTCTAATGTTTGACCAGCAAAGTCTCTGTCAACAGAAGACAAGCTCCCTTAGCTTATCATGCACTGCTAGGAACAACGACCTTTTTGGCTCTCTGAAGTCAAAGCTCAAACGGTTTACAAAGCAACCATTCTTTAAATTCATCTATAAAAAGTCAACACCCCCTCTCCTTTCCCAACGACAATACCACTCAAGAATGTCTCTTCATATGTTGCTATCAATGAACTTCCCCGTGGCCATCTCAAGCTCAACTGCATCAGGTAAAGCATCTTCAACACCCAATCTTCAACATCTGAAACTGGAGTAACTACGCTCTTCTAACGTATCATCCTACAAAGATCTACTTCATAACTCGGACGTCGAATCTCCCCCGACCGGCATCACTGCCTCCAAGGCCACCACTCCGGTCCTCCCGACGGAGTCCAATAACATACCCAGCTGGTCCTTTGACGGCATCGTTTTTTACGTGACATCTGGCCTCAACGTCTCTTTGCCCGATAATGGCCATGGAATTTTGCTTGGTCAAGGCAGCAAGATCAATCAGACCTTCAGAGGCGATGGAGACACCATGGACTGTGTTGTTACCTTCACTCTTGCTCCCTGGAATAAAGTGTGTTCGAAAAATTTTACAGCAGTCAATGTGTCTGCATCGGTGTCTAATAGGTCGAAGGTGTTCGAGTTTGAAGGCGCTGCGGAATGCAAATGTGGGAGAGCCATACCTTCTACTTGGGGATCCTGTTCGGTGCTGGAGAGGCCGGTATCGAGATAAAGAGTGTTCTTGTGGAGAGAACTAATTCGAGCATGTTTTGTGGAGCAGTCGAGTCGTGGACAACTTCTTCATTAAGAAAATCGGTGTGCCGATATCATTTGGTGGTAAGGACTGAGGAGTTGTATTTAGTTTTGCCTTGCTGTAAGATTATAGAGTGAACATCAAGTGATCCCGACCTTGTGGTTTGCAAAAGCTTAAGAGAACAGCAGAGATATATGACTGATGAGTGAATGATTTTAATGCTAAGGTCATACTATAATGATGGAGAGTCTAACCAACTGCTGCTGAATCATGTTTTGAATCAGAAAGAACAAGAAGGATGTAGATCTCTTTTTCAGAGAACGATCGTGATTAATGCCACCCTATGTTGCATTAGGAGAAAAAAGAAGCTAATCAACTAATATTGCATACAAAACATGCTGGCGAACAACGGATTCGAAGTCGGTCCCGCATTCCTCCGCAACTCGACCCATCTGTTCCAAGAAGAACCAGATCAAGAACAGTCAGAATCCCTCCTCCAGCAATGGCTCGTGATAGGAACTGTCAAGTACGTAGACTCCAGACGCTACACTGTGCCCGAAGGCAAAGCTACCGTCGAGATCGTCTCCGCCGTTCCCTTCGGCATCACGGCCACGCTAGCCCCCACCAAGGGATTGAGCTATAACTTGGACAATCATATAATTACCGGTAGTGACTCAAATATAAATTGGTAATTAGATGTTTCTGTAACTTTAATAAGTAAAGGTTGCTAAGGAATTGGAACATATGGTAATCTCAAACAATTAAATAACATTAGTAAAAAGACTCGAATAAGAGCTAGGAACTTCCTATAAGAATTATTAAATTTAACACGTTGGTAACCTCCGCGAGTAAATATTAGTAAATTATCATGTCCATTTGTAATTTTAAAATGATCAAATACATATTGGTGAATCACTCCGATAAGAGTTAGTAGAGCTAAAATCTTTGTTGGTAACTTAACCCATGAAATGTTGGTATGTCGCTGAAATTAAAGTTCGTAATTTTTTTTAGAGTCGGTAACTTTAACAAACAAATGTTGGTAAATTACTAAAAGAATTGATAATTCCAAAACAATCAAATAAAATGTTGTTAAGTAGACTCCAATAATAGTTGGCAATTTTCTATAAAAGTTAGTAAGTATAAATTATTTCGATAAATTATTGAAGTAGTCGGTAATTATAATCCAATAATTGTCGATACTTTCCTAAAAGTGTTGGTAGCTTACTAACATGTTCGAATACCGATTTTTATTTGATTGTTTCAAAAGGTATCAACTATCCCAATGATATTTATTTGCAAAGCCCGTCAATGGGTCCCGAAACTTTTATACGAAATTGCTAGTACTTTTGAGAATTATTGACTATTCTAATGATGTGCCAACATTTGTTTGTCGAGTTTAAATCACCAACTCCCTTATGAAATTATCCATTTCTATTTGGTCAGCTAACAACAATTATTTGATTGCTTCACAACTCCTAGCAGTTTCAACAATTGATGTGCATAACTTACCAATTGAAAATATCACTTGTTTGAGTCCACTTACCAACGTTTATTTGATCGTTTTAAAAGTACCGCATGTTCGAATAATTTAACCGCATCTATTTGCGAGCTTATGAACTGTTAAGTTACCAAATCTCGTGAAAAATTATGAACTATTTTTCAAAACAGCCAACTATTCCAATAATTCATTCACATTTATTTGTGGAGTTTAAGTTACTAACTTTTATATGAAATTAATAACTTCATTTGTGTTAGTTACGAACATTTATTAAATTATTTTGTTATTACCAACTCTTTCAGTAATTTACGAATATAACATGCTACTAACTCTTATACAAAATCACCGTCTTTTATTTGGTAAGTTTAATGTGTTGGCAACACCAATAGAGTAAAATCAATTTAATACGACAATACGCGGCAAAATCGCCAACATTCAAGCTAGAAATCATAATTTGAAATTATAAATTTTCTGAAATAACAATAAATTAAATTCGGAATTAATTAATTACTAATATCCAAAAATAATTTAATTTTCCAAAATGTCAAAATATTTCCTCGAATCGAAATCATTCAAATCATTTCCTAAATACGCCAACTTATACGGCGAAAACCAACATTGGCATCACAATTTGACGCTAGAAATTTTCCGAAAATAATAACATTTAATTTTCGGAAATTAATTATTTAATAATAAAATAATAATATTTAATTCGGAATTAATTTATTAACTAATAAAATAATATTTAAATTCCGAAAATAATAACATTTCATATAATAATCAATAACAATAAACTAATCAATAACTTATACCCTAAACACAATTAATTAACCACTAACCCACAATTAACACAAACTAAACATAAATTAAACTACCCTAAGCAAATTTAACGTCCTAAACACGGGATTAGGGGTTAACTTACTCGGCTAACGCCGGCAACGACGCGAGGACGACGGCAGCGACGAGGGCGGTCCACGGTGATTTCCGGCTCGGCCCGGCGAGTGACGGACGGGCGACGAACGAGCGCGGCTGCTGTGGGGGCTGCTCCGGCGTGGCTTGGCTGTTCCCGACGACTGGGACAGCAGCGGCGACGGTCGGAGGTGGACGGCGACGCACGGCGAAGCTCAGCTGGACGGCGGTGGCGGGCGACGGAGGTGAGCGGAGCTTGACCGCGGCGGCTGGACAAGGCGGACACGGCTCGGTCGGGGTGACGAACGGCGTGACGACGGTCGGGGGTGGACGGCGGAGTCGGTCCCGGCAGCGAACGGAGCTGGGTAGGGCGAGCTCGGTCCGGCGAACGTCCGGGACGGCGGTGGTTCACGGCGGGGAGGAGCGGCGCTCGGCGGTGGAGGACGAAAAGCGGGCGGACCGGCGAGGACACGACCCGAGCGTGGCTCGGCGGTCCGACGATGAGCGGTTTTGGGGTGACAGCGGCAGCGCGGCTCGACTAGGGCGGAGCCATGGTGGCGCGACGAGCGGTCGGTTCTGGCGAGGAGCGATCGGCGCGAACAGAAGCAAGAACAAGAAGCCAGAAGCGGACGCGAAAGGGATGAAGAAGAAGCAACGGCGAGGAGGAGGAAAAGAGAAGAAAAAGAAAAGAAAAAGAAAAGGAAAAAGAGAGGAAATGATGGGTTGGTAGGGAGTGTCAGGCGCATGGGGGTGGGGGGGGGGGGGAAGCCGGCGGGAAAAGAGGGGAGGAGAGAGAGAGAGAGAATGGTCAAATCGTACTCAAGTGCGATCCGACGGTCACGGTTTAAATCCGAAAAACGATCCGACGATCCCCGAAAAATCTTAATTAATATTTTTAGGATTTGGCCAAAATGGTGTTAAAAAACACTCTGCGAGGGTGGTCCAAATTCGCACCCGATCAAAAATTCATTTTTCACGTATCCTGGTTAATATCGAGATTGGCCACACTAATATCGACACCGTCCAATTAAATTCGTTCCGATTCGAGAAATTCGACGCCAAAGTTTGCTCTAAATAACTAGGTCGATCGAACGCGATTCTAAATAAATCTCAATTTTAAAAACAATAACCGGGAGATCGCTTCCGGGCGAGATTTTACTATAAAGACACCGACGAATTACACGTTTTATAAATCCCAAAACGCGTGAAATTCGAATGTCACGACTATATATGGGGAAAAGTGTCGGAATAGTTATAAACATATAATATCGATAACAATTTAATCATAAATCTTTTAACATTGACAATTTAGTCCTAAACTTTTTAACCCAAAGCCATTCAGTCATTTCGGCTAATTTCGGCCAGATATCGCTGACATGGACATCGGTTGGCCTACGTTCCACGACCGACGCTGACATGGACAAATTTTAATAATATTTTAATTTTTTTTCGAATTATTTATTTATTTATTTTCTTTTTCCTTTTTTCTTTCTCTTTCTTTTTTCTTTTTTCCCTTCCCTTCCTTCTTCCTCCGGTCAATCACCGGACCTTGACCTCGCCAGCCCTTGACAAGGCTCTAGCCCTCACTAGAGGCCACGAGGTCCACCAGCCCATCACAAGGCCGACCAGGTCAACCTCGTCGGCCCATGCCTCTAGCTGGTTGCCGTGGTCTGGTGACCGAAATCATCCTCATATAAATCCTCTTTTCTGACTACTTCAAAAATACTTCTTTTTCCTTTAAATAACCAATGATATTATAATTCTACTAAATAAACAAGATAAGTTAGCTGATGGGCAAAATAAAACAGAAATGGAGATTACCTTGTTAATTGACTTTAAAATCAAGTTTGGGCTATGATATGCACGGAAGAAAAAGGGGAGATAACGGGTTGTTGGTACTTAGATACTTTTTTGTGTTTGCATAATGTCAATGTTGAAAAGCACAAATCATATGTTGATTAGTCCCTATCTACCCGGGGAATCCAATCTTGCATTATGGAAGTGTTTAGGTGGAAAAAAGAGAACGGGGATCTCATTGACCCTTCCTTTTATCCATAATGAAGTTCTATCTTCCTTTTCTCCTCATCATCTCTCTCTCTCTCTCGATAGTATTCAATATGTTGATGAGGTGCGACGCACTATCGAAGATGACACCTAACATCGATGCCAAACGGTATAGGTCTCGGTATGAGTTCACAACAGAATCGTACCTAAGGCAATGAACATAATGTAGTAGATGCCCAATGATATAGGTATTGCCATGACTTCACAACAAATCATACCTAAGGAGATGGACATAATGTAGTAAAGAATGTCCCAACGGGAACCGTTGCGTTTGGTGGCTCCTAACCCGGGAACTCAGATACATATGAACCCTACTACATACCAACTCAAGAATCTACAAACCCACAGAGTGAGAAATCATGATTTTTTCGGGAAAAGTACCAAAAAAAAGTTCTAAACCTATTACATTAGTACCAATTCAGTTCATCCAGTCAATTTAGATCAAAAATCATTAATATAGATGTTGATTGTCCTACGTGGCACGATCGGCACTGACGTGAACATTTTCTTTTCTTTTATTATTCTTTCCTTTTTTTCTTTCGTTTTTCTCTTTCATTTTGGCGGTCGAGGGCGCAAGACCAAAAATCACTAACGTGGATGCTAATCGTCCTATGTGGCACGACCAGTGCTGACATAAACATTTCTTTTCTTTTATTATTTTTTCCTTTTTTCTTTCTCTTTTTTTCTTTCATTTTGGTGGGAAGGGCCTTTGCGGCTTCGCCCATAGCTAGCAGGGCTGCGACGGCCTTGCCCATGGCTGGCGAGGCCACGATGGCGCTGGACGAGGCCATCGCGGCCTTTGCTAGATTTGGGCCGACCGGCGTCAACGTCAGCGACTTCTGGCCTAAATTGGTCAGGTGGACTACATTGGTACCAATGTGAAAAGGTTTATGATTAAATCGATCCAATTGAAAAGTTTAGAACTAAATTGGTACCAATGCAATAAGTTTAGGATTTCTTTGATACTTTTTCCTGATTTTTCAAATCCATGATTGATAATTTTTAACAAGCAATGGTAGTTTTCCAAATGCGTTATGATCCCGTGTTAATAAACTCCGTATTTCGTTATTTAATTATCCGCGTTTCAAATTTCTTCCTTTAATTTTATCAGGTTGCATGGAGTATAATGAAAGACAATTCAATACCAAAAAAAAACATGAAAGACAACTAAACTGGGAATGAGATCAGCTACACTTATAAATTAATCAAGGATGAATTGACATATTAACTTTAAAAAAATGTGGATAAATGTAACGTGCCTTTTTGGGAATTTATTATAGAAAACGAGAGACGCGTCTCAAGTATGAGAAAGTGATGTTTGCGCTTTGGACATCCTGCATACAGATGACCAGTCTCTTTATACAGCTCACCCTTCTATTACATTGACGTGGTTACTGGGAGATTAGACTTTCGAGCGTCGGTTGCTTATTTCGGCCTCATTCTAGCATCCATCTCTAGAGCGGACCTTAACTTGGACGCTTCAAGTTCCCCGCTGTCCTGGCATTATCTGCTCACCTTCGGAAAAAGAATGTTGCTCAGCTAAATTCTTAACAGAGCATTCTAATCCCGATTTAGAAAAAGACGATCGCTCGATTTGTGATTGTGTTCTTAAGTTAGATTCGAACAGGAACATTGATAGCTAATAGCTTATCTAGCAAACCAGTAACACCAAAGGGATAAAATTAGTCTGCCCTAATTCTAAATGACCATAGACATTAATACATCTACAAGAACCATTAAAGCGCGTGCTTGATGCTGAGCTAATTTCCAGGTTTTGAGATTGCTTGGCGATGGAGTTGAATTCCCTATTCATAGCCAACTGACCGTCTTAGAATATGATATGATGCTCTATCTTATAACCCATGAATGAGAAGTTCCAACTTATAAATATGAATCAGACAGGGACGGGCGTCCTACCATTTGCAAAGTCGACATTACAGGAGAGGCAAGAATAAAGCCAAGAACCCCGGAAGAAAAGAGAACAGTAGCAGAACCAGTTGATTCTTGAACCCAAAGCCTCAACATCACCAACTTCTGTCAACCTTGTCTTTCAAGCAAAACTCACACCCAATAGATCCTAGCAATCATTCTGTCATTTGAGTACTTCACATGTGGATCACCTACACAAAGTTCCCTCCACATTCTTTTGAGTTCCACCATTCTCATTACTCACTACCTTCTAGTTGGCCAAGGTAAGTAAACTCAAAGTTGGGAGTTTCTATCCATATCCAAAGGACCACGTCGAATGGGTTCAATTCAAACACCCATTGGAACACGGAGCTCCGCATTGCTCGAAACTTCATGTGGATATCTACTCCAAGAACTTCAGGTCTGAGATTATTTACATAAATTCTAGATGATGAGTTTAAATTCTTTACCACTTCTGTTATAATCAAGTCTGTGGACAATTGAGCAGATAATATGGGATGAAGTCGGAGAAGATCAGTTCACAAGAGAGAAGGTTCTGCTAGACTTGGAGCAGGAATGCCTCGAGGTTTACAGAAGAAAAGTCGACAGTGCAAATATTTCAAGGACTCGCTTGCATCAGCAATTAGCAGAAGCTGAATCAGAAGTCACCCATCTCCTTTTGTCCCTCGGGGAACGTTCTCTACCTGGACGGGTACTTTAACTAAAAAACTTCAACCGTAGCAATAGAACACTAAAGTGCTGCAGATTTTATCTTAAGATGAACCACTACTAATCATTCACGAAATGTCATATCTACAGCCAAATTCTTTGTTCTCTATAACAATGAAATTTCAGGAGCGGACATTGAAAGCCATGCTGGTTATTAGAAATGAGGACAAACGTTATCAATACATTCAGAAATGAATCGCAAAAAGAAATTTGCTGAACCTAAAAATAATCGCAGCAAGATGGTAGTATTTACTCAGTTAAGAATTCTCCACCATATTGTGCTGACATATACTAGGCAAGATTTCTAATTGGAGAAGAGGTAACTTTCACGTGCTTTACTTGCTACAATGCTGTTTCTTTTTCCCCCCCTTTTCTAAACAGCCAGAAAAGATGGCGGGCACACTAAAGGAGCAGCTAGATTCAGTTACCCCAGCTTTAAGAGATATGCAGTTGAGGAAAGAAGAGCGTCTGAAACAGTTCAGAGCTGTGCAAGGTCAGATCCAGAAAATTTCTGCAGAAATAGCAGGTAAATCTGAGTTTGAAGACTCATCATCAAATGTAATCATCAATGAGAGTGACCTCTCACTGAAGAAACTCGAAGAGTATCAGAATGAACTTCAGAGGCTTCATACTGAGAAGGTACCAGACACAATACACGATTAATCGATCTCTAGGCAATATCGGAGCTAAAATCTATTTTTCCTCACAGAATGACAGGCTACAGAGAGTGGACAAATATATAGACACTATCCACAAACTCTCTGCAACTCTGGGAATGGATTCCTCTATGATCATCACAAAGGTTCATCCAACCTTGAATGAATTGTGTGGGATATCAAAGAACATAAGTGACACCATCTTAGAAAAACTTGACAGTACTGTGAAGTCTCTGGAGGAAGAAAAGCAAAAGCGGTTTGAGAAGGTGTAGATCGTTTGTGTTATCATGCTAGAATTTATTTCAAGTGAAATTTTCTGCTTGACTGCCCCTATATGGCAGAAATATATAGTTGCAGTGAAAACACCATTGAGATAAATTTAACTTTTTCTCGCAGCTTAACCATCTTGCTAAAGCATTAACAAACTTGTGGAATCTTATGGACACACCTTATGAAGATCGTCAACTGTCTTCCCATGTTACTTATATGATATCAGTCACACCAGCGGAAGTGTCAGGTCCTGGAAGCCTCACCCTAAACATAATCCAACAGGTTGGAATGCAATGTTAATCACTCGAGAACCCACGATCTGTAAATGTACCGACAGTTGATACTATTTGTAGGCTGAAGCTGAAGTGAAGAGGCTGGATCAGTTGAAAGCTAGCAAGATGAGAGAATTATTTCTCAAAAAGCAGAATGAGCTGGAAGGAATATGCAGTAGATCACATATGGAGATTCCTTCGAGATCAGAGATAGATAGTATACTGAACCTTATAAACTCTGGTAAGAGCAAGTTTATGATGATCTGATCACACCATATTTGTTCATACTGTTTGAATACACAACTAGACGACAAACTGACTTTGGATGCCAAAAAGGAAAAATTGATCATGCCGATCTCCTGATGAGCATGGACGAACAGATAGCGAGAGCAGAAGAAGAAGCTTCAAGTAGAAATATTATAATGGAGAAGGTGGAGAAATGGATTTCAGCTAGGGATGAAGAGCGCTGGTTGGAAGAATACAATAGGGTCGGTTTCAGACAGAGAGTTAAATTTAAGTATTAAGCCAAACTATTGTTACCTAATCTTTTTTGGATACCGTTTTTTCATCTTTCAGGATGAGAATCGATATTCAGTCAGTAGAGGAGCTTACAAGAACCTAAAGCGCGCTGAACGTGCCCGAGTTTCAGTTAATAAGATTCCAGGTAATAACGTAGTTTGATAGTTCTACCTAAAAGTAAGCCCTTAAAGATAGAATAATGATTAAACACGTAGAAACTCCTCTTAAGTTTCTTTGACATGGTAAATAACTAACATCAGCAATGGTGTCAGGTTGAGATAGTGTAATTAAAACAAGCATTGAGCAAACACAAATAATTCAGAGTGGTGATACTTGCACTATACTTTCAGCTCATGAATACTGAAATAACGATCTATAAGTCAGGAGCGACACACACATATAAGTAATAAAAGAAAAGATCACACAAGAATAGAGTAGCCAGATATGTATAATGAGCCTCTCAAAATCATTGTAAAGGGTTGTGTGTAAAAATAGTCTACTTCGGTTATTTACCCAGTGATTTCATGCAGCTCTGCTGGACATGCTGATTGCTACAACTCAAAGTTGGGAAGAAGAAAGGAAGAAAATTTTCTTGTATGATGAGGTAACATATTCTTCTGGTCATCTGTGATGTTATTGAATATAGAAATTTTCCATTCTCTCAAAGAATAATCACATTCACTGGCTCAAGCAATTTTGCAATATAATTGCACAAGATAGGATTGCTTAAAAGCCATTATGGTGCAGTTGGCTTTTGACCAGAACCAACAGTAAAAGAGATTCTCACGTAAGTCAGACAGTGGCAAGCTTCATAATCTAAAAGGATAAGAATTATATGCATTGTTAGAGCACAGTTATGAAACCATTCAGTAGTCTATCAAGTTGATAGTAATCAGCAAAAAGAGTCTTCACAGAAATGAAAACTCCTGATTGTCTAGGTACCCCTTCTGGCAATGTTGGAAGAGTATAACGCATTAAGGCAGGAAAAGGAAGCTGAGAAGCAAAAGCAAAAGGTTCGTATCAATTTACTCTGCCATTACGCACTAGTTTATCTACAAATTCTTAGTTATTACGTTTTCAAGTCATGGATAGTTAAAGTTTTAATAACTTTCAGAAAGGCTCCTTAGATCCACTAATGAGATGCTACATATCTGTCACGATTCTTTATTCAACAGTAGCCTACAAACTATTACTGACTCCATATACGTTCAGTTTCTCTTGCTGGAAAAGAAAAAGGTACAGCGTCTACAGACCCAGGTGACAGTTGAGCAAGAGAATTCAATTGGATCCAGGCCAGGCACCAGCAGTAGGCGCATGTCAAACAGAAGCTTGAATGGGAGTTTTGGCCATTTTAGCCCAGTGAACAGAAGGCTCTCACCAAGTATCCAACAATCAGAACCAAACAGTATCAGTCCATCGACCCAAGGAATATCCTTCATAAAAGAAGGGAAAAAAAGACCGGGTCAAAAGATGTTATCACGGCCTCACCTTTCTTCGCATTTTAGAGATGAAACAGCTTCGGTAGTATCTACTTGTTCAGGTCCTTTATCCCCTTGAATCCTCACAGTCGTGGATTCTCAGGTTGAGTCGAGATAAAACAAGTTTAGAACGGGTCGAATTTCCTTGTATGAATGACTTTAGTAGGAAGTGCAAAAGATAAATTCAGTTTTTGTGTTTGTTTGAGCAATTTTTTTTTTTTGTCCACAGTGTCTGTTTGAGATATTTGTGAATTTAATTGAATGCACTCCTCCCTCTCTTTTTTCCCATTTTAACATGCACAAAAATTACACCAATTAATTCTACAAGAACGACAGACACAAGGTTCAAGGTGCACTTGATTCCAGTCCACCTTCACCTCCAAAAGGGCCTAAGAAACTAAAAGGCATAAACAATATACATCACTGAGGGACCAGTGGCTAAAAGAATTGCACGCAGCAACTTTGATCCCGTGATGCCTATTGCAACAAACACCCAACAAAGAGGCAATGGAATATAGCTTCAGAAATGAGGAGTGCCCATGTTTAACCGTTTCGAACCAATTCAAGACGATTAGGGGGGTTAGACTTGATGAAACTCCAAAAGTCACAGCAACAATCTGAAAACAGACTCAGGCATGCACGTCTGTGATTTGTACGAGTTCTCCACTACCTGTCTTCACATGCGGGACAGGAAAAGCAACTCTTTTAACCTTAACAATGAATCGATCTCGATGATAAGTGCCATTCCATCTTTTGAAGTCCCACATCCCAGATCAACAGATTCAGCAAAAAGGAAAACAGTCAGCTCACCTCAAAAACGTGAATGGGGTTATCGACAAATGAGGGAACCGTCGGCATGGCCAAAAGTCACCCCTAAAAAGACCCAAAGATTCAGGGCCATGGTCACTTCACATAATTAACCGGACCAGAATATCCAATAAATATACACACCAACTAGGAAAAATTAACTTTCCTGTAGGAGGAGCAAGAACAATCAACAAAATCTATGTCCCCCAATTCAGCCATGGCAACATCCAGAATCATCAAATCGACACAGTGCTTTTAAGAACAAATTAGCCTGATCAAGAAACTTCACTCACAGGCTTGCCAAAGAAATCATCAATCCTCCGCGTGCCGGCCGGAACCGGCTTCCCAGCTACGGGCCGAGACCGGAGCTTATCGGCAGGCTCGCCGTTGGCAGACTGAGCCGGTGCGGGGAGCGAGTCGAGCAAGAAATCGCTGGTCGGCCGGTGCCGCTTGACGGCGATCCTAATCTGGTCCAGCTTCACGGTCTTCCGCTTCTTCTCGGTGGCGACCTGCGCGGATCTCTCGGCGAGGGACTCCAGGAAGAGCTGCGCGGAGCAGGTGACCAGGAGCAGCGCTTCCGAGTTCACCTTGTTGATGTCTCTGTCGAGCTTCATGATCTTCTTGACGCCGCCGGTGGGGAGATCGGGCCGGATCGTCGAGGTCGCGTCTTCTTCGGCCATTGTCGAGCTCGAAATGTGGAGAGAGAGAGAGAAAGAGAGAGGGGGGTTAAAAGTGGCGGGAAATGCTCAATTGGATTTCGGTTTCCCTCGTTCCCGGTTTCACGTTGACATTGACTGGGCCGGGCCGGGTTGATAGAGTTCCCGGCCCAATTAAGCATAATCGGCGCCCAGATTCCATAACGTGGGGTTTTAGGTAAGATGAATGATATCATATTCATCCTGAACTTGGCTCTCGCAGACATGACAGCATAACATCAGCACCTTAACAAGCACGCTCACAATTCGTGCCCAGATTCGAAGAGAGAGAGTCCACAGGTACGAAAGCATAGCTGCACCGCAACACCTGACAGTGCAACACACTAAGTGCATGGGCAAAACCGGATATAGAGCCTCAATGAACCCTTCTGCTGATGATGTGCCTAATCAATTTCCACGTCCTAATCCAAGTGCAGCAACAAATTGCTGCTTGAATCTGCGTAGTACATTGTTGTGCCTCCAACTCTCCACCTTAGAAGGGTTTGCTCGGCGAGTCGGACTTGGCTCAATGCTAAAACAGAGAACTATTGCGTGCGGTGACAATGTGCATGCACATTTACATCATCGAGTAGTACATTACCAAGTGCTAAAATCAGAGAGAGGGTAAGGCGAGAAAAGATCTGAACATGGCAACCGCTCAGGCTTCCCTAAATCGGGAATAGAAGCTGCCCAAAGACACAAAAGCAAACTGCGGGACTGACTGATGAATCAGCCAGAAGTCGATTCAAGAAAAGATCTAATGTACTGCAACAGCTTGGCCTTGACTGAATACGGAATAGTAGGGGTGTCAACGGTTCGGTTCGGTTTGGGTTTTTAGGAAAACCGAACCGAACCGAGCCGTTTGGAGGTGTGCTTTGATCCGAACCGAAAGGCACACGAACCGGATATGATCCGAACCAAAAATGCAGTTCGGATTGGTTCGGATCAGTTCGGTTTTCGGTTTTCCTCTTTTTGCCTTTTTGCGCTTCTTCCTTCGCACCTTCCACTCCTTGACCCAGACCGGCGACATGGCCACGCCGAGCTCGCCGTCGTCCCTCGCTGAAGCCGCGAGCTTCCCCGAGTACAAGGACAAAGACGATTCTTCACCAGACGATTCTGGAGGCCTTCGAGATCTCGGCCATGCTGGACGACCTCAAGCTCCGCCGCGGCGTGGAGCTCGAGGCCCGAGATCAGGAGGGCTCGAGCTTCGTCGCGGTATCGTTCTCATTCAATGACGATCCACCAAAATGAGATCGAAGGAAAGGGGAAGGATGAGACATTGGCCTTTGAGCCAGACGATTGAATCTGGGAGAGATGGAAATGGAGTTTTGCAAAGATAGAGGAGGAGAGAGAATAGAGCAGAAAAGGAAAGTGAGAGAAAGAAAAGAGAGTGAAAGCAGAGCAATAATGAACAGTCAGAGTCAGCAGAGAGAGAAAGTACTCAAAGAGAAGAAAAAACAAAATTAAACCGAAATTCGATTCGATCCGAACCGAACCGAACCGAACCGAATTGAACCGAATCATCAACTAACCAAAATTTTTTTACTTATATGCTGCAACAACTAGGCCTTGATTGAATATGGAATAGAAGCTGCATAAAGACACAAGAATGCATTATCTTTAAACTTGCACGACTGACGAATTCGAAGATGTACTCAAGTTTCGATGCTCTTAAAGTGCAACATAATAATATGTGCTCAGCGACGAGAAATAAGATGCACAGAAGCAACATAATAACCACTTCCGAAATGATTTTCACCTCTCCCTTTAACTTTGAGTTGAAATTATCAGATTGTTTAATGCGGTTATAGTAAATAATGTCAGAATCGAGGGACGTTCCAACTTCAATTGAAAGAAGAAAGAACCCGCGAGGAGAGAGAAACAATCGAGAAGCTTCCTCCAATGCGACGATAACAAAGTGATCCCAAAACGGTTACGCGGTAAATTCGTAATTAGACAACGAACCCAACGAATTTCGATCACTCCCATTTGAATGTTTTACCGTCTGTGAAGCATGCACGGCTCATGCAGTCCCCGTTTTTACTTTTGCTCGATTAACCACGGTCAACCTGAGCTGACCGCGGTTAAGCATCACTCCTATGGTATATAAGCCCCTGTCCAAACGTCTTCCTCTCCCGCCACTCACTCTTTTCTGCTTCAAAATCTTTTCAAAACCACCGTCTCTCCCGTCGTTCTCTCTCCATCGCTCCATTCCTCCATTTCTCTCTCGAAGCTCAGGAGCTATGGTGAAGTCAAATCTCCGAATCTGATAAACGGATTTAGCTCGCGCTGTCGCTTGTTTCTTCACTCGCCACGAGCTTGATCCTCGCATTTTCCCTGATCGATCGTTTCGTACAGGTTGTCGTGCAGAAGCTGAAAGAGGCGGAGATCACCGAGCAGGACTCGCTTCTGCTGGTAACTAGCTATATCTCCGACTCGAACTTCGATCAGGCTTTTTTGTGCAGCATTTCTGATGGTCGCGATGGAGAGATGCTCTGGTTTTTGACGAGCTCCGCTTCGGTTTCAACTGTGCACGACAACTGATGGTCGCGACCGAGTGATCCTCTTTGCTTTCTCTAGTTCCTAGCTTTAGATCTTCATTTTGACTCCGGATCATGTGGCTGTGAAGATGAACTATCTGATGTCGCCGCTGTTTAGTTAAATGTCATAGAGATCGCAGTCTGAGTGCGCCTTAGAAAATCATCAACCGCCGATCAGGCTATTCTTAGTGACGAGCTGGCGGAATCGTTTTTGGTTAAACTACAGGAAAGAATCCAAAATGACGGTCTTCTCACTTTCCTTAAGATTGTATGGTCAATGCATCGTTCACTCCGTCTCTGTTTTTTTTATTTTTCTCTGTCAGTTCTGAATCCAGATGACGATATTCTCACTATTTAGTAATTATTTTACGCTTAAATTGTTATTTTCTCTGAATTGGTTTTCTCCGTTTCAACGATCGCTTTTGTGATTGTTATGTCTTCATATATCTTTGCTTCGGGAGGAGAAAAAGATATTACAGAGGAGGATAAGTTAGTGTAAATCTAGCACGTGCTCATCCTATATAATGACTGTTGCCATCTTTGGTCATGAAATAGACAAGGAACCTGCTCCGCATTGCTATCTTCAATATCAGCTACATCAGAGGCCTGTTTCCCGAGAAGTATTTCAGTGATAAGTCTGTTCCTGCCTTAGGTGAGTTTGTTTTGGTCTGATCTTATCCTGGTTAGGAGTACCTACCGGCGTGTCTTTTGAATAGTCAATTTGGTTTACAGAGATGAAGATTAAGAAGCTAATGCCGATGGATGCCGAGTCCCGCAGGATGATCGATTGGATGGAAAAGGGTATGCTGACATAGTTCCTTCCTCGATTAGTTTAAGAGGTTCCGACCAGAAGTTTTGACCTCCGTTCGTTTTCTTTTGTAACTCTTATCATGTGATACGATGATTATGCCCCAGGTGTATACGATGCACTGCAGAAGAAGTATCTGAAGACACTTCTCTTTTGCGTCTGTGAATCAGTTGAAGGGCCCATGATAGAGCAATATGCATGTAAATCTTCCAAATGATCCATTGTTTGTTTCCGAGATATTAAGTTTGGTCGATCTCATTTACTCTACTTTGATGCCTTGGCTGATACACTTTAAAGTGCAGAACCAGAGTGCACTATTTTATGTGGAAACTAGTCATACCGTGCATCGAGTTGTAAGGACAAATTCAGAGTTTTTGTTTGAGAACCTGGGGTGTTTTTTTTGCAGTTTCATTCAGTTATTCCAGTTCAGATAGCCAAGAGGTCTCGATGAATATCAGTCGCATGGGGAACAAAAAGGAAAGTACTTTCAAGTGTAATTCGGGGGCAGAGATTACTCCTAATCAGATGAGGTAACTTGTTTCAGAAGTCATATAACATTTGTGAAACTCCATGGCATTTAACAAAATAGAACGGTTAATTTGTGATGGAACTCTTTAATTTTTAGGAGCTCTGCTTGTAAGATGGTCCGTACTCTTGTTCAGTTGATGAGAACTTTGGACAGGATGCCTGAAGAGGTAAACCATGACTCTGGAGGCTAAGAATTCATTGTCTTTTTTCGCTTGTCTCTTCTTAGAACTACAAATGACATGGATGGAAAATGTTATATTTCAGCGTACCATATTGATGAAGCTCCTCTACTATGATGATGTAACGGTATGCCTCTTTTGCTGCTTCCAAGTTTTGAGTTCCTCTTCTAGTAGCCAAAGAATGCTTAATGCTTCTATCTTGCTCAAAACTTATCTTTGAGTTCAATACTATTAAAAGATGGAACACAAATAAAGTGTCTGTTAGAGGCTGTGCGCTCACACTAATACTACAGTGTTAATGAGCAGCTTTTGCACTTTTCAGTTTAAAGTCTTTGCATGTAAATGTATGTATAGATGCACTTGAAACTTCATTCTGGTGTTTCGAGGGTGTGATTAGTCAGACAAATATTGGAAATAAGAAAATTATGATAGCATGATATCATTTTGCAGCCTGCAGATTACGAGCCTCCATTCTTTAGATGCTGCAGTGAAGTAGAAGCCCATAATCAATGGATAAAGAATCCTCTGAAAATGGAGGTTGGTCATGTGAATAGCAAGCATCTCATACTGGCTCTTAAGGTAAGAGATCAAGACTACCAGAACCTGAATGCTCATTATTATTCTCATTGTATGCTTGATGGACAGTCTGGCAACTATGATGTTTCAGGTAAAGAGTGTGCTTGACCCTTGTGGGGATGAAAATGATGACAGTCAAGATGATGAAGTGAGCTTGGGAGGTGATTCTATGCAAAGAGATGATTATTCTGAATCTGACAGTGAGGTGAAGAGGCCACACTTTACCGAAACCTCTGTTTCCCTGCATTGAAAGCTTTTAAAGTATTTTAGCGCTGTAGAATGCTCATATTTATTTTATGTTTTTTCAGGTTAACCGTTCAGCCGATGGCCAGTACATTCTTGCGCCGATTGGTACTTGCACAAACTTCCCCTTCATGTTGTTAAAAGCCCTTTATAGACTACCCTTCTATGTTTCGACCATCTGTCTCTTTGAAAGTGACAAATAGTTGGACTTTGCAGAGAAACAGCAAGTTGATGATAACGGCTTTGTCGATGAAGGTACCATCTATACAAAGCAAATAACGCTTAACTTCCCTGATGCATGAGAGTGCTTTTTGTTTTTCAGTAAACCAGACTATTATTTATAGAGTCAATTGAAAACAAAATGGTGGAAGTTTTGACTGCATAGCGGGATCTAACGTTTTTCAGCTATAGGAAATTATGGACATTTAAAAGACTACAGATAGTTAATTAATGTTGCATAAAAACTGTGCAGATGACACTCAGGATCCTGTGGAAGATGAACAGCAATTGGCCCGGGTCAAGGACTGGATTAATTCTCATCACCTGGGCACTCTCAGACTAACAGATATCCTTTCAAGTTTCCCAGACATCTCATTGGTAAGGACTTTTGCTATTCTTGATGTTTTTCTACAGCTGCAGAAGAGATTCATCAACGAGAGTCCTAATTTTTCAGGTTACATCTATGCCTGGATAACAATTGTGTATATTATTGATAATGCAGGTCCTAATCGAAGGTAATGGAGGCTTTCATCCCCATAAAAGTTTAAGAGAGAGGTCCATAAGAGTTTTCTGAATTATGGATTCACCCATCTTGATTATTTTCAGAGATTATGGACAAACTTGATAAGGAAGGTGTTATATCAAAAACTGCAAAGGACACCTACATTGTAAACAAGCATAAGGTTGAAAGATGAATGTCTTAGTTCGCTAAATTTCCCTTCAATTACCTTTGCTTCTTTTTCCCATAGTCAACTATATCTATCGTAGGTCATCAACTTCTTTTAAATATTTCATCCTTTTTGCTTCTTTCATTTTTGGCTAATATTCTTTTCTCTGTCGTTAAACTCTTCAGACATCTGACTTTGATTTTCCTGAGGTGAAGCTGGAAGGGGATGGTCAGGTAATTCTAGCAGGTGACAGAGCTCCCTTGGTTGATGAGCACATGTACATGAAGGTTCTTGTACTTATCCTTCGCTGTATTTCTTTGAGCAAAGCTGTTGAAAAATGTGAGCGCTGTTTTGTGCTCTATTTGGCATGCATACCTTTTCATCTTTCTGATTCGGTTCGTCTTCTGTTCTTCCATACGAGTCTGCTTGATCTCGTTCCTTTTATGGTTCATTCGAAGGGTGACTTGATAGATGAATCTCCAACCAAAAGATGGATTTGGTTTCATGCACCGGGGAAATTACATTAGACAGAACAAGATCATGACATTATTGCTCATATTCTAAAACATCCTTCCGGTGTGTAAATACGTAAAATGATTGTGGTGATCATACTAGTTACCCTTACCCGAGTATCTGCATTTTCATCTCGTTTTCCTCAAGGCAACTAGATAATGAATTTCCTTTCACTCAAATGATTAACAGAAAATGAGCTTCCATGGGTTGCATCATGACAAAATTCGTGGATCCTGAACTATTTCCATTCCTTCAAAATGTATACCCATCCTTCAAAACTTATGCCTAACTAGGTTTTCAAAAGAGAAAATTTGATGCTATAACTTCACTTCAGTCATGTCTGCACATTGTTGATTGTCAAATGCCCTATGATTTTTCTTTTTCTAGGCTTCTTGTTGCAGAAGCATTTGAGAGATCACTGAGCAGATGAGTTCTGTGTCAACTTGAATGTCATAATTACAGGCTTTGTGTCACGCTCTCCCAATGAAGTATGTAACGGTTACGAAGCTTCAGGATAAGCTCAATGGAGAAGCTAACCAGGCTACCATCCGGAAACTCATTGATAGGATGGTCCGTGAGGGCATGGTTGAAGCCAAAGGCAGTCGCAGGCTAGGTATTCTGCATTATGCTAATTTTTTGTGCTCTGTCTTATTTTTCTTGGTGAAGTTCTTGATCTAATCAACCCACGATCCTCCAATGACATAGGCAAGCGTGTTTTCCATTCTGATATGACTGAGAAGAAGCTAAATGAAGCCAAGAAAGCCTTGGAGAATGACGCAATGGCAAGATTACATTTTCTAGTTTTGCTGTGCCCGACTTCCAGCTTTCACATGCTTGCATGACGTTGTTCAGTACTTCTCAAGCTCTTTCGAATTCGACAGGATGTGGATACTCATGAGCTGTCCAGTAGCCTCCACCTTCAAGAACTCATGACTAAGGGTAATACAATATCCTCACGGAAGAGTAATTTGGCCTTCAATGATACTCTATTCTCTCTCTTTCCTTTTTGTCGCTTCACAAAGCAAGGTCTTGATTCATCAGGGAACGGCCACCCGGACATGTCCACCTGTGGCATCCTACACTCCATTGGATCAGATCTCACGCGCATGAAGGTCAGATCCGACTTGAATTTGAATGGTTCCATTCATAGTGAGCAGACTGTTTCTGGGATGAAGGGGAAGGAGAACACTCCCACAAGCAGGACCAAGGTGACTGGCGCTCAATCTTCTCATTTCTGTTTCTTTCTCACGTTTAACTATTACATGTTTCTACACATGACAGTAAGGTTAATAACGATGATAATGCTAACGCATATGATTCTCTCTCTCTCAGTGCCAGTCGGTGGCCTCTCGGGAGAGCTTTATTCCAGGAAATCAAAACAGCAGAACAAATGGACCTACAACAAATGCTGACGACATGGAGACTGTTGCGTACAATGGATCCGCTCAGGATAAGCAATCAAGAAAAACGAGCACAGTACGAATTCTTGACCCGTTTATATTCAAATGACGCAGTTCTCTTGCTGCTTCTAAAGCGTAAACATGGTCAACGCATCGTATTTTCCAACTTATGAACGCAATTCATTTTTGCCTTCTGCAGGTTAAGGACCCGATCCGTCAGTCCTCAAAGCGCCAGAAGTCACAAGCCCTCTGAGGACCTTCGTCAGAAGTCACAAGCCCTCTGAAGACCTTCGTCACTGTGATGCTGTTGTCTGGGAACTCTCCACTCGAGTCAATACCTCATTATAAGATTTCGAATATTTCTGGACTCTAGACATTTTTATTGTCCAACAAAACAACAAAAATAAAACCTGCATTTGGCCCATCGGCATAAAATGAAGAAGGTGAAATCTTTGTTAATGGAATTGACAATATTATTCTTCTATGGCAAATTGGCATGTGCAAGAAGGCGAAGTCTTTGATAGCTATGACAATAATTAAATCTTCTACGGCAAACTTGCATGTGCAAGATATATTTTGAGCATGAAGCGGTTCCAAAGACCTGCCTAGGCCTAGCATGTTTACTCCTTTACTGCTTTAGTAATCCTAAAAACTGATGCTTTAAATAATGGCCTCAACATATTGCGAGATCAATACTTCTTGATTGAAAAACGGTTAAAATACATTCTTGATATAAAAACGGTTAAAATACAGAAAGACTGCAAAAGATCCAGGAGATTATTGAAGATCTGGTAGGTATTAAGGACTTCAATTACCCTCGTATAATTAATGCAAAGCTAACAAAATTTCAACAGTAAGGAAAACGCAAACTCTCAGCAAGGATTCACATCACCAAGAACATTATCAACCAGACCAAACCGGGAGAACCCTCTGAAGTGCTTCACTGATAATGCTCACCAGAAGAGAGGCTATTTCTATTTCTAAGCTTCATCAGAGTGCATGCCGACTGGTGATACAGTGCCAACAGCTATCAAAATGTATACATGAAAGCACACCCACATGTGCATAGTCATTCAGCAAGTCTATGCATGTCTTTTCAACTACATGACAACCAGAGGTCCAGAATATATAGACAGATAACATTCACACTGATGTATGTTTTGGTACACCACAAACCTAACGTTTGGATGGCCAACCAGACATAGCAAAGACACGGCACTGGCCAAGGTCAGAAGCAGGTAGTGCCTATATGGATTCACATAGATGCATAAACACACCCAAAGCCTTAGGGGAGAAAAGGATAAGAGAGAAAAGCGCTGTTAAAGAGGTACTTCATACTGGCCAAAAACAAGGGGTAGTTCAAGACGAGCATGAATCAATGTATCAGATGCTAGTGCACAATTATGAAAGCCGAGGTACTTGATTGAAAAAAAGGCAACAAACATTAAGTTCGAATCCTTAAAAAGAGATAACAGTGAGATAATAACAGCTTATGTAAGCCAAAATGTACCAACATCGAAAGAAGAGCCAGAGGTATGGTCCATGAGGTCCAATCTTGAAGACACTTATTTGAAACCATCCAAAACCTCTGATAAGTACAATTGTCTACATGTATATCACATAACCCCAAACAAGTAAAGCGCGAGCATGCTTCATACTCTTCTCAATAGGGAGAGTCTAAACCATTCAGTTGACAACTTCTCAGTCACCTGCACCAGAAAAACTATGTCAGCAACATTCAATGGAAAAAAGAATGTCAAAAGGTGCAACTATCACCACTCAACACTTTTTTTCTGGCCTCTATACTAAACCTCCTATAGGAGTTCAGGGGAATAGAGCTAAATGAAAGAAGTACGGCTTCAAAACTGCAAACTTTGCTTGAGAAAGACTCGCGAGACCATTCATAAGCTCATAGAATATGTGTGGAATCTGGTCAAAGTGGAACCCAACAATCAAGAAGGAACATAAACAATACTTTATCGCCATAAATGCAGATCGACAATATAAAAAGAACTTGGGGGCAACAATAAGCTTTAGGTAGAGCTTCGCTCTAGCTACCATTGAATTGCAGAAGGCACAATTCATCATATATCTCACGAGAAAACAAACCTCGTAATGTTTATCTGGAATAAAAACTACTGTTCTTCTATCATTAGTTACTTTATTTCATTTTTCTAAGTGGTTAAAGCAAAACTTTTAGATTAAGAGAGAGAGGGCGGACAATATTCCAAATGTTTTCGGGGGACGAAACAAAGAAACTTTACACTGAACCTCATGTAGGTATTAAAAATTGCACCAAGAACCTAGCAAGCGCGGGCCGGGGGTCAGCATTGCTTCTAAAATAGAGTCACGAATAACATAATATGTCGGAACTTCAATAGACATATAAAGTTTCATTTCATGTTTAGAGCCAATTTCCCGTGGCCGGATCTCTAGACAAAACGCCATCTCAAAACTACAGTGCACATGAAAATTTCCCATCCAGCGAGGGCTGGCTATCATAACAACAGCCAGTGCAGACTTAAAAAACACCCTCCAAATAGCACAAAGCGACGAGCTGTATTTAACTGGAGCACACTCCAGGACCTTCAAAAAGCGACGAAACTGCACCATCAATTTTATCGTACTCTGAAAAGCAAACCTGCGATTCACTTGGGTGGCTCATAGTTCTGCTGGAGGAGATCGTCATACGGATCCCTACGCCCCGGCACCTGGCTGATCTGGGCATCCCAACCGAGCTGCACATTGTGCCGCTCGAACGTCCAAAACCCGTAAGGGCGAAGCGGGTAGCTCCACATCTCCTTGGTCTTGTTGCACCTGTCTTTCACTGCATACACGTGCTCCCTGAACTTCTTGTCTCTCTCCTTCGGGTCCTCCATCAACCTCAGAACCAAGTTCTCCGCGAACTCCATAATGAACTTCATTCTCTCTTCTCTGATCACAGCAATTTAAAAACCGACAAATCAATTAACCCATCTCCAACTGCAACTCAGTTCAATCAGAGCAGTAGCAACTGGATTGACTCGTTGAACGCAAGAGCGAGCGACCAATCGACACCACAATCGAACGACCATCGACGACGACTAAGATCGGGGCAACATGCTGAGCCCAATTCGCAATTACATTTCCGAAACGAGATTCGGGTTTGCGCGCTCTTTCCTATTCGTTCATCTCGAAATGTAATCTAAATCGGTCCAAGTAGTTCCAATCGTAACAAAATCAAAGAACCCTAGAGACGCGAAATCAGAATCGAAATCGATCGAACGAAGGAGTTCACAGACATTTGATAGCAGAACTCGCTGGAAGAGAAGAACTCACCAGCTCGAGGATCGGAACTCAGTCAGACGACGCCCACCGCTGCGGTAATTTTCCGCCCTTCCCAGCAAAGTTGAAGGCTTGTTCATCTTTTTGAAGAGAACACCAAGATGGTGAGTTTTCTAATTGGGCCTGAGCCCAAATAAGAAGGAAAGGCACTGCTCGGCCTTTCTACTTGGGCCTGAGCCCAATTAAGTTTATGTACGGCCTGAGCCCAACAGTTCACTGGTCGAGCAGCAGAGAACTCGCTTTATTCACGTAGGGTGCGCATTGATCTCGTGCGTGCTTAGCTATTTCTGAACAGAAATGATTTTTTTTATTCCATGCCTTCGGAAACATTTGAGTATTTGAAGGCGTTTGATAAACTCATCCCAAAATTTCTATTCCTAGAGTAGAAAAGAGCAAATGCGTTTGGTAACTACACAAAATTTACGTTCCCAAATAATATTTTAATAATATTTTGAATTGTTTAATTTTTTTTTTTTTTTTTTTTTTTTTTTTTTACGATGGTCTTGGGCGAGGGCTCACGGCTCGAGGCGCCCTTCGGCGGCGAGGGCCGTGACGCCTCGCGGGGTGTCGCGCGGCCAACCAGGGAAGAACAACACAAAAATAAGAAAATAAAAAGAACAAAAAAAAAATCTCAAATTCAGAAACTTTTTTACTTCTTGTTTTTCAAAACCGGACAAATTTTTGAAAAATGTGGGAAAAAAAATTTTCATTTTAGAATAAATTTTTATTTCAAAGTAACGAAAATGGTCTTGTTAACTATACTTGTTAACCATACTTACGCAAAAATATATGAACTCTCAATCCGCCGATTATACATAACCCGAGAGAGATGATATATTGGAAATATCGAACTTTCTTTATTTGGACAAGAGGCGTTCTTTTAAGGTTTGTGATTGACTAAGTTCATATTGGAAGTAACTTCCGAAACTTAATGAAAACACGACCGACAGAAATCCGAACATGGACATTGATTTTCATGCGGACTAGATATAATTTTAGTCCATCAACACGGTCAAGTCTCACGTCTAAGACTACACTCAAGCGGAGATCGAGAAGAACTTTCTCCGGACACATCCGCGCCCCCGGGGCATTTAATATAAAAAGACGAACGAAACCGAAGATATTTCCTTGCTTTTGGTGGGGGGCAACGAACAACTTCCAATAAATGCAAGCAACCACTATGGTTTGCCTTCTTTAAATTGACGAACGTTCGTACCAAAACCGAAGCCAATCTCGTATTCTTATTCGCGCAAGGAGTAGGCCATTTTTTCAAACCTGCTGGCCCCTTCCCCAAACACCGCACCGTTTCCCATCTCCATTTCCACCAAACCAAACACGATCAGCAAACCTTCTCTTGCCTTTCGAAATCGAGATTCCCAACAACAAATTTCGCCCCTTCTAATTTCTCGATTGCGTCTTACCATGTTTTTTAATTAGGCTAAGATTTGATTGGATTCCAACTTGGGTGGACACGGACAGGTTCCCATATTCCCCAAATCCTACATGGCTTCTCCCATTTTGCGTTCAAAAGACAAACACAAGTGTTTGACGCGAGAATATGAGCAGTCCTTTGCGATCCTTGTACGTGTAGATTAGACCTAAGAACACCCGAACAAGAAAATCTTCAGCCCTTACGGTCGTGGTTTCATGTGTTTTGTTCTTTCGCGGTGGTCTCAGAAAACGAGGAGTGCGTAGCTCGTGGTGGGCGGTGGATACGTCGTGTCCCATCAAACCCTCCCGAGCAGAAGAATAATGTGGACGACGGTGCGGGATTCCTCCCTCGATCGATTGGGTGCCAAGTCGCAATAACGTGCCCTGGGTCGGTCTCTCGTTTCGTCTCGGGACGTCCAACGCTTTTGAAAAAAAAAACAACACGAAAATATGAATCGGAATCAATTCGAAAGGTGCCTTGCGCGGTTGTACAAAAACGGGGTTTTGGTTTCTTTGGTGGGTACCGAAAGGAAACCTCCTTGGTTGTACCAGCCCTCCTCTGCACCATGTTGTCCTGCAAAAAAAAAATTTGTGTACTCCCTCCTCCTTTTGGACTGTGCTGAAACAATTTGATTGCGCTCTTCGAGTTTTGACTCGAAAGTAAAACTCGGGAAGGACGTGCGATGCAATTTGACTGAAAAGTCCGAGCGATTGATGAAAAAGGAAAAGAAGAAGAAAATTTCGGAGCCATTAAGGAGTCGGGGTAATTTAGCCCCTGTATGATCTTAGGAATCAAAGGGTGGCCGCAAATCCAGCCAATGATAGGAGGAGGATCCATCTTGGACCCTCGATCCGTAATCGACCCTTAAAGCCTATGCGTGATCCAATCAACATCACGTAAATTTTACGAAAGATTCTTAAAATTTTAGGGGGCAGAAAATGATGTTCCAGTCTTTCGACCTAGCTTTTTCGATCGCCTGGTTGAGATAAAAGCTCGTGGCGACAAGCTCGGCTCGACATGGACCGATTCACCTCTAATCACTTCCCCTTAGAGGGTTCCCTACTCGTGGATTTGCGGTTTACGGGGGGGACTGAAAGCGCAAGCTCGCAGCAAAAACAAAAGAACAAAATGTGCCCACAACGGTTAAAAGGAAAAGAAGGGAGAGAAAGGAAAAGGGGAAAAGTAAACACAAGCGATAAGAGAGCAAGAGGTGCAATGCCACTGGCCACCCATATGAGATGCCCTTTTTCCACTCATATCTTCTTGTGTTTCGACCCTTTGCCTAAAAGACACTTTCCTCCCACTTGCAAACATATGCCAAATTTTCTCCCCACTATATCTTTACCCTCTACTCATCCACAACCATGACACATATAGCTCCCGTCATCTAAGACAAAAACAACATAATTCCACTATTGAAATCTTCTAGAATCACATCGTCATCAATCTAACTTGCCGAAACAAATTTAGGCCAAAATGAATCGATTTCCTTTCCTTTGTCTCGATTGGCAAAACTAGCAAGAAATGAAGGACCACGCAAGAAAACGGCCAAATCCTGTAACCCCTGCCATCTCTCTGACGGGTCAAACCCAAAACAGTGAAAAACCCCACCTTTCGAATTTCACCGGAGCCGCCCCTCCCTCGTGCTGCTGCACCCCCACACGCCTCACCCCCACACCCCTAAAAAAAGCGCCCAAAAAGGAAGAGAAAGCCCATGATAAAGCACAAAGAAAACTCGAGGGAAACACGATGCCATTATTGTAGTCCGCCTAGGATTCTCTCGTCCCTCTGCCAACCCCCCCCTTCCCCCACTTTTTCAAATGCACACACATAGCCATCGGCCTCAGCCCTCTGCAGAGAACAGTAGTAGGATACTTGCCCCCATCCTTTTTACTTTCTCACCTTTTGCGCGAAAAGAAAAGCCTCCCTTCCAGCCGGCCCTTCTCATCTCCTCACCAAGAAGAAGACGCATTCTCAATTTCTCAGCAATCAATGAGGGACGACCGTGGTGGGTTTTGGCCCCCTCTCATGTCGTTCGCGTCCCCCCCCCCCCTCCCCCATCTCGCTACCCTCTCAACCTACTCTGCTCCCACCACACTACAAACGTACAAAACTGCCCAATCGACAGATTCAGGCGCAAGAAAATCTTTAAAAAAAAAAAATAAAGAACGGGGACAAATGGGCTGGCGGAGAGGCAGTTTTGAGAGGGTCATCACGGTGCCAGATGCAGAACACGCTTCAGACCCACCACTACTACCCCACGACTCATTTTTCTTTGCCTTCTACTCCAGCATTTTCTCGCACGTCTGACTATTAAAACATAACCCAAAGTATAAACAATTCATCCGATATTGATTTCTGATTTTGGCCCAGAAATTTGTCCATAATATAAAAGGAGAAAAAAGGCAAAAACATAAAGGCCAAAAATGAAAAGACAGCCGGTTGATGTCACCGAAGTATGTGCTATACAAGAAGAGACTGAAAAGTTGCTCGTCCCTCGCGACCGCCGTAACAAAAATTCACGCCACTTCCCCTTTTTCTTTCTGCTTTTCCTTTTCCACCAAAATTGCCCTCATTTTCTCGTTTTTCCGTTACCCAAAAGAAGGGGAAAAAAAAAACGAAAAGGCTAAAACCTAACCCCCCCGTAATCCCGAAAAAGGGAGAATTTCAGAGGGGGGTTAAAAAACGAAGAGGGAAAAAAAGTAAAGAGAGCAGCGCAACCGCCGTCAACTCACGGCCATGACATCATCGTCAGCCGCACCAACTCCGTCATTCTCGCCGTCGCCGTCGCCGTCGCCGTCGTTGATCCAGCGCTCCTGCGGGGCGCACTCGGACTTGTGGCGCAGCTTCCAGTCCAGCGCCTGGCACGCGCGGGAGCAGTAGTTCACCACCCCGCACACCGAGCACCTCCGGAACTCGTGCCTCCTCGTCTCCGCCCTCCCGCACCCGGCGTGCGAGCAGAGCCTCAGGCCGCCGTCGTCCCCGGCGGAGCCGGTGCCGGAGCCGGCGCAGCCACGGGCCGCGAACCACTCCGACAGGAACCTGTTCGCCGGGTGCACCTCCGGGGCCGGCACGTTGCACCCGAAGTCGCTGAGCAACGGGCAGGCCGCCGCCGCGGCCGCCGCGCGGCGCGCGTCGGCGTCGTGGTGGGGGTGGTTCCACGCGAGCAAGGAGCGGGTGGGGAAGGCCGCCGAGGAGAGCACGGCGGCCAGCTCGCGCGCATTCGCCTGGACGAGGAACCGGCGCCCCTCGGCGACGTTCTGGCGGACGCCGTAGCCGTCCTGGAGGCAGTGGCCGAGCTCGCGGAGCGCGTCGACGTGGCCCAAGAAGGCGGCGCGCGCGCAGAGGGCGACGCCGGCTCGGAGGTCCTTGTCGTTCTTGGAGCCGCCGCTGCCGTTGAACTGGATTACGGCGAGAGAGTAGAGCGCCGGCGCGTGGCAGTTAATCGCGGCTTTCGCCATGAGAGAAGCTCCGCTCCCTCGGTTCCGTAAACAGTAGAACCGAATCTGTTCGAAAAGGAGAAACAAGAAAAGCTCAGATTACCACTTTCTCGAAATGCCCATTTCCCGAATTCTCTTTTTTTCTTGAATTAAATCATCTGTATCTTCTCCTCTTATTTTGGGTTTTGAGATTTGCTTACCATGCCGAGAATGTAATAGGCCTCCATATTGCCGGAATCGGCGCACAGCTTCAAGAAGCGGTGAGCCGAGTCGCACCAGTTCGTAGCCCCGACGGCGAGGCACTTCGACGAAGCTTTGGACAAGACAAGCGAATGGACGGCCAATGAATTAAACCTCCTGCACCTGTTTCCGATCAAGAAGAAAAAAAAAACGACGTTATTCTTCTCTTCCCCGTGCAAATCAAACGACGTTTTCAAGAAGGACAAGAAAAAAAAAACGGAGGCGTTAAAACGGGAGAAATGAGATTGGGCTCTTTACGTTAGCGAGGCGCTGATGAGATCCGAAGGGGACGAAGCGGACGCGCTGAGCTTGGAGAGGATGCAAATCAAGAGGTCGTCGGGCAACGCGTCGAAGGCATCGCAGGCCCCGCCGGAAGACAGTCTCTGCCTCCTCCGGCAGCACCCCGCCTGGTCTCCGGCGACGTCCCGCGGCCTCTTCACCGCCGCCGCCGCCGCGTCCTCCGAACATGCATCCGGTGGAGAATACCAAGCTCCTCTTCTCGTTCTCATGCCTCTCTCTCTCTCTCTCTCTCTCTCTCTGCGTGCGATTCTGTTTCTTGAGTTTGCGTTATCTTCTCTTGGGGAGTGAGAAGACGAGAGGACTTTTTATATATTAGGAGGAGGCGAAGTTGTAGTACCAACACCTAGAAAACCAAACGCGTTGCCAATTTTGCCCTTTCTTCAAAAAAATTTTTAATTCTTTAATTAAATCGGGGTGTTCGTGAATTTACGATACTGCCACTGGTCAACACAAAACAATGATTTCCCTCGACATTACGGAGCTGCCCCTGCCCCTCCCCCTCCGTTTTGCTGCTTGCTCTGGTCAAACGGGATTTGACCCAGATCCGCCGTTCCGTTTGCTTGCTCGTCGTTGCTAGCTAACCCCTTCGTCCGTGTCGTTTGACGAAAAAAAAGATTGTGAATTAATTAATAGCCCGGTTTTTTTCCTTCTAATGAACGAATTAGGTGACCCCCATTTCATTAAACGAATTTTAAAAACCGAATTTTGTTAAGCTCGTCAGACAAGTTTGAGATCTCGTTAGTTTTTCCACGCTTGAAATTTGGGTAGTCAGACGAGATAATAACCTCCGAGGAAAAACGTGGCCAGCCGAGACGCGTATGGATTTTCAACTCGGAGGTCAGAGCTCGCGCGTAAATCCCGTCGATTGCATGTAGATCGGTCCGAATTGGTCGGGGCATGGGCGACTACCAAATGCCCGGACCGGATCTATTCGTGGGATATATGACTGGATATCTTTATACGTGTCCTTGGATTATAGAAAGGCGATCGAGATAATGATCTTATTACCCGATAATAACATCATTAGGTGCAAATGAGTTGAAACAAGACACATCGTAGAAGAAGGGGGGGATGTCTAGCTTTTTGTAGACATAATGAAATTTGTATTTTCAGGAGAAAACCCATAAATTGTACGTATATGTAGATTGTCATCTTCTCGGACGTGTAAGCATCTCGCCTTCACACCATTCAAACACCTCGATGATATTCCCCTTTTTTCGAGCATTTTTTCTTTTTCTCTGACTATTGCTGTCCTCCTCGTGTCAATGAATTACTCGAAAGTTGCAAACGAGTTGAATGAATCTACGGTTGAACTTGATCGTATACGGAGCGCTTGTCCCGTACGTACGAATTACTTCGTGAATTAGGGTTTTTACGTAAAGAGATCCACTGCTAACGTGAGAAACAATTTGCACTCTCGTGGTCAGATTGTTGACATGCGGATCGATTCGATTACACGAGCTACCTCTCAGTTTTACGCATCACCCCATCCAACCATCCGTCCATAAAAGGGCTTACTAGGAAAATTGGGAATTATAAGTCCAATAGTATACAAATACGTGTAACACGACATTCTGGTATTTATGAGTTAGGTGGGAGATATGAATCTTTATCGCTTAGATCGACGGATGATTGAGAACCGACGTGATGAGGGCTCAACATAGATTAGGAGCGGATAATTAAGTTGGTGGGCGGTAAAATTTACGAGATATTAAGACTAAAACGAGGTAATGTTGTATAAATATAGTCAAAATGCATATGTTCAACAAGCTAATGGAGAACGGACACATCAAATCGTTTGGATCTATTTATGATGGAGAAAAACAACGGCTCTTCTTCGTTCAACAATAAATCCGAAAAATTAATGAGTAATAGTATGGATGACGCTTGATATAAATTCAAAGTTATTAGGCAGCGCCCCCGAAAGAAATCGGTCTCCATAAGAGAAGCCTCGATTGTCATTGTTGCAATTGTCTGTTTTTAAGCGAGTATCGTTATATATCAATCTCGCGACAGTAATGTCGTAGATTTTATTTCGAATTAACGGTAGAGATTCAATTCCCAACCCAGTATGTTTCCTAGTTGTTTCCTCTGAATAATCCATTATCGGACACGAAGAAATATAGACTGCAGAGAGATTTGGACTCCTCCATTTGAATTTCTTCGCTCTTCTAAAATTGGTCATGTCTCGATGAACCTCTCTTTCGTGACATGTGCATGTCGGATTGACAGTTTCCGACCCATTTGTTGCTACCAATTTTTGACAAGACGTTCGAACGATACGTGCATGATAAGCTGGTCAACCCGTAATACATGCGAATACGTGGCTCGCGGGATGAACCCCGACACTCTTTGACATTTTTATCATGTAGGTTAACATCTTACCCGTGTTAGCATAATATATTTAAATATATCTTGACACGCTTCTATATTTTCGGATTAGATTTCGCATGTTGGATGCGTTAAACATGCCATGGAACTTAGTTAATAACGTTTGGCATTGAAATTTTTACATAGGTGACGTGATTAATAGGCGTGTCGTATTCGAGCTAGATCGAAATTTCGCATGAAAAGATTACGATGCGAAGGACGCAAATTATCAGCCCCGCGCGTGTTAAAGGAGATAAAGAATAGAGTAGGAAATTGTCGAGAAAATTCCACCTACTTCATTGAATTAGATAGGTTTTTATGAAAGGGCGTCCCCGGATATTTGTTAAACATATTTAATCGGAAAATTATAGCTTTCGAGCACCAGCTGTTTAACTCCTGTTATGCACGACCAATGCGCCGGAAATCGAATTATTCTAAAACATGTACATTTGACCGGTGCCTCGCAGGCGTTCATGAACAATCTGGATGTGATTTCAACGTATCTATTACGCGCAACACGATGGTAGTTATAATTATAAAAAAAAAAAGGTGGGCATCGAGAGAGAGGGGGAAAAAATGTGGGGCGCGAGGGTGGCGCTTAGGGGTGATCGGTTCCCGGTCCGGTCCGGTTCCAAGATGGAACCGGGAACCGGTTCTCAATTTTGGGAACCGCGAACCGGACCGGTTGGTTCTAGGACCGCGAACCGGACTGGACCGCCGGTCCGGTCCAATGGAACCAGTCACTTAGAGTTTAGTTTTTTTTTTTTTTGTTAAACACTTAAGGTTTGGTTTACATTTTACTAATTTTTGTTAATGAATTTGTCAATGAAGTTCACTTAGGGTTTAATTCACATTTTACTAATTTTTATCAATGAATTTATGATAATGAAGTTCACTTAAAGTTTAGTTCACATCTTATTAATTTTTTTAAAGAAAAAATAACAAAAATATATATTAAATAGTCGGTCCGGTTCCCCCTTGGAACCGGGAACCGGGAACCGGGAACCGGATCGCCCGGAAACCGGTTCCGCTTTTAGGAACCGGGAACCGGACCGATAATCCCGATAATCGGATCAAATCCATCGGTCCAGTCCGGTCCCAATTTGGGCGGTCCAAGTTGCTCGCCCGTAGTGGCGCTAAAGCCAAATTCCCCCGCGAGAGAGAGAGGGGGATAAGTCCGGGAGGGGAGGATGACGTGGACATCGAGATCCGATGTCGACCACACATGTCATATCCGCCGGGGCCCCACTTCTCCTCCCCTCCCCCCCTGCCCGCTCGCCAGCCAGGCCAAGCCATGGGCTGCTTACCGCTCGTTAGGGCCCATCTCGGGGACTGTGCCTTACATGCCGACACGTTTCCCCCCTCCCGTCCTCAATCATCCGATCCCTTTTCGGATTTCTTTCGATATTTTCACTTCCTATTTATATATTTTGCGAATTTTAATTTGCACCTAACTTTTCTTTTTTTTAACGTAACTCCCCGCATCCGCCGTTGGCTCTTTTTTGTTTCCCCTTTTTTTAATTTTGAAGGCAAAAAGCTACTAAAATTCCTAACTCGTGCTCGCTGTGACACGTTCACCGTAAACTTTTTTTCACGACACAAAAAATCTCAAACTCGTACCCGTGTGATACGTCTATGTCCGTAAAAGTCCTGTCGATCAAAACCGTTAAAAATCTGTCTATGTAGACGCCGGAGAAGCAAACAGTGTTGACACGGCATATACGTGGGTGGCTTAAGTGAAATCAAAACGACATTGTTTTGGCTGAAAAATCATATAACGAAATCTCGACGGAGGATAAATGTACAACATAGGTACAAGTTTTGGATTTTTTATATTACAAGAAAAAGTTTACGGCGAATGTGTCACGCTGGGCATAGTTCAGATTTTTGATGTCACAAAATTGTTCAGGGTAAATGTGTTAAGGACATAATTTAGGGTTTTTGGTGATTTTTTCCCTAATTTTCATAAATTCTTTGTTTTTAATGGGATCCTTTTAGTTAATTTGGTTTTTTTCTCATTTACTAGAATTTTGCCTTTTGTCTTTTCTTAAAGTACCATGTATATTTTTAATTAATTTTCTAATTTAAATGCTTCGAGGGTATTTTTTTTTTACTCGTGTCACGAGATTAGAAGAAGGTCATGAATGAGGCGTGCATGAATCATCTGGGGGCAAAATGATTCTTCTTGGAGGAGTTAGTACACAACTTGTCCATCTTGATGCAATCATGGCAACAACTATCTTCACTTGAACAATTCTTTAATGGCTTATTGTCTTTTATTTTATTGGTTCGTGTTTGCAAGTTAATGTTCCATCGGACAAACTTCACATGCCTCGTACAATAACATTATAGTTAATAATTTCCAGAAAACAAAAGAAAAGAAATTCTTAATAAACGGGATCCTATCCATTTGTTTCTATCGTGCGGCTTGAAATTGAAGCAAGAACAATGCGGATTTACGATAATTCAACCTCTTTTGTTGGCTAAATCAATCAAAATGATTCGAATACAGAAAAAAAGAGCTGAAAGAAATGATTCGATCCCTCTTATTTTCATTTCTGGAACCGAGAAGCCCGTGACTCCCGAGCTTGGCCGGTACTTGGTAGGCAAGCATTGCGACGGCGCGATTGAATTCTCTTTTGATCCGTAGAAAGTCAGGAGCTAACTAATCAAACACCTATTCTCTCGTGAGGTTGACCAAGTTGGGTGGCGAACTTAGACTTGTATGTTCCACAAATTAGGCAGTTGTGTCCCATAATTAAGACAAGAGGAGGAAAACTGAAACCCTAGATAGCTTTCGAGATACAAGTCAAAAACGTACTACTGCCGATGCTATATCTTCCTTCAAATTCCTTTTCGTGGACCTTTTCTGCTTTTGAAAACGTCTAGAAAGAATGT